GGGGGGTGGGCAAAACGGAAAGCCCGCCAAAATAGTAGTAACTATGAATAAAATATAGAATCGCAAAAACGGTAACTCTCCTTGCATGAATCGGTTAGGAACTCGAAAATAAAAACATCATCCCAAAAGTCGCGAAGATTATAATAAACAGTAGTACTAAGGAAATACAAAACTTACACAAAATCATGACTCCACCTCTTCCTCGCTCCTGTATAATTCATCATATGCACTCCTCCTCCTCCTCCTCCTCCTCCTCCTCCTCCTCCTGCTCCTCCTCTCGCCATCGTCGTCACTCCCTCCTGTACCCTCTCCTTTCCCTTATCCACCCTCCCATTCCGACTCTGCCGCGGATACTCATGTGGTGCACAACGCAGTCGCGCGGGTCCAAGGTACGGATTCGAAATGCTGGAGTAGTGTGTAAATGGAGGTGTGGGTGATTTAGGCCGTTTGTTGGGGAAGAAAGAGGGGCCTGCGATGCAGGGGTTGTTGCAGCATGTTTTTGAGCAGGTTGATGGTGCGGAGGAGTAAGTTGAAGTGGAGAGGGGTGGTGAGGGGATGGGGGAGTGTCTCTGGAGACGGTGGTTTGTTAGCTACTATGTGTCGGATAGGTTTTTGTGAAATTTGGCGTTTTGAGATGAGACTTCTGATCGGTAGTAATTGGCGACTCTCGTCCTGTGGAGTGATTAGGTATTTTCCGTCTTTTGCAAATCTCCACGTGGATGAAATTTCCGTGATGCATGTAGTAATCCTCCGTTTCTGCATGGCGTTTTTTGCCTTTCCGTAATTCTTCTACGCGGTTGCAACGAGTAGATTTTTTTCGCTCTCGCTTACCTTTCTTGTGGTGCTTGTCCGTAGAGTCATCGGTGTTGCTCCGAGGATAATTTTCTTACGGTGGTTGGTTTCTTCTTTCCCGGTCGTTTACGTGTTTGTTTTTTACGTTTTGGTAGTGTTACGGGGAATTCATGTATCGGTGAGGAAGAACATGTCTATGGTGTTGTAAAAAGAATCGATGCTGTCGCCTAATTCTGTATTCATCGTGTCTATGGCCATTTGACGATTCATCATCGCGGTACCGTGTGTCCTGTAGCGAGAAAATGGCTCGAGTTTGGGTTGCTTTTGCATGTGACTGGATTCGCTGGATTTTGTTGACAATGGTGCGGCTGGGTGCTTTTGATGGGAAGAGGACTGGGCATAATGGGTGTGGAAGGAAAGATGTCATAACAGTGGTGCTGATTCGCTCATGTATGGGAATCATCAGGGAATCCAAACCTAGCGAATCAGGCTTTGGGATCTGAATATGACGTGGGTGTCGTGGGAGGCTTACTTTGCAACCTCTACCCATTGGTGTGCCACCAAATTGTGTATCATTTAGCCAATTTGGTGTTTCTACCCACGTGTAGGAAGTGCTACGACGTTTTAGGACTTCCGATAACTCCGCATCCCCAATCGGGGCATGTCATGTGGTTTTGATGGACGCCATCTCCCATCTTTTTGCTTTTCCACTGATGATCTCATAGACATCGGTCGATGTGTAATCGCGATTGAGACACCCCCAGCGATGCCTGAGTACATGAGAAACAGGTTTACAGGGCATTGAAATCGAAGCCCAAGTGAAACAGCCAATACTCGTACGTATCCGCCCATGTGATGATCCTTTTCGATTGGAAAAAGGTATCTCTCAGAAACTGTGCCTGGCATCGTCGCGATCTAGTCCTAACCTAACCACCTCTGCCTCAATTCTTACTCCACACTGCACTACAACTCAACTGCTTCGCACCACGACGCACAAACAATTGTCTAAGAGCATCGACGCAGTTCACCGTTAAGAAACCTCCGGTCCGCTTGTCGGTATGACGTGAAAAGGCGGTTTACATGTGTGCTTCTTGTCATCGGGATCAAAGAATGGAGAGATCGAGATCACTTTGGAGCCACCAATCTGATTTCAATATACGCCTTTACGCCGCAGGATCTGCGAAAATCGGAATCGTTGGCAGTTGTGAAACGGGCGTCCCCTTGTTACTCACACTGCAATAGCGTTCGAGGATAGCGTGGCCTACAATGTGCTTCTTATCATCGAGATCGAGATTGAAATTACTGTGTAACCACCCACTACACCTCTATAACGCCTTACAAGGTACACCATCGGGATCGTACACCACCTTTGACACGGGAGTTCCCTTTTCGGAGAATGGACATTGCAATGACGTCGATGTGTATCGCGGTGTACAGGGTACTTGACATTGTCATCGAGATCACACTCTACACCTAGGTGTAGACGTGTAATCAGCCACCCCTTTGTATCCGAAATTCTTCGCAATCTACACCCCTCAGCATCGCTTGACAGTGCGAGACGGCCCGTAGTACACGGACTGCCATGACGTGAATGGGAATGTTGTGGGCTGCGAGTCGCTTAGGTGTAGATAACATCAAGATAGTAAACTTCTCGATCTAAGCACGATATCACGATAACCACCCGACAGTCTTCGGACATCGAGATCACCGATCTTTGTGAAACTTCAACCATCCTTCAGACTGATTCATACTGGGCAAAATACCGGGATGATTATCACAATTGAACATCTCCATCCCAACCCATGCAACAACCGCAAAGATTCAGCTATCACAGTATGAATTTGACGAACACTCCATTGGGCCGCAAGCAAAGACAAGACCAGATTTGAGGAAATGCACAATCCATTTGACTCGATACCTTGTATGCCAGCTGCATAACTTGGGCTTGCTCAACGCCCACAGCCTTAGCTAAACCACGCGACAGGACAAGCCAGAGAATTGAACCCTTCACCCCCTTTCACCCTCGCAAAGCCCTGACAACCAACCGATCTGATCAAATGAGAGGAATAAAAACTGGGTCTATGCCTCTATATTGCTTTCCTGACGCAAGATGTAATTTCTTGTTTCCTTCTAGTGCAGGCCAGGCATAAAGTTCGAAACAAGGTACTTTTCTTTTGCCAGACCAACAGACCCTCTCACTCAAAAGCTAGCCATACGTACGAAAGCAAAAAAACAAATGAATAGTCAGGCACACAGACACACCCACACCCATACATTAGCAGCTTTTGTGCATTGCGCTAACAAGGCTGCAAGCTAAATCGCTCACTAGCGATGGGCTGGTCCGTCGCTTACTATCCGCTTACCGGATCTTTTAGTCTGCAGACCCTCAACCCATCTCATCCTTCCCTCTCTCTGCAAGTGGCTGTCGATCATCCCACCCCCTCCAGCCACAGCCACGTCAAAGGATGATCTGCGGCTAGACAAAGATCCATGCGCGTGACTACACCTTTCGTTTAGTTCGGAGACTTGTGCAGCGGGGATAGCCACGACGAACAAGGAGGGTGAGGGTGAACTTTTTAGCGTTTTGCGCCTTCTTTTGCCTGTTGTCTGTGCCCTTTTGCATTGCATGATGAGTATGTTTTGCGACCACATGTCCTATCTTGCGGGATCGACATCGTGACTTTTAACTCGCTCTGCAATGAACATGGTGGTTTACCTTTCTTTATTTTTTTGGGCCTTCGGCAAAGTTTTTTGTTGCCGGGTGCGGATCCGATTTGGAAGTAGCGTCATAAAATATTCCAGGCAGTGGAGATCGTGCATACGAGGTTCCTTGGGATGGAGGGAGAGCGTGAGGCTGGTCGGCACCAGGTTGATGCTATCAAGAGGTGGGGGGAGATGAAATTGGGTGGATGGGTGGGTCGTGTGGGTGCTGGATGCCTAATTTTGTCTTGTTGGGGTAGTGAGGATGTACACCTAGTCTTTGAGGTGCGGGACGAGGGAGGTCACGAATTGGTGTTGAACGTGGCCACTTGGTACTTGCAATCTCCTTGCTTCATTCCAAATTCTTGCTTGCATCTTGTGCACATCCACCTGTGATGATTTCTAATCTTTTACCACACCTTCGAAGGCTAAACGTGCATTTCCGTGTCAACCTTTCCGAATCTTCTCGGACACGATTAACCTCTGTGTAGGTACAACCTTCATGCCTTGATGGTTTGGTTCAGCTCTGCTGCATATCTCCTCCGAGGATATGCTTATCTCAGCTTACAACTCATCTTTCCAACTTCTCGGCATTCCTCAGTGAATAGCCCACGGCATAGGCCTTGTACTGAAGATCTATGTTTATTCTTTCGTCTTTGCCAGGCTTGAAATTCAACCTCTTTTTCCTCTTATCTTAATCTTTTTTACTCACAAGGATATGGTAGTAAAAGATTCACGTGTATGCGTGTTGTCTAACTTCAGCTATCCGTATCAGCTTCCATGTCGGGATCATCACCGTGGTTCTTGCTAAGCTTTTACCTTAAGCAGACTATTATAGTATCTGTCATGGACTAATATCTGCTGCGTTTGTTATTACAAAAAAACATAGTCAATAATAGCGATGCAATGGCCTTGCAGTAGTTACTGTCAAGTCATAGGCGAAACATTGTTCGTAGTATCTTGGTTGAAAGCTAGTATTCCCCCCTGAAACTGTCTTTCATGACCTCGCATTCTTTTGATCATCGCGTATAAAAATATACGTATAATTTCACATCCGGTTACTATCCGTGTCCTCACATCTACGTTTCTATAAGCTTTGGCATCCTGATGCAAAGTAACGAAATATTCTAAATGCCGTGGACTTGTTAAAATGTTGCTAGATAAAACCGTATTATGTCCAATGTGAACCCTGTCAACGAAATGCAGCTTAGCGAAATATTGTTGTATCTCAATGTGTATATGGCAGATAGCCGCTTAGTGGATTGCGGTAAGCTAGGAAGCATTCTCAATCCTCTTCCAAGTACACTTAAGCGACTAGTATAGGCATATGGTGTCTTTGGTATTCTCTTACCTGATATCTAAGTTTAACTTGCAGTGAGCGTGCAACTTAGGAGCAGAGATACTACACCTACTCGCGAAAGCAAAATTCCCATTGTACTCTCTTGTTAGATAAATGACTACTATTACACACTACCCGCCAAATGCAAAGTTCAGGCGAACAAGACTAGATGTAAGTACGCCACGTCGTACAATCTGGTGCTGCATTGCTTTACGATCGAGTTCAACATCAAAATTGTAAAAGGCCATTACAGCTTGAAAATGCGCTTGTTTTTCCATGTTCCTGAATTCTATATAACCTTCGCAACAATACTGTACCTAGGTTGTTTCTATAAAGCTGTGAACTTCACATGCATTCTGCTCATCCTCCCTGCCCATATCGTTACTATTTGGGACTCATTTCCCCAACTCTCTTCCCCGGTTATTAGTAGAGCGGTATCATAATGCGTCATTTATATAACATGATGACGACATCAAATGCATTGTAACCATTTCGCATCATTGTCAACCCACGAAGCCGAGCTCTCAGCATGTGAAAGTGCCGATGCTACAGTACCATCTTCTCCAAAGGTGGGGTAAAAAAAAGTGGGAGAGAGAAGGTAGGGTCTTGCTTACAACCGAAACAAACCAATGGAAATTAATGAACGCTGTTCGAGACGAGGCAGATTGTTGTGCCCATGAAAACGACAGGAATATGTCGGTACCCATGTTCGACTGGCATCAAAATGACTGATTACTATTCATATCCTGTGACTATGATTCAGAATATGCCGAACTGTCCCAACATCCCAAGAAGGTTTTGCCACCATTGGATGGATAAACACCCCTATGATCCATTTTGGGACAAGAATACGGAAACGGGCACAGATCGATCTACAAAGATTGTCCCTATTTTCCCAAAAGGAGTCGGAACCCGCGGCTCAGCTAACTACCGGCTCGCCCCACATTTCCCCAACTCTCAAATGTGGGGAAAAGACGACAGGGTTCGGTAACACTTGCGATTTGCCCGTTCGCGACGCACGCGCGCCAAAGATCGCAGATTGCCAGATTGATTTCTGGTTGCTGGAATGATAGAGTTTCAGGTCCTTGATTAAAGTTGCAATGGATAAAAATTGTGCATAGGATAATATTACTTGCATAAAATACTCACGCTACACCAAAGAATCTGATCCTGTTCGCCGGATCGTTTTCCCACTCAGTGTCGTGAGCAAAGATTATCTCAACCCCTTCCTTCTCCAAAATCCGGATTCTTTCAATGGTTTCCTCGGCTTGCTTCCGATTGGCGTGTATGCAGCAGACTTGACCATGTGCATCGTTCCATTCACCGATCTTCTTTTCACCGGTCAATATTCTCCTATCGTGGCAGGCATCCCCGCCCATGTAGATCTGGTGGCTCGGAGAAGTCTTTGCCAAAAGATTGATATGTCCAGGGAGATGCCCAGGTGCGTTTACGATTAGAAGGGACCCGTCGTTGAAGAGATCTAGAACTTCCGGGAGACAGCCTTGACTTTGCCATGACCCATGGAGATTGATCTCCCCACGGATTGTGCCCGAATCATGCTTCTTCAATTCATACACAACAGGTTCGGGTAATTCCACTGTCCGACCTTCCGGCAAGAGGTCGCTTTCGAAGAAGGAATGGCCACCTCGGAGTGAAGAAGTGCCGTTGAGCAGAGTAACTGCGCCGTGTCCGACGACGAAGGTTGAACCTGGAAAGTCTTGAGGTTCTCCAACATGGTCCCAATGTACCTGGCACAAGTAAGTTACTCATCATCCACCAGCGTAACCCTATTAATCTGTACTTACATGCGAGTAAACTACATAGTCAATATCATTGGGTGTAAGTCCGCCCTTTGCGAGGCTCTTGGTAACGTCCGGATCAGTGCTCATTGGCTGCCTGGCCTCGATGTGTTTCTGTATTGGCAGTGGATAGTGCTTCACGTCTCTTCTCAAGCCTAGATCGAAGATGAGTCGTGTTCGTTTTCCGGTATACCGATTCACATGTTGAATCAGGAATGCTAACGAAGGAACAGTTCGACGCGCGTCGGGCGTAGCATGATCCACAAACTGGTATTCTGGGAGTGAAAGATGGCCACATGATAGAGCATGAACTGAAACGACAACTGTCGATTCATGCTGAAAGTTGTGACATGTGTTGTTAACAGTCATATTCTCCCACAAATTGAAGAACCAATTTAATTAGCTCGTCGACGTATCGGAATATTGTGCTCTTATTATGAGTATTGCTTTTTCGTTGTTGTCTGGTGGAAAACAACAGGGCAGCACAAGGCCTTATGTGAACAGGAATCCGGACAAATATCGCACAGATGATCATTCCTTCATCTCATCTATTCCACAAATGGTGGTGTGTGCGTCAGAGTTTGCGCACAATGGTGTTGGGGAAGCTGATTGAAACAGACTGTTGGAGAACTGTGCCCCACCTTGTTAGTTGCAAGCCAGCCACTACGAGTTTGGTAGGTGGGCGTACGTATTGTGTTAGGTTCCCAGGAAATCCTCATCATTACACCAAGCTTTATTATCTAACGCGATACAAGTGTCAGAAATTTATGACCGAACGATTTTGACCCCCAACCTTCTTGCGATTTCTACCGTACGCGAATAAAATGCCGCAACCATACGAATTCAGCAAGCTCGGCTTCATTGGCCTGGGTGCCATGGGAGCACCGATGCTGTCCCACCTGGCTAGAAAGCTACCAAAAGATTCGCGTATATGGGTCCATGATGTTGTCGAACAAGTGGTAGACGACATCTGTGCTGAGTTTCCCAACAAAGTGTTGAAGGGGAAGAACGCTAAGGATGTCGCACAACAAGCCGTATGCTGAGCGTAGAACGCGTGCAACCGTCACTAATCGGTAAGCAGGACACGATTATCACAATGGTACCCGAGGGTTCGCATGTACGATCTGTATATCTCGACCCCGATAATGGCGTATGCAGTACGGATATCTCGAACAAGCTGCTTATCGATTGCTCGACAATTGATACTGCAACAAGTCTGGCAGTGAAAGAACATGTTACAAATCGTTTCCCTTCGGCAGCGTTCTATGATGCTCCGGTTAGTGGCGGTGTGGTGGGCGCAATCAAAGGCACAATCGCGTTCTTCCTAGGCTGCGGAGAGTCGGATGCGAATATGGGGTGCCTCACTTATTTGCTGGGTCTTATGGGTGGACAAGTTATACCTTGTGGTGGGCCATCTCTTGGTCTCGCAGCAAAGCTATCAAACAACTACCTTTCCGGCATAATTGCAATAGCCTGCTCCGAAGCGTTTGATATGGGCATGCGTAGTGGGTTGGACCCTCGTACGTTGGCCAAGGTGTATGCTGCAGGTACAGCTCAAAACACTATATGCGACAAATTCTGTCCTGTTCCTCATGTCTACCCAGAGGCACCATCTTCGGGAGGGTGGAAGCAGGGCTTCAAGATACAGCTGATGCGGAAGGACTTTGGACTCGCGGTGGACATGGCAAAGAGAGTGGGTTCTCAGAATGTACTGGGTGAGGTTGGATTGAAGACATATGATGGAGCTGCCAACAACCCGCGTTGTAGAGATTTGGATTCTCGTGTAGTCTATCGCTATCTCGGCGGGCAGGAAGACTGGCAGGCTAAGTCAAACGGGACATGAGTGGCAAGTTGTTTGTAAGAAGGCCACGTAATCTGCATGACATATGGTGTTCCGCAGAAGAAACAAGTTAGGGTGAATCGTTCATCTGAGGCTAGTCATGATGGTCCACAGTAAAAGGTTGGGGAAGTTGGAGAAGTTGGGGAAGCTTGGGTGGGGTAATGGCCTGAGTCCGCCGTCAATTACCGTCAATTGATCTCTCTGAAGAACTGTCGCAATTCTACCGACATACTTCTCATCGCAATACAGTAACTCTCCAGAAAAAAACTACTCCTTGTTGTCAAATAGCCATCACAGAAAAGGGCAGATCTTGCAGCACCTACCTAACCGAGCCATCACCACCGTCCCTATCGTGCATCGACTATGTCGACCGACCCCAAGTACGATGAGCTACATAAACAGCTATTTGAAGAAGGGCTCAAGGTGAGACGAAGCGTCGTGGGTGACGAGTACGTCAACCGTGCGTTAGAAAATGGCTCGACAGAATTTTCGAGAGCCGGACAGGAGCTTGTCACTGAAATGTGCTGGGGTTACGCGTGGACACGTCCTGGTCTCGACAAGAAGCAGAGGAGTTTGATCAACATCGGCATGCTTATGGCGCTCAACCGTGCGCCTGAGCTGGCTGTCCACGTTCGAGGAGCCCGGAACAACGGACTCTCTGAGCTCGAAATCCGCGAGGCCATTATCCACGCGACGACATACTGCGGCGTGCCAGCTGGCGTGGACGCAATGAAGACGGCCGAAAAGGTTCTGAATGAGATGGCAGAAAAGGGCGAGATGCCGCGAGAGTTGGGCAACAGAAGCGCCAGGGTCTGAGCGGCAGCTTTACTTTGTGGGGGTGATGTAGGATGTGGTGTCTTTTGCTGTCTTACTGGGTGGCCAGTAGTGATACGACCCCCACGTGTTTACTTGCTAAGTATCCGAGCTACAAACACTGCTTGCAACCAACATTCATCATCATCATCACCACCAGCCAGACACTGGACTATCGCAATATGAGCCTTTTGTCAAAAACTCAATCTTCTGGTGCCGTGATAGGTGAACTCAATCCGGCGCCGCTGCGTGGCGGGATTGATTGGTGGCTTTGCCGGCTCCCTCTGCACCCCGCATATCAGCTGGTTGATCTCCGCGCTCCGTCTCTCTTCCCCACACTGCTGCACTCCATATCCGACCGTGTCATACATTCTCCCACAGTCTCCAAATGCCATACAGTGCCTTGAGGATACTCCAATATCTCGGTACCATCAACTGAACCAATCGCAACTGATCCCGTGTGGACCGTCGAAATTCCCATACACTCTCCATGGAAGCCGCCCCTAGCGAAGCGCAAATGACCCAAGCCCAGCCTGGCAAAAAAGAGAAGCGTTTTCAGTGCCCACACTGTCAGCGTGCCTTTGCTAGGCTCGAGCATTTGCAGCGACATGAGCGCATTCGTAAGTCGCTTGGTTCAGATCGTATACTTTCGCTCACTTGCTTCGAGATAGCGGCGTGAAACCCTTTAGCTGCTCAGAATGCAGCTATTCATTCACGAGAAGGTATGAGATGTTCTCTTTAAACATTCGCATGGCTTATTCTGGATCAAAGTGATCTGCTTGTTCGCCATGAGCGGCTCACCCATCGCAAGGGCCAAGACAATCAGCAGAATCATATGCAATCTCCGGCTGAGAGCGTCTACACACCTGCAGAGACACGCCCCAACAAACGACTTCGGTCGAGCTTCGATGCTGGTCGTCCAGTTCCGGAGATACCCAGCATGATGCCCTCGCCAGCTGTTGTGGATGTGCAGTCGTCCATGCACCAGCCTTCGAGATCGCATGCGTCCATGACGTTTGGCCTACATAGCGGTTACTCTCTGACCGCGCTATCAATGGCTGCCGAGTACCAGGCGCTCCATGGCAATATGACGGACCGAGCTGCTCACGCAATGCCGACACCTCTGCCCTCGCAGCCTGAGACGGTTGCTACGGCAGTAGGTAACCAACATACAACCGTTCCGACTGAACATGCCAATAGCTTCTACGGATCTTCAATATCAAATTCGCTAGACAGTCTTGCTGTGTTCTTAGATAGTGAACCCCTGGACTCGTACCACTTTTCGTCACTGATCAACACTGAACAACCCATACCATTCTTCTCACCCGACTCGCTTGGCTATGGCCAACGAATGATGTCTGATCCTAGCGGAACAACAGCGCCAATGACTGGTTGGCGACAGGTTCACTCTGATGAGCCTCCTTCGCTCTCGCGCTTTGGGTCACGGTTTCCATCCCTGCAACCAGAGGAGCATGTAATACCAGAGCCACCCACACGCAACAGGCCAATTGCCGAAATATCACATCGAGATCGACAAAGAATTCTCGAGATGCTTACCGAGTTCTCCTCTGTCATACCCACCGACTTTATCCTCCCAACTCGGTTAGCCTTGTGCAGATATTTTGCAGCTTATATCAACGGCTTCCACGAACACATGCCATTGCTCCATATACCAACCATGTCTGTGGATACTTGTTCGATTGAGCTGCTGTTGGCACTAGCTGCAGTTGGAACGCAGTATACATTTGAAGGCGAAAAGGGGGTACAGTTGTTCAACATCAGTAAGGCGATTGCGATAGAGCGGATCAGGAGGCGCGACGCACGCCTAGTGAAGCTTCAGTACCATTCGCCGTCAAGCTGTACATCGCCAAACAATTACGAGAATGAGTCGTGTTCGCGAAGTCCTCAGCATAAGGGTTCTACCACTGGTCCGCTCGGCCTACCATACGATGACATGACTGTTCCAGGAGAAGATCTCATGCAAACAGCCCAGGCCCTCTTCCTGCTGATGGCTTTATCTACTTGGGCCAAGCACAAAGAGATTCTAAGAGAAGCGCTCGCAATCCAGAGTATCTTGGCAACACTCATCCGAGATGACGGGCTCGAGATTGAACCGCTCCATAGCGACATATCTTGGGCAGACTGGATCCGCCGAGAAACTGTCAAGCGAACAAAGTTCATCGTCTACGGCTTTTCTAATCTCCACTGCATCGTCTACAACATCCCACCATTTATGCTAACAAGCGAAGTCAAGCTTACGTTACCCTGCAACGAAGCCGAGTTCAGAGCATCCACCGAAGCCTCGTGGCGAGAAGCTCGCAAGAAAGAAATCCCAGAAGTGCTATTCCAAGACGCCTTAAAGCGGCTATTCACCAAGCGAGGCTGGGACGTCACAGAAGTCAATTCATCCTCAGGAAACTACGCACTCATCCACGCCTTGATCCAACACATCTTCTTCCTCCGCCAAGTAGCCCGCTGCCGCTTCGAAGGCCCCGGCGACCTCAGCACCGAAGACATAGCGTCCCTCGAAAACGCCTTACGAAACTGGCAAATCGGCTGGCGCAAAAACCCCGAATCCTCTCTCGACCCCATGAACCACAACGGCCCTGTAGCATTCAACTCGACCGCCCTCCTCCGCCTTGCCTACATCCGCCTCTACGTCGACACCGCAGGCCGCGCCCTGGAAACACGAGATCCAGTGCTAATCGCCAACGCCTTTCGCGCAGGACCCGCAATACGTCGATCCCCGAAAATCACAAGAGCAGTCTTGCATTCTGCCCAAGCCCTCTCCATCCCTATCAAGATTGGCTATCGCCTCGTTGCCAAAACGCAATCTTTCATCTGGAGCATCCAGCACTCGCTGTGTACGCTTGAATGCGCATATCTAATGAGTAAATGGCTCGAAGCTCTTGCAATACCCAATCCGGATCCACCCTTAACTGAAGACGAGAATAAAATCATGGCTATTGTGAAGAGTATGCTTGATGAAACGGAGTTTGCACTGCACCCAGATGTCCCGGCTGATTCACCACATTTTATGCGCCAGCTTAGTGCGGGGGTGCTGAGGGTGTGGGCGATGATTTTTAGGGGGTCCGAGACATGGGCAATTGTGGACGTGATTGGGAGTGCGTTGAATCTTTATGCTGATATGTTGGAGTCCGGGTGAGGTTTGGCTTAGAGCAGGGGCTGCCCTGCTCTCACTTAACTTCACCTCAACTCTCTAGCAATACACTGCAACTGTTGAAGAGATATTCTATATTTTTCTTCTTGTTCTCTTTACTTCTTTTTAACTCAAATCCTTGATTCAGCGGCGCGGGAGGGGGTATACCATATATGCTATTCATTTTTCTTGCACCACATCAGACGCTCAGCTACACGGCAAATACTCCACTGCTCTATACTCTTTTTCCCAACACTCACGCCCTTGACTTGTTCAAGTCCTCGAGTTTCTCAATCTGGCGCTTGAGCATAACTAGAGCACCCAAACTGATCTTGCGCAGACCATCACGCTCCCCCTCTTCGCTCCCGTCGGCACTGCGCTCGACGATATCTTTGGCGGCAGCAATTGCTTTGTCGAGTAGCTTTGGGGCGTCGTCTTCTTTACTCAGGTACAGATAGTCTAGTTCCTGCTTAAAAGGCTCGACGTCGTGAGTAAGTGCATGATGTATGAAAGCCCTTGCGCGAAAGTAGGCTCGCTCAGTGTACAAGGCGCTGCTGAGCTTGGTCTCTGGTGCCGAACGATGTACATCGTATCCCGCTTCATTGTAGTACGGCTCTTTTACCAGCACCAGACCCATGAGCGAAACCAGGACTTGGAGCAGCGTACTCTTTGCAGGACTCCAGCTCTCGTTTCGCTCATCTGTGTGCCATGTTCCCAGTAAACTCAAACAAATCTTTCCATCTTCATACAGATTCGGATTGACTGCGCCGTTGCCGTTGGTCCAGCTGTGAAAATAGGCATCGGGCGCTTGTTGTGGGTACGATGAACCAAGATGAAAATCGATGACGAATGGAGCAAACTCATAGGGTGTGTCGTTGGGGCCAATCATGAGCACGCGCAGAAGATCGAGACGTGACTCCCAGGTGCGGACGTAGATTCCAGGCGGTAATGAGCTGCGAAGGATCTTATGCTCTTTCGCAATACGGCGCATGAAGGCGGATGACGATGTCGACGACATTCCAACGTAGCGATGTGACGATGGTGGGGGCGTATCTAGGATGACAAAGGATGCCGGTCCTGCAGTGAATGACTCGGTGTTTCCGTGCTCCATGTGCGTGTCGTCGGCCTCTGGCTCTGGCTGTGAATCAGGCTTCTCTTCTTTTGTCGGGGGCGACTTGATTTCAGGGGTAGTCTTGGTGGTATCGATATCTTCCTTTGTGGTGTCAATTAGATCTGGCATTGACTCGTCATCGTTATCGTCGTCGTCAGGGTCGTCGTCTTCCTCTTCGGTTGACCAGTCGCTCTCATCTCCGACGGGTGGCTCGCCTTCCATGCCTTCATACTCAATCCACATTTCGTTAAAAGAGGCAGAGTCAAAGTCATCGGAATCAAATTCTTCGTCTGAGTCTTCAATGGAGTCACCATCCAGCTCCCCAAGGTTGTTGACGAAATCATCGGCCATATCACTGCTGTAAGCAAGGTGGACGCACTCATAAGGGACCTTGACATCAACTACAGGCTTCGCGGCACCAAGACGAACAGTCAGCTTACCGTCCAAGCCTAGATCAATGACCTCGCCAAACCAATTGGGGCCAGTAATGTTGGTCGCAGACTGTACAGCTTCAACGTTGTCTGGATTTAGAATGACAAAATCGCCACGGCGTCGCGTGAGGGCCTGCAGTGAGTAAATGTCGTACAGACTAACATCTTCAATGGCATCACTGAGCTCGCCTGTAGTGCATGGCGGGAGCAGGTCATTGCCAAAAAACTCTACGAAAGCGTTTTTGAACCACCGCACAGTTGCTATCCGATCTCGACCCTTGACAGTCTGGACAATGCCTACTTTTGCAGGCCTCTTCGTCTCCGATTCTTCTTCTTCTTCATCATCGTCTTTGCGGTTTTCTTTTGAGAAGATAAGCTCTCCCGGCCAGACCTCGTCGTCATCTTCGACGTTGGGGTCGGGCAGTAGGGCGGAGCTAAGATCGTGTGTTATTGACAGGTCCTGCCATTGAACAGTGACTTGGCTGTGGGTCTGCGTGACGAGAAAGACATTGAGGTCATAACCCAAAGAGTCAGTCCGGGGTATGCGCGTGACCTTGCCTTGTGCATGTCCGTCGGGCAGAGTGTGGGTGCCGTCATACTTGACAGCTGCGCCCGCAACATCCTTGAAGCGGACACGGTCTCCCACAGCCACATCAGCAACGTGATATGACTTATCGACACCATTCTCAGACAGAGGAAGTGTTGTGGCGGTACCGCCTGATGCGTCGTACTTGTAGAAGGTGGGGCTCTCGAACTCGTCGCGGCCAAGGGTGACTGGCGGCTCCTCCGCGGCGAAAGCGCGATTGCGGGAGCCGATGCTTCTTGCAAGCCATTGCACGTCGATTTCGGTTGCTCGTGTCTCGACTACCATGCCGACGGGAGGCACACTAGGGTCGTATGCGCCAAAGCGCCAGCGGCCCCTCCGCAGATTTCCCTTTTTTGTCTTGCACGTGTCTCCGACGCTGAGGCGGTCTATGGTAGTGTCGTCTTGAGTCAGCTCCGAGGGGTCCTCAACGACGACAACTGAGTTGTTTGCGAGCTTGATAGCGACCTCGTCGTAGACATTTTCCACACGGCCAACCCAGTCGCCATAGACGACGAGGGCTCCCTCAACAAACTCGTGGACGTTGATGAGCTCGTCAGCGGCCACATTACGCACCGAGTGGTCGTCGGTAATGGCCTGGGTAATGTGCCCGCCGTTGAAGAGAGTGGCGGGGAACAGAGTGCAGACAGCCTGTGTGCCGATGACAGTGCCGCTCATGTAGTCCTCAGCCTTGCGCTTTACGACATCGCCCACATAGAGGGCGCGGTCGAGCAGCTGCAGTCTGGCCTCTGGGATAAGCTCCGTTTTGTACTGCGTCTGCCACGAGACGAGGACGGTGCCGCGCGGGGGGATGCCGTCTTTGATAAACTTTGCGAATTGATCCTGGGGAATGTCGCCATGGCACTCGATGTCGTCGGGGTAGTCGCGCTGCGGGCGGGGCTCGTGCGAGTCGACGTCGCCAAAGGAGCGCTCTATGATGCCGACGCTGTATTTGTCGTCGATGAGCCCGACCGTGTCCTCGACGCAGAAGACGACATGCTGGACGCTTTGCATTTGGGGAGTCGATAGGCGGGGGCCGGTGTGTGCGGCTGGGAGTGCGCTGCCCCGGGGTGCGAAGAAGCTGGCGGCGCTGGACAGGGCGAGATGGATGAAGGTACTGGGATACTTTCTTGGGCGGGGCCTTTCTCGCATGTGAAGCGTCGATGCTTGCAGGGATCCACATCTACTCTACACCGTACATGTACATGTACATACATACTACTACACTACACTTCCACATACACATACACACATATGACCACCTGTATACACCATGGCTGACGCTCTCTACGATCTCCTCATTCCCTATCTCGACGCCCGCCCTGTCCCCAACGATGCCGCCACAAATGCCTACCTCACCCGCCTAACCACCCTCCCGCTACCAGCCCTCACCTCGTCGGAGCAACAATCGCTGGCCCAAAATTCGCAATCAATACTGCGCTCCATTCAGACCCTCTCCAAAAAATCCCACAAGCCAATCATCGCCTCGGCCGACCACCTGCTGCATCTGCGTACCACTCTCCCGCACATTGGACACGATGCAGCAACCGTCCACGACGAGCTGCCCGCGCTCGAAACAGCAGCACAGCGTTTCTCCGACAAATACAGTAGAGGCACCGATAATGCCATACTCGACAGGCGGAGAAAAGCCATGCTGCTATCGCGCAACATTGACCGCGTCTCCGATGTCCTCGACCTCCCCACCCTCCTCTCGTCTGCCATAACCTCGTCGACAGCCGCCGCACAAGCGACCTCATCCACGGCGACCGCAAATGCAAACTACGCCTCGGCCCTCGATCTACATGCCCACGTCAAACGCCTGCATACTCTCTACCCCAAATCGCCTCTAGTCTCCTCGCTCACAGCTCAGGCCGAACAGGAAATGAAGACCATGACCACCAACCTCATCACAGCTCTCCAGGCCCAGGGAATCAAGTTGGCAGGTGCAATGCGAACCATTGGCTGGCTCCGACGTGTTGCCCCCGAGTTAGATGAATTATGGTCCACCAAGCAGGCCGCTATTGGTAGTGGTGAGGGCACTTTGGGCGCGCTTTTCCTTGTGTGCAGGCTAGTCTGCCTCGAATCCATGCTTGAAGCCCTATCCCCTCTCCGCGACCTTGCAGACCAGGAAACTTCAAAGCGCACGAGTAAGACCACAAAAGTTACCGACAATGGCTGGGCCGCTGGCCAACAAACAGAAAAGTACTTGAAAAAGTACCTAGAAGTGTTCCGCGAACAAAGCTTCGCAATAATATCCATGTACAAAAGCATATTTCCTTCTGCTCTCCCCACACCAGGATCCGAAGACGCTGCAGCCCCGGCTGTCAAGCCCGCCGACTCGTCTGATCCTCTTCAACCCATCCCTTCTGCTCTCTCTACTTTTCCTCTGCACCTCGTCGAAATGCTTTTCGATACACTGCGCGACTACCTGCCCAACGTGCAAGATCGCTCAGCAAGAGACTCGCTTCTCACGCAAGTCCTCTACTGTGCTGGCTCGCTAGGCAGACTCGGTGCAGACTTTAGCGTAATGATTGCGCTGCTCGAAGAAGATTTGCGCGCAGAGCTAGAAGAGAGTGTAGAAGAGAGCGAGACAGATGAGGAATGGGTTGATGTCATGAAGAAGCATCGCGTCCAGGCCTCGAGACTGGAGTTATTGGCCTCGGGTGTAGGCACGACCCGGACGGCGAGTCCAGTTGATAGAGTTGCTAGTCCAGCAAAATAGATGGCTAGTTGAGTTGTAATAATGATAGGTTGGCGATGATACCCATTTTGAGAAAAGGATGGTTTTTGTTTGTTAGTTGATATTGTGTAAAGTCTGTAGTCTTACCAGCACGCAAAGGTTTCGTTCAGCGCATAGCTACCAAGACAGCCACATTTCATGAAAACGAAAGGAAGAGCGAGAAGATGGAATTTCAACCCCCTTTTTCATCTCAAACATTTACGAATTAATGAGCGTGGCTACACGTTATTCTATATCTTCATAATCATCACTGCGTTATCTTTTTTTATCACTTCCCCATACATCTCTTCGTCACATCATCCCTTCCTTCCCCCCATTTCTCTCCCTCTCTCAGCTCAACCTAGCACTTAACAGAAATACTCTTAAACGGCATACTAGCACCAAGCGCACTGCACACCCCCGCCGTCTGCAATCCCACCGACCCAGCCTCCTGCTTACACTTGTCGTCTGCGAAAACTTTGACTACACACACACACACACACACAAACATTAGTATCAACCGTTAGTAAGAAAGAATGAAAGAAGAACGTACCAGAACACCCCTTGTTAGCATAATTCAAGCTAAGACTCGCGACACAATCATCGGTAATGGCGTTGCATCCAGGCACTAAATCGCCCGATCCGGCTATGTTGCAGATTTTGCCTGTGCAGCTGGCGCCGGCGTAGCGGTCTACAGAGGCGACGACGTTGCGGGGGGCGGATGAGCGGGGAGAGAGGAAGTGCGAGATGGGGGATGCGGAGGCGAGGCCCAGGGTAGCAATTAGGAGAGTGAGGGCATGCATTTTCTTTCTCTTGGATTGGGACGGTATAGGTGGATGGGTAGGGGATTAAGATATTAAGTATAAGTTTTCCAAGATTCGTGGTGTTAGACTTGGAAGGTCGGATGAGTAGTAGATGTTGGTATGTCAAGGGAGCATGCCTACTCTCTATACTTATACATTTTCGCCATCTACCCTTCTGGCCAGCCTTCCCTTCTCACCCGACGTAGTGTACATACAGATGTTTGCCTCACGCTCGGCACATGCACGCACGCACGCATCAGCACTTAGCCTTCCCGTCTATGGTACACAGTCTCCATCTGAGTGATCCTTCCATGCAGCTTGCTACCCTCGAGCGTAGTGGCAGAAAAAGCTCTCGGGTGGGCGCAAGAATAGTTATCCTAACGGCACGGTACATGCGTACAAACCGGCCCACATCCCTGGTCGGATGTCATCGGCTCTCCGTCTCTCTCGCTCTCGCTCTCTCTCTCTCTCTCTCGAAATGGGGAGATTATGACGCTAGAGTTCGATAGTGCGATGCGGCTGACTACTAAGCAAAGCGAGATATGTTTGTCTCGAACGACTCACAAAAAGGATTCCTGCAGGATCTTTTCGGTGCAGTACAATAGAAGAAGTGTACAGCACATTCTTCCCTAACTCACTGTGTTTCTAAATATAAGAAAAAGCTACGCTCATGTATCTGCCGGATCAAAGTGTACTGTCACGTTTTGCTGTTGGTTACTAGGACACCCCATGTCATCCCGCTTACACCCAGTGGTAGTAAGCTTTGGGACGGGTATCTCGCCCCGCTACATCACGATCCAATAACCGATCGTCATATCACACTCGCCGCGACACCGAAGGCACCCGAGAACATGGATTCCTTTTCTTTTCAAAGGAAGGCACATGCTTCGCTCCGAAAAAGCCGGTTGCTAGACCGAACAAGAATCTTACTGTATGGAGCCGATAACCTTACACCGCGCTGACATCACAAGTCCTTTCTCTTTCTATCCCGTCTTTCTACTTTCAGAAGTTGCGGTCAGTAGGATGGGCGGCTCGCTCGCGAAGGATAAACCCAGAGCAAACTGTGGTGTCGATTTTTCTTTTGGCTGGCAAATATAGTTGCTAGATTACTTCGGCATTCCACGAGGTGCGTCAGATGGGCGAAGAGTTTCCCGGAACGCGCATGGGGGCCTCGATAACACAGCATCGTAGCTATGCTGACATGTCTTTGAAAGAAAGAAAAAAATCATTGCTTGGCCATGTACCAACGAGCTGTGGCGTCGATGCCTCTTCCGCCAAATCCTATAGACGCACAAGTTTATTAGCTAACAGAAAAGGAAAAACACTCGTGCCACGGACACCGAGTGAATCCTCTGCCTGATACTTGCGTAACCCTCAGCCGTTCGATAGTTTGGCTTTGGAGGGATTCAATGTTCGATTTTTTGCCTTCTAGCCCGTCCCGGCCTTGCAGTAGTTCCGTGCGTACAACAAGCGAAAGACGGTAAACGGATCTAGTAGCTCACCAGCCAATAGAACGTTCAGACTAACCAGTATGTATGCTTGCATCCACATACACGAGTGGTTCCTGCAGCCTGTGAGTAATGGTAAGGGTCCAAAATGGTGGCTTGCTGCTGGCACCAAGTTTGGCTCTTGAACTTAGTCCAGTGTCAAGCATCAACCAATGGTTAGATACTGCTGTCAAGCGTTCTTGGCGAAAGAGTCGGAGCTTCCGTTATCTGTCGGGCTATTACCACAGACGCCTGGTATCGTGATAGTCTTACCATATGCTCGGCTTCTAGTCGACAAACGTGTACAAGCTATTGCTCGTTTGTAGAACTTAGCTGCTACCTCCTGCATGGCAGAGACACAATATGCAAGTCAGTAGTACAAATGCTTGACAACGCTCCTTCTGAAACTACGTTGCTTTAGAGTGCCAGCAGATTGGTGACGATTGCAAACGTCTACCGCCGAAGTCGTGGCGTGATGACCGGGTAAATCGAGGCTTGCGTAATCGCTATGCATGCGACGCATGCACCAACAACGGCAGCCGCATGGATACAGTGTCCACTTGGTTTACTTATGGATAATCGATACATACTGGTTCGGCTTAGAGTCCTGTCGCTTCGTCAATGGCAGTATTGAGTGGCTACCGTAGTCATTCTTCGTCTGCAATCACATTCCAGGCTTGTATCCACAGCACACATTCTCTATATATTTGCTCCTTCTGCTAAAGTGTGATTGTATTAGATCATTTTCTCCGGTATCTCAAGTACCAATAGTATATTGTTTGTCGCGGTAGCCCCGGCCCATTTGTCCAAGTCATTTTGATCGTCGAAATCTCTTCAAAGGTTTCTGCTTGTCAGCTGGTTGATCCTAGTACAACAACATCAGTATGCATCAAATATCTCTATGCTCATGTCTAACTCACCGGATCCCATCCCACCAAACAGTTTACTGTCTCAGCCCCAAGCCCAGGATCATTGATTCGATCGCCACTCGGCATGCGGAACTGACCCGTCAGCTTCACGTAGGCATCGAGAGCATCGGCCATAGTCCTCCCAAGCGCCAGTGCCTTCTCTGCCCTTGCATGCGAGTAGAATGTCAAGAGATCCAGTGCGTGCTCCTGTTGCCCGGCCTCCACCATTGTATGGGCAGCTCGCTCGACCCATTCCATATCAGCAAAAGATGCATTCTCAAATCCATGCAGCATGTTTTGCACAACGGGCAGATAACTTTCCGGATCTGAGCATGTGTAGTAGAGTACTTTTTTGAATATACGTCCAGCAAATTGGGTGGCTTCTTGATACTGGTAGTCAGTGTCCAGAAATGTAGCCGCAGCATCCTTGTACAGATAGCGGTGTAGTCCATACTCTGGCGGAATGCTCTTTACACCCAGCCACCATGGGTTGAAAGGTGCTGTTACCGAACCGGTAGGTGCAACCCAAACACGGATCAGATCGGGGTCCATATTTGGACGTAGAGATACGACTTGGCCGTAACCGGCTTCATCGTCTGAGATTCTGTAGTCTCGAACGTGCTCGATGAGGTCTTTCTCGGTTACAGGAGCCATTGCGCGGGTCGCATCTTCAAGTGCAGCTTGCGACATGTACTTCGCTCCGCCATCTCGTGCAGTGTAGCCTTCTTCTTGGGGTGCGTACGCGTTGAATATGTTGAAAGGCTTGGTGCTGTTTGGGTTCCACCAGCCCTGCTCAACCGCAAAACTCACAATGTTCGGGCTACCCATGTAGTCTGGGCTGTTTTCAAAGTCCACAGGAAAGTCTTCAATATAGCCGGGGTAAAGAACGCGCACATCGTTTTCACCCAGACGCTCTGCCGCCCAGAGTTTCTGGCCTCCTGACATCTCCCAAACCACCCAGCCTTCGCTTGCATCAGCGATGAGATGCGAGTTACCGCCATAGTCGGCATAGCCATAATCAGCGATCATTTGTCCAATAAGCTCGACGCCTTCTCTTGCGGTACTCGCTCTCTCCAGTACAACGCGGGCCAGGTCGGAGTATTGCAAGCCAGTCTGCGGATTTGGTGTCATGGCAATGAGGTCATCTCGGTTCTGAGCCCATATATCGCGCACAGCAACGCCCTTTTCATTAACACCACCGTTTGTGAGAGGCGCCGGAAACCCTTCAAAATCCGAGTATTCCATGGAAAGATAGCGAAAGGTGTGCGGTGCTTGCGAAATGTTCATCAACTTTCCCGGCATCACCGCGTCTTCCGTAACGCCGACGACAATGGTGTCGTTTGCCTTGTGGTCCTTGGCAGGGAAGATCTGAAGCCAGTGCGATGACACTTCTTCGCCCGTTCCGCCCAGCATAACGCTGCCATCATGTGTGAGTGCCTTGCCGACGTAGAATCCATAACTCCCTTGAGATGTCTTCGCAAGGCTCAAAAGCCCAATCGCGAGAAGATGCGATAACATCTTTGTGGAAATGGCGATGGCGAGGGAGTTGGTATCGCCAGCAGTCCGGCTACAGACTTTTCTTTGTCTTCCAGCAAGAGTGGGGAGAGACTATGTATTTACTTGAACAGCGGGCCGACTACGTCAGATAAGTCCGACACGGCACAGCATGGGGATCTGAACTTGAGAGGGTCAAGCTTGCGGTGTTGGAAGTGCGCTATGCAGGAACCGGTATTCCGATAACAGATCTGTCAACTGAGTCGTGAACACATCGGGAATTTCGCGGCATTGACAATATGGCACATTTCAGGTCCCACCGACACAGTGGGTGATCGGAAAAAAGATAGAATCCTGGCTATCAAGTTTATGGTATGGTTTTACTCATCAGTCGATATGGTGCGATAGGCGAGAGAAGTGAAGAAGCGGCGATTACGCGCAGGGGAATGAGGATGTACGCTAGTCATGTACGAGGGCGGGGTCTTGCCAAGGTGACTCACTATGAGCATTGCCGGAACGCGCCTGTAGGATGGAGTTCACATTGTTGTTGCACTGCTTCGCGGCAATCATTGGTATAACTGGCGGCAGTCCCAATACTATGGCGGATCAGAATATTGTGCACCTGCCTAATACGTCTCCCCCGAGGGGTTAAGGCGTCACAACAGCGAGCCGTCCACCCCATAGTAAAGTGAGGCATGAGGTTGGTGCCTGGAGAAGACAGAAGCAGAAATCTGTCATCAATGTGCTCTCCAGTGACTTACTATTAAAGTTTATTATATAAATATCGTAAGGCCCTAAAGCAAATTCAAGCTATAGAGTTTTTGTTTTGAGTGCTACACATATCCTACACCGCTTGTAAACTCTTCTCTCAGAATCACAGAAAAGATCATCATGACTTCCCTATCTACCTCGTCACATCCACGCCAGCGCATCCGCGAGCTGCTCCCAAACCTACACCTGGGCCGTTACCAGCCCGGTCCAAAGAACAGTCTCACAGACATCCCTGGGGTTCTTGTACACACTGAATCCATCCACTCCTCACCTACATACCCCAATGCAGCGGCGAATTCGATGAATACAGGCGTAACAACTATCCTGCCACGCAAAGACTGGTTTCACAAAGCTTGCTTTGCAGGCATTTTCCGCTTCAATGGGTCTGGGGAGATGACTGGGTCGCACCTAATCGAGGAGATGGGTCTGTTGTTCTCGCCAATTATTATTACTGGTAGCTTTGGTGTTGGTTCAGCATACAATGGAATCTACGAGTATGCTATCCGGGAAAATTGTGACGCCGAGGGCAAGGTGGACTGGTTCTTGTTGCCAGTCGTGGCGGAGACGTTTGATGGCTTTTTGCATGATGTTGCCAAGTTTGCTGTGACGCCAAAGCACATCGTGGATGGTATGGACAAGGCGAGCAGTGAACCGGTACTGGAAGGAAATACGGGTGGCGGAACGGGTATGATATGTCACTACTTCAAAGGCGGTACTGGATCGAGCTCTCGTGTTGTTCCAGCCGAAGAAGGACGCAGTTATACCGTGGGCGCACTCGTCCAAGCAAACTATGGCAAGATGTGGGATTTCAAGATTGGCGGGGCACCAATTGGGAGACTCATTTACGAAGAGCAGAAGAGAAAGATGGAGGAAAATCCCGAGGATCCAGAGTTGATTGCTCAGTCCAAACTGCTGTTCAAAGTCGAAAAGGCAAAGGATAAGAAAGACGGGTCCATCATTGTCATTATTGCGACAGACGCACCGCTCCACCCAACACAACTTCAACGGCTAGCCAAGCGCGCAACGGTTGGGCTGGCTCGGGTAGGCGGCTACGGCACGAATCCGTCTGGCGACATCTTCATGGCGTTTTCCACAGCGAATGAGCTGAATGTGCAGACTGTAACAGCAGGCCAGGCAAGCGTAGACCCGTACAAGGCGCGGGAGGTACAGATCGCCATGACGGATGACCAGACCATCAACGCGCTCTTTGAAGCAAGCGCAGATATAGTTGAAGAGGCCATCTATAACGCGGTATGCATGGCGGAAACGATGGACGGGAATGGGAACAAGATTGAGGCGCTAGACCTGGGGCGCGTCAAGGAGCTGATGCAAAAATACTTGTGAGATGGGCATTGTAGTTTGTAGACAAGAATGGTATTGTCTAAATAGTAAATGTGGTTGTGGCGCGCAGTGTTGCGCAATCGTCAAGCAGTTGCAGCAGAGAGCGTAGTCCCGAAATGGCTTAGTGGCTCGAACTAGTGCTTGGCGAAAGGAGAGAGGGGCTAGTGCCTGAAGCCAGGGATAACACCGTGAAACATGGTTTTTCCTCCACATGACCATACAGTTGTTTTGCTCGCCATGTGTCTGGGACAGGGACAACGACAGCGGGCACAGCATCAGCATCAGCATCAGCAGCAGGAGCGGTCGAGACTGCGTGGCTGGCAGAGGGCGTTGGCGGGAGGAGTGCGCCCAAGTCGAATGATTTGACACATGGTGAGGCTGAGCAACTGGAGCTTGGGCAGATCTACGATAGCGTTATGGCAGTGCAGGGAGGGCGTGGAGAAAATCAGCCGATTTGCGAGAAGGGGAAATGCCATAAGGTCCTGAATCGGCTTAGTGAGGCCTGTCAATACAGGAGCTGGGAGGGCGTGGAAGCAAGCAGACAGGAGGCGGGCGAGCGCGGTGCTGGGGGCGCTGACATGAACATGGACGAGTAGTCTAGACCTCTGCTGCACCACTGCGATCTGAGAGTACTTTTCGATCAGCACTCCCCGGCTACCTGCAATACCACGCGGGCACTGCGCTGCAGATGACAGCCAGTAGTGCCCTGCCTGTGAATGGTCCTTGGATGCAACAGGGAGGAGGGAACACGTTCCGTGCCTGTTGGAATGGTCCCCGCTGCTGTTCATCATGTAAGTGTTGTATCACTCGGCGTCTAGCTCTACAAGCACATCGCCCCATCGCCCATCGCCCATCGCCCATCGTCCCATCAACGCTGGCGCCGAAAGCTTCTTTTCAGAGGCAGTCCGTTGTGTCGTGTACAGTGTGCTCTGGACGGGAATAGGCCCGGCTCGAGTGCCGCCGACACGACAGTCTGCGGCATTCGAGGGCGACGCGGTGCTGCTCTCAAGTAGTATAGCGGTGCGTACTCTACTTGCACGTGTGGCCAGTCAGTCAGTATACGTACGCATGTCTGTAGCATTTCAGGCCATGGTGATGACTTATCCCCCTCTTTTGTAAACGCAGGCGGCCGTGACAGATTCAAGCAATCTGACTGCAGCGCTGCGTCGGCTGCACGCACTCAGACCGGGCTGCAGCAACCACTAGCGCCCGACAAAAGGGTGGGTCGAGACTGTGAGGGCCTCGAACACCCTTCTTTTCATCTACTGGGTCTGGAATCACAGGCCACGGCTGCACGCTATCCCATACCGTCTCTCTCAGCTTCTGTCTGTCTGCACCGCATGGTCTTTGCTGCGGCACTTTCCATATCGTCTGCGTGACGCTCAAATATGCCATTTGTCCCATTTCCCATCCTTTCTCTCTGCAGACGTCACCCTTCATGGCGATCCCTTCCCCTTCAAGTCCGACTTCACCAGGCCTGCCCGATGTTCTGAGCCGGCTGGGGTTAACCGAATATCTTCAAGTCCTTGCCGACAATGGCTTCCATACCTGGAGCGCCGTCCTCGACATTACCGAGGACGACATGACGGCCCTCAACTTCAAACTTGGCCACCGCAGACTGCTCCAGCGCGAGATTGCAACCTACCGCGGCATTCCTCAGTCCCTGTCACTCGACCCGGAGTCCAATTCACCAGAGCCAGTATCTCTCTCTGCGTCGGCCCTCGAAAGCTTCACCAGACAGACGACTACCCCGCCACCACGCGAGAAGCGGCGGTACCGGCGCCATCCCCGGCCAGATCCCAATGCGCCCAAGAAGCCAAAGACAGCCTGTACGACAACAAGACGCTTGCGCGTTGTCGATTTGATATTACACACTTACTAACAATCGTAGATGTCAACTTTGCTGACCAGCTTCGCACAGACCCAGAAGTCAGCCAGCTGTCCTTTGTCGACATTGCACGCGAGGTGGGTCGCAGATGGCAGGAGCTTCCAGCCGAGAAGAAGCGCGTATGGGAAAGTAATGCTGCGCGGTCCATGCAAGAGTTTGAGGCCCAGATGGACGAGTACAAAAAGACCGACAGTTGGCAAAAGCACCAGATGTACCTCAATGAATTCAAAGCCCAGCAGTCGACCGCCTCTTCAGGCAGACAACGGCCAGGAAACAGCCGCTCGACAACAGATACATCCAACAACACCCGTCCATATTCACACACAAGCCCTAGCTCCATAGACAGTCCTGTGTCTCTGATGCCTGCTCCGCCCATGGGGCCTGGCGCCGAAGCCTGTCACAACGCACTGACCCTAGCCTTTAGTGAGCTGGTAACTCTCAGAAGCGAGATCATCAATGGAGGCGCTCAGCATTTCAATGAAAATCGTCTCCCGCCCGAAGAGCGAGTGCGTCGGTCCATGTATGCCTTCATCCGAGGCACTGGCTCGCTCATTTTCATGTGGACATTTGAACAGGCCGATGAGATTCTCGACCGAATCTACCGGCCACAGACAAAGGTTGACGATATGACCCTTGCTGAATGTTTTACAGTGGCTGCCATGGGTGCGCATTATGATATTGATGCCTTTTCTGATGACATGTTGCGCCTACTCTACGCCTCTGGGACCCTTCATTTCAATGAACGGACAGCCCGGCAAGATCATTTTCGAACAATGCGTTTGTTGCTCTCATTGTCTTTCTTCTCGCTCCTCGAGAAACACATGAGCGCAAAATATCTTATTGGTAGTTGAGCTCCCTACTAAGCTATTCAACCCACAGGCTGACAAGACGCAGCCGCAGGATTACAGATTGCCCGCTGGAAATGTGCAGCACCGCAGAGCTGGCCGCAGACAGCCGATGTGGGCTGGAGGAAAATCTTCCGAAGTCTCATTTTCATGGACACATGGCTTTCGTACACGCTTGGCTATCCTTCGGAGGTGACAGCCAACGATGTCCAGGTATGGCATGGCGAGACTGCTAGATTTCCATATAGCGCTAACATGGCTAGATTGCGTGTGTTGTGGACTGGCCAGACCACCTTTCGATAGATGACATGATTCACACACAAACTAGCAAGATCAATTTGATTGCGGCTGAAGTTGCAAAGACGCTTGCATCACCCAACTTAGCCACCGAGGCTAACATTACTCTGCTTACTCGTAAGCTCGAGCAGTGGCGCCAGGATGTACCCTACAACTTGCAGATTCCTACCCTTTTGTCCAGCGAAGCTCAAGAACTGAACAAGTACCAGAGGCGAGCCATTTTCATGGTACATGTACGAAGCCGCATTCCTCGGATTGTGTGTCAGCACTGACCTTTTCTTGGTAGATTATGTATCTTGGCACCCTAGTTTTGCTATACCGTCAATTGCTTGTTGCTGCGGCTGGAGCCCAGCTCACCGACGAGGCAGCAACTCCCTTGAACAATTTATCAGCCGATGATATCAAGATGTATAGACGAGAGTGTTCAACAGCCGCTCAAAACATTGCGCGCATGTTAGGGCTCATTTCCTTTGATGGCACATTAAGTAAGCGCTGCTGGATAGTGTAAGTTATTGAGGAAAGTGAAGGAAAGTGAAGCAGGCTGACAAGTGTAGTATATATTGGTCATTTTCAGCCGCCATTTGCCTGCTTTTCAGTGCAACCACTAAACTCATGGATGGCCAGACAGACGGGGTTGAGGCCGATCTCGCGTACGCCAAATCATGCATGGACATGCTGGAACCGTGTAAGCCGTGTGAGCCGGTCGCAGCACGGTACCTGGAAACACTGTGGCCATTGTACGACAATCTGCAAGATGTTCTTCGCCGGATGGTTGGGAGGTCGAAAAGCAGCATCTTCGCCATCCTGCAGCCTGATCCGAGCTTGTTGAGCCCCCCGGTACCGGTATCAAAGCAGGAGATGGGGCCGATTTCCGAGAAGATTACTACACTCTTTACCGATCCTTTCGGAAGGACACAAAACGATGAAGGAATCGGGAGGCGAGTACTGAGCACCGATGGATCATACTCGGTTTTCTGGTTCAGGTGAAGAGGATATGATTGTCATGACTACTTTTCATGGTTTGGTCAACCGGTTAGCTTGAGAGAGAGTCTCTGACGCCTCATCAGAGCTGCGTCCTTAAGAGTCCGAAGCGATAGCGAAACGGTGGCGCTGTGGCATCTCGAAAGCTGTATTAGCGGCTGTTTGAGTGCTCCCACGCTGAACCACAGAGTCAGCCTCCGCTTGTAATGGAGTGCTTCGACGCGCAAGACTTGTCACAGTGCTATATATGGCATCGTCTTCAAGCGGACGGCGCTCCGTGTTGCGCCATGGGCATTCAATTGACGGCGCACTGACATGTTTCAGTGGTTCCCAGTTACTAGCAGCCGATCCAGCGGCGTGTCACTAAGCAGCACGCACGTGCAGGAGACGCGATGGCTGGCAGTTTGTGCATGGTTGTTGCAAGGGAATGATGGGACGATGGCCCAGATAGTATGAGCTGACTGCGAAGTGTATAGCGCCACTTTGACTGTGCGCCAGAGATGTAAAGAGACACAAAAGGGAGAGTAGGCTTGAAGGCTTAGGGTATTAGGAGGAGAAATTCCAGCTGCAGTGCCGATCACGGGAGTGCCCGCCTGCCCGTAGCGTAAGACGCCATCGTCACCAGCCCCCACCAGTGCGTGAATCAGCCAATCTAGTGCGTGCAAGGAAGTCCGGAGGCAGTCTTCGGTCCCAGAGGAAATCGACTGGGCGCTTGCAATGCAGACATGTATGGTGTTCATGTGCACTCGAGTGCACTGACTCGAAGAAGGTTGTGTGTGTTTTGTACATGTACATACTATGTGTGGGCGTGTATGTATTCGCCATTGGCAGGCGTACGCGTCCTGCCCCGCCGATCCCACGGCGCGACATCTGGAACTGAAAATCCCCGCCGGTGTTGCAATTTCCAGTGACTTCTCCGTCAACGGCCCGTTGGAAAGAAGAGAGTGAGATGACGATAGTCGAAATGGGTGCTTGGCTGACGTTGGCGGTTAACGCAGCTGCGGCCTTTTTTTCGATAGTGTTAGCGGTTGTTTGCTCAGCCGGCACACGTAGGCACGAGTCGACGATGCAGGACATTGACGAGACTAGTGACAGCTGTGTCTATCGAAACATGTTTTATGACGAAGCCAACGGTAGACGTGTGAGCACGGTCAGTCTCTGAGTTTTTGTTTTGCTTGTCTCAGTAGAGGGACAAGGCACCAGATACCCGGGCATGAATTCCGTGTGGCATATCGATTGGAGAGAAGGTAGGTGGTTCCGCATGGGCTAATGCTGTCAACCTCGGTGGTGGGTGGGTTCATGGGCGGTGAAGAGCTGTACGACGACAGATGCCATGTCGACCCATATCTTGCTTTCCCCATTCTCCACCCTAATGCCAACATCGTTGGCGTGCGTGTCTAACCCAACCTCCGCCCCCGATAACAGGAAACCCATTCTGATAATGTGCCACGATGATTGACTGCAGCAAGCGAATTGACTAGCTGAATTGGCTCCCCCGCCCCTGAGCGAGGCCTTGCTGGCGGGCCCTTGTCGGCGGACGAAAACAACAATATTAACAATAAACAATAAAGTCTGTGTGCAACACAGGCTCCCGGCCGAGTCCCCTCGCCTCTGTGACAGCAAGAGGGCAGGCTTGCTAGGGCAGGCCGTGGCTGAATAGAGTGTCGCGAGATGCAGACGGGCGGTGCGTGGTATGCAAGCGTGCAAGCGGATAGGGAAAGGGGGCGTGTGCGGATGCAAGTCTAGATCGACCACACGCCCCCACTCCCAGACGCCCCTAGCATGTCGGCGTGAGGGAGGCTCGTTCGCGTCATTTGGGTGAAATAATAGGGAACGGCGTCCCTTGTTCCAAGTTGCCCAAAAAAACCCGTCCTCGAATCTTCCATCCCGCCTCTCCTCTTGACCTTTGCTTTCCCCTTTGCTTTCTACAACCTTCTCGCCTTGCTTTTCTGGCACACCCGCCCTCCCCCTTGTCCCGTTCGCTTGTTCTTGTGCGGAGAGGGAGATACCGACCAGAGAAAGAGACAGGGAGAGACAGCTTATAATAGCCCCGGAGCCTGCACACACGTCACTCATCACTCGGATACCGATGCAAAGCGAGCCCAAAGAGACATACTACTACTATTACTACTACGACTACAACCCCCACCACTACCACCACAATGGATAACTGTCACGCGATATACACGGAGAGTCCGTTTGCCATTTCCCAGGAGGATGTCGATGCCCTCAACTTGTCAAAGGCGTTTTGTGCGCTGAGGAGGTGTTTGGCGGGCCAGGCCGAGTATGTGCTGTCCTGTTGTTCTCTTGTCCGCGTCCGGGAGCTTATCGCACCGGCCTATCGCACGCTTGCTGCTCCAGTACCACTGCAGTTAGCATGCTACCCAATCCAACCCAACCAACCACTTACCTACCCAACGTCAGCATCTATCTGCAAATACACGGGCTAACATGGATCCAATAGTTTCTGTGCCTCACATTCGACATGCTCACCCCAAGCCAAGCAAACATGGCTACTCCACCGCGATATCCTCCACGCCCTGATCATGCCTATTGTGACCTTGTTCTCGCGCGCCTCGACCCTAGCTTCTGCCGCCTTGTGCACACAGCGGGCCTCCGACCTTGAACTCGCCTTTTCGGGCGAATCCCGCAGTGCATTCATCGGCCTGCAATGCTTCATCACCGAGGAGGCCGACTGGTGCCACACTCGAGGCTGCCCAGCCTGCGTCGTGACCGAAACATTGAGCACCGACAGCCACATCCGCCTGACCATTGCCGCAAGCCTACTCAGCACTGCAACCGTAGCCACCCCCACCCAGGAAGAACCCCCCTCGCAGGACTCTCAAGACCGAACTCTGCCCCCGCTCCCCCACATCCTTCCCGCCCTCCAGCACGCAGTCATCAACGACCCCTTCTGGGAAGGCTCAGACATCTGGAGCTACATCCTCTCGCGCGCCACCCAGCTCTCCGCCGGCATCCAGGCCCTCATCGCCGAATGCATAAATCTCGAGTCCCTCGTCTCATCCCCTACAACCACTGACCGCCCGGCCTCCAAGCGCGGCATGACGCATCCCAGCGTCCCCTTCGTTGCTTTTGGCCAAGCAGCCCCGGAAAAGGGTGTCAAGCTCAGGAAGAGCAAGCTCGCAAAGAGACAGCTTCGGCTCCGTGATGAGGAGGTGGAGCTCATGAGGCGGGTGGCGATGCAGTGCTGGGCTAAGGCTAAGGTACCGAAGAACCTGAGGGCAGACGCCCTGGCCTTGGGTGAGAGTAAGAGGTCGAGGAGCTTGACTTGTCCGTGAATTGAGTGCAAGCTTGCAATTTCAAATTCCCTAAAGTATAGGGGGCGTTCATGAGGTGTTTCTTTGGGGGTCTTTTTTTTGCATATGGATGATACCACCGCATTATCTTCTTCTTCTTTTTCTTCTTTTTTCGTTTGTCTCGTTTTCTCTTTCCCCTTTTATTTTTCCTCCTTTTTTTTCTTCTGGCTCAGGAAATTAAGGGACTATTAAGGCATGTGTGTTTTCTTGTCTTTGAGCGGACTGGATACAAACAACCTTCATCCTTTGCATTGTTTTCCTTCCATTTCTTATGTGTGCGGGCATGGCATTAGGGGTTGGGATGTATTTTAGAGTATACTAGATTCCATATATCTAGATGTTCTAATTCGAGAGAGAGAGAGAGAAATTATTAATATTATACTCATGGATTCTTGAGTGTATGATTACTTCTCTATTTTTGTTTGTATGTGTACAGGTACTCGACATTACGTAGGCTTTTGTTACATACATCCCAACATTCCAAACTCTACAACTTAGCACCAACAACACTACCACCGTCCAACGCAATCGTCGCACCATTGACATACGACCCGGCTCGACTCGCCAACCAAATACACGTCCCCGCCACATCCTCAGGCGTCCCGATCCTGCCCAGCGGAATGCCCCCTGTAATCACATCCTGATACTTCTCCAGCGTCGCCTTCATCATCTTACTCTGAAACGGCCCACACGCAATCGTATTGCTCGTAATCCCCCGCTTCCCTAGATGGCTCGCAAGCACCCGGCTCATATGGTGCAATCCGGCTTTAGACGCCGAATACGCAAATGTCTCGAGCGCGGGGACACGCAGGCCGTCTACGCTGCCAATGTTGATGATACGGGCTGGCGAAGTAGGTGTTGCTGCTGCTTCCAGCAGGGGTGTAACGGCCTGTGTGAGTTGGAAGACGCGCTTGAGGTTGAGGTTCAGCACGCGGTCCCATGCCGCCGCGGGGTATTTATCGTAGGACTCGCCCCAGTTGCTGCCGCTGTTGTTGACGAGGACATCGAGTTCTGTTTGTCCCAAAAGCCATTAGCCCTCATCCCCCATATAACTATATCACGAAAAGAATGAGATAAGAAAACGTACTTGTAGTCCTCTTGCCCAACTCCGCAGCAATATACGCAGCCGCATCTTCCTTGTACAAATCCGCAGCTATAAAATCTGCCTTTCCTTTTCCCAGCGCATTCATCTCCTTGCACGCCGCCTCGCATGCTTTGGCGTCGCGCGAGGAGACGAAAACGGTGGCGCCGTTGCGCACAAAGCCCTCGCTGATCATGCGGCCGATGCCTTTGGCGCCGCCGGTTACGAGGACGACTTTGCCCTGTTGGATGGTTTAGTACGTCTATAGTATACAAAATGGAATGGTACGTTGCGTCAGGGGATTACGTACGCTGACGTCGAAGAGGGTGGTGTTTTCCATATTTTCGATATGTTTTTTTTCTTTCTTCTTTTGCTTTTGATTGGGAAGGAAGAAGTTTGGGTAAGGTGTTTAGATTGTGGATAGTAGGAAGGACAGGGGAGGGAGAGGGATATGTGGGTTCATGGCGGCACCCACGGCTAAAGCGATCGTCGCGTCGGATGTTGGTTGGGGTGGAAAGCTGGGGTTGAGCCGAGGCTCGGGGGGTTGGTTGTTCCGGAGTTGAGATGGGTTAAAAGGCTGGCTGGGACGCTAGTTAGAGTGAGAAGTTGAGGTGCCAAGGTTTAGATGGTGCATTTGCGTTGTTATCCGTTTGTGGTGAGCTCCGTGCTTGGAGACGATTAAGAGGAAAATCTGATATACAGATCAAGGCTCATGTCGGGCTATTGACGTCGGCGTACCCCTGCTGGGACTATTCTGCACACGAACTTGATCTGCTTTTCATATACGAGGAGCCAAGGACAAGCGGGTCGTTTGTGAACGCTCTTGCTATTATATTCTCCGTGAGGAGAATATAACACCTGAAAATATGGCCAAGCTTCACAAACGTTAATATCACGAGGGCAAAGATAATATATTCATTGCAATCGGGTATCATAACACAGCAGTTACCAATTCAAATGGCACAACATGGGCACTTCAAACAGCGCCAGCCTTCCTCTTGTCCATAATCTGCTGCTTGAGTCCCTCTGCCGCAACCTCGGTCTCAAGCAGTCTACCCAGGCCCTTCTTCCACGTCTCTTCCAACGTCTTGATCTCGCCGCTCACACTGTCCTGCTGCGCCCTCCTAGCCATATCCGTCTCCTCTTGTTGCTTCTTCAGGCTGGCCAGCTCAGCCTCGATGTTCTTCAAGATGTCCTCAAGTTGCGAGTTGCCTACCAACCACGCGTTCTTGCCAAACTTCTCCAGCAAGCTGAGCTGGGTCAGTCTGCCCTGGACGTACTCGGAGCTGGTGTACGCCTGCTTCAGGGACTTGCTCCATCGCTCGAGCAGCTCGGGACGCTCCTCATCAGTCGTCGGAGTCGTATTCTCAGGCGCGTCGAGATCTTCGTAGCGCTTCAGGTCTATGCCAGAGAGCTTGGAGGTGGGGTCGTCGTCGAGGCGCGCATGCTCGCGCGAGATGAAGTCGGAAAAAGTTGGTGTGTATACGGCGGCGGCTGGTATAAGGGCGGGATGCATTTCTGAAGTGTCTACACCAGCGCTGCGGATGTCGGCGTCAATGGCAGCTTTGGCAGCAGCGATGCTGTTTGCATCCAGTTCCGTATCTACGTCTGCAACAAGTTAGCATGCAGCTTGCATCCGTTATCACGCGCGCAGTCCCCCCAGCACGCAGCGCAGCGCATCGGACTTGCAGCTGTTCCTGGCGACGGTAATTTACGTACAAGGGAGGTCATCGTAGGATGCTTGAATGAGTGGCATTGTTGCAAGCGATGTGCAGGGGCACGGGAAGATGGTGTATTGGCTGTGCCCAAGGTCGCAAAGCCAAAGAAAGCTTGACCCCATAAAATTAAGCTACTGGGCCCTGTTCGCACATCATCCCCACCAACCACAACGCCAGCATCCCCGCAGCGTCATGCAACCAATGCTAAACCCTCCAACCACAGCCAGGGCGGCTTCTGTGGCCAAAAGCATACTCCCTGTAATCCTGTGATACATACACACCTGCACCACAGCTCCTTCTCCATGTGCCCACCGTAACATACAAGTACCTGTTACCTCCCTCTTGAGCGTCTCGCTCTCTTCCTCTTCTTCCGCACACTTCCGCACGCCCATCTTGCTGCGACAATGGCCCGCTCGCACATTGCCGTCGCTTTGGGCGCCGCCCTACTTGCCTCTTTGATCATTGGCCAACTCGTTATCAACTTGGGATTCCCTTCGGTCGACTTTTGGCATGCACGCCTAGACCAAACCTACACTGGCGCACAGCAGGACTCGTTCTTCAGTGAGAAGCAGGATGACGGTCCCGCCGCCCAAGACGCGTCTTCGTACCTCATCGGCGTTGGCAAAGGAGATATCACTGGGTATTATATAACTGATGTTGCCTGAGTTTTTGCCGTCGCTAACCGCTTGACAGCCCTGTTGTCGAGCTCAACTTGATGGGCTATGCCAACTCATCGCAAAAAGGAACGGGACTACGCCAGCGCATTTACTCGCGCGCCTTCATTATCGGCAACCCGAGCGTGGCAAGCGAGAGATTTGTGTACCTCGTCCTAGACACCCAGTCTGGAGACACTGCTATTCGTAATGGCATCTTGGAGGGTCTCCAGAAAATGGGTCCCGAATATTCCGTTTACACAAAGAACAATGTAGCCGTGACAGGCACCCACAGCCATGCTGGCCCAGGTGCTTGGTTGAACTATCTCCTCCCACAAATCACCAGCCTTGGCTTTGACAAGCAGAGCTATCAAGCTATTGTTGACGGAACGCTGTTGTCGATCAAGAGAGCACACGAAGGCCTGGCGCTGGGAACTGTCAGTGCTGGCAGCGCCAAAATTGCCAATGCAAACATCAACCGCAGTCTCTTTGCTTATCTTGCCAACCCACAGGCTGAGCGCGACCGTTACACGGACGATGTCGACAAGACCATGACGTTGCTCAAGTTTACGCGAGCCAGTGATGGAAAGAATATTGGTGTCTTGAACTGGTTCCCAACCCACGGTACCAGCTTGCTTGGCAACCAAACGCTCATCGCTGGAGACAACAAGGGTGTCGCTGCATATCTCTTCGAGCAAGATATGGAGGCAAGCGCCGACCAAGCAAATGCCGCCCAGGGTTTTGTCGCAGGCTTCTCACAGGCCAACGTCGGTGACACGACCCCCAACGTTCTTGGTGCTTACTGCGAAGATGGAACTGGCTCGCAGTGCAGACTAAACGACAGTACTTGCGGAGGCAAGAGCCAGGACTGTCATGGTCGTGGTCCATACTACGGCCTCAACGATGGTGGCCACAAGTCCTGTTATGAGATTGGCAAGCGTCAGTATCAAGGCGCCAAGGGCATCTACAATTCGGCTTCCTTCACAGCCATCTCTGGTAGCATTCGCTCTTTCCACACTTTTGTCGACTTCTCCAACTTTACATTTACATTGAGCAATGGATCTACAGTCCGTACATGCCCTGCGGCAATGGGTAATTCATTCGCCGCCGGAACTTCTGATGGACCTGGTGCATTTGATTTTGTCCAAAACGATCCCGGTGCGCCCTCGAATCCCTTCTGGAACGTTGTCGGCAGCGCCATTTCCCCACCAAGCAAGGAGCAAAGGGAATGCCAATACCCAAAGCCCGTCTTACTGAATGTCGGTCAGGCCACCGTGCCTTACCTTTGGTCCCCCAACATTGTTGACATTCAGCTACTTCGCGTTGGTCAATTTGTCATTATTGTCTCACCTGGTGAAGCAACCACCATGTCTGGTCGCCGCTGGCGTGAAGCAGTTCACAACGCTGTTGTCTCGGCAGACATTGCTTCGTCACCCATTGTCGTGCTTGGTGGACCAGGAAACACATACACGCATTACATTGCTACCGAGGAAGAGTACAGCATCCAGCGTTACGAGGGTGCGTCCACGCTTTACGGCCCACATACGCTAAACGCTTTCATCAACTCCACCTTGACATACCTACCCTACATTTCTGATGGATCAAGGAGCGCTCCTCCACCAGGCCCTTCGCCTCCAGATCACCGTGACAAGAGCATCTCGCTCATCACCGGTGTCGTCTACGATGGCGCAGGCATCGGCCGCTCGTTCGGCCAAGTCACAAAAGACGTTGTGTCAAGTTACGCCCGCGGCGCCCTGGTCAGTGCCACTTTTGTTGGCGCCAACCCACGCAACAACCTCCGTCTCGAAGGCACCTTTGCTTCCGTGGAAAAACAGGCAGCCGACGGTACGTGGACACAGGTCAAGAATGACGAAGACTGGGAGTTGGTCTACGAGTGGAAGCGCGTCAATGGCCTGACGGGTACGAGTGACGTTACTATCACGTGGGACACGGGTCTCACGGCACCTGCGGCGGGTACATATCGCATCAAGTATTATGGTGATGCCAAGAAACTTGGTGGTAGCATTGAGGCGTTTGAGGGCAAGAGTGCAGCGTTCAAATTAGTGTAACGTCCGTCCCCGCGTAACGGGACACCCTCTCACAAAACCGGTAAAACCGGAAAATGACGGCCCCTCCCAGCAGTGCAAAACCACCTAAAAACATAGCAAAAATACTGCCCGCTTGCTTCTTACGTTAATCTATCTCTTATACATGCGAATTAGTATTTAGAAATTTCAGAACTATCAAAGCAAGATAACGTGTTCCACGGGCGAGCGCCGCACACGGGCGAGCGCCGCACCCCACCAAACTTACACACCTCTCCCATCTTATCGTACAATGGCTCAACGCAGCGCTACTCTATTAGCTTCGAATGAATCAGATATTCAGCTTGCTATCTCCTCAATCAACTCTAAGCAGATTCTAAGTAATCGGAGTGCTGCTGCTATCTATAGCGTGTCTGAACGAACGATCCGCCGCCGACGCGCTGGTGTCCCTGCGCGACGCGATTGCCAGCCCAATTCAAAGAAGCTAACCCAGCTAGAAGAGGAGGTGATTGTTAGCTATATACTCGATCTAGATCAGCGTGGATTCGCGCCTACGTACGCAGCCGTGCGCGATATGGCTGATAAGCTGCTGGCTACGCGCAGTGGAGGACGCGTTGGAGTTAACTGGCCGTCTACCTTTGTTAAGCGTATAGATAGTCTTACGACGCGTTTCAACCGAGCGTACGATAGGCAGAGAGCTCTATGTAAAGATCCAGTCCTAATTAAGAGCTGGTTTAAGCTTATAGAGCAGACAAAAGCCAAGTACGGTATCTGTAACGAGGACGTCTACAACTTTGACGAAGCTGGCTTTATAATAGGCAAGATTATAACTTAGCTTGTTATTACAGCGTCAGAGAGAAGAATACGGCTAAAATCTATTCAGCTAGGTGGTCGTGAGTGGGTAACATTTATCGCTGGGATTAACGCGGCTGGCTGGGCTATCCTACCGTTTCTTATCTTTACTGGTAAGCACCACCTATCTGCCTGGTACGAGGAGGCAGAGGTCCTGCGCGACTGGGTGATCGCAGTCAGCGACAATGGCTGGATAAATAATGAGCTAGGCGTTATATGGATAAAGCACTTCGACGCTCATACGAAGACTCGCGTTGTTAGTACACGTCGTCTACTTATCCTTAACGGTTATGAGAGCCACTAGTCTCTTGAGTTCTAAGAGTTCTGTTAGAAGAATAATATCTACACTCTCTGTATGCCACCTCATTCGTCTCATCTACTCTAGCCTCTTAACGTTGGCTGCTTCTCGCCATTAAAGCGCGCGTACAGCCGCGAGGTAGAGAGTCTAATCCGCCATTACATTAACTACATTACTAAGCTTGAGTTTCTACCAACGTTTAGGATAGCCTTTGATTGATCCTTCACGCCAGCTAATATCTGCTCAGCTTTTCAAGGCGCAGGCCTTGTCCCTCTCCATCTAGACGCTGTTCTATTAAAGCTTGATGTGCAGCTACGTACGCCTAGTCCTCCAGCTACTCTTATAGAGGCTCTCTGGCAGGCTCGTACACTAAGTAACGTACGTGAGCTAGAGGCTCAATCAACGTTAATAAGCGAGCGCGTTCGAAAGCACCAGAGCTCATCACCAGCTTCAATCATTGCGGCGATTAATCAGCTTAAGAAGGGGGCTGAGGTAATGATGCTCTTAGCTGAGCTAATGCGCGATTGAATTGCCAGCCTTGAGAGAGCTAATACAGTAGTGTCAGAGCGTAGAAAACGTAAGAAAAAGCGGATACAGAAGCGTGGAGTCCTTATAAAGGGAGCTGGCGAGGATCTACTCGCTCAGCGTGAGGCTGATCAGCAGATTGCTCATGAAGAGCGTTAAGGAGGAGAGCGATTAGGTGTTAGCCGCTAGGCTCTTGCGCGCTGTAGTAGGTGTAGGGAGACTGGTCACAATGCACGTACATGCAAGAAAGATACTTTAGATAGTACTTAATCTACTATCTTAATATATAATAGAATAATTAATTCATGGTGGAGCTACGCGCTTGTAGAGGTGTATAAGTTTGGTGGGGTGCGGCGCTCGCCCGTGTGCGGCGCTCGCCCGTGGAACACGTTATGCGTATTCGATAGCATAAGTTTTATTTAGAAATAAGCACGTTGTGATGAAAATATTTTATGTTCTTAATAGCTAGTTTTAGTGGGCAATGACCGCTTAGTTTGAATTTCTAGTTTTATTGGTTTTGTGAGAGACACCCTGCGTGGCGGGACGCCACAACTAGGTAAAGGTAGAGTAGAGATGCCATCCACTGCAGATGTTCATACCATGAACTTGATAGCAACCCTATGGCTGGTGCGGGTCGTCCGTCCTCCCTACTAGCGGTGGCGACAGAATGCACCACAATATTATTCTAATCGCTGCTTTAACTATAGTTAACACTAAACTATGACTATGAAATCCATTAGGGAGTAGCTTAGCAAAGGAGGGTCTAAATTTAGCTTGAAGCGTCTAGACAAAAAGAGTGATCAGCTGCATATTTGCCTTACCTCGCCACACTAGGCTGTGCGATCTGTCGCACCAGACCCAAATGGAGCTTCAAAAAGTCTACTTACAATAACAAGAATATCCTATCGCATGCCTAGGACGCGTCCACGATAGCTCCTTTTCCGCCAGCTCCTATTGGAGAGACCCTGCAGAAATGGCGCCAATACTGCGACTCAGCCTCACCGCCGTAGGGGTCACTTGTTCTGATGAAATTCAGCGCCGTCCCCTTTCTTGAATACCTTGTATACCATTCATCTAGATTAGCCCCCATTTCCCCGCAGCTCCGCAAAGACTCTCCGGTGAAGACTTCTTAAGTCGCAAAGTTAGCCTTCATCTTTGATGGAACCCATAACAGGGTTCAGATCGGAACAAAACGATAGCCGAGGAACCGTTGGCATCATTTGGGCCTGCTTGGTCACCACATTTTTGTGTACATATACGGTTCTCCACCTGGATGTCCAAACACGAACTTCGACAAAGTGGGGCCCAACCAGACGCAAGCTCAGATGGATCATGGCCGGTATCTTTGCTCCGGAGGTCATTACATCTATTGCATACTCACAGTGGCTGTTTGCCCGAGCTCTAGTCAAACACATGGAAGAGAACGGTTGGATCAATGCGACCATGATCGAAGCGCACTTTTTGTCAATGAGGGGTGTCGCAGTCAGGAACAAGGTGGAGGACAGGATACGAATTGGACAGACTCACCTGACTCCTTCAGACGTCGTCGGTAGCTTGGAATTTCGGGCGGCGTTCCCTTCAAAGGCAACAATCCAGGACAAAAGCAAGACCGAATTGATTGGAAAGCTCTCAACATGCACACAAATCCTCTGGCTACTTATCCAGGTCCTAGGGCGTAAGCTTCAAGGGGACTCTGTTTCACTGTTAGAGGTTACCACCATCTCGTACGTCGTACTTGCCATGGCTACGTTCATCTTTTGGTGGCAAAAGCCAAAAGATATCGAGGAGCCATGTTTTGTCGACGTGGAGCTCGATGTGCATGAAGAGCCAGAGAGGATATTATCCTGGTGGCGAGACTTCGGCAGACCGAGGGGCACATCGACGTTCGCTGCATACATTAGCTCCGCCTGCTTCTCAGCTATTCATTGCGCTGCTTGGAACTACCAGTTTCCCACTACGACCGAGAAATGGCTCTGGAGAGGATCTTCAATTGCGTGCTTCGTAGCACCTGTTACCTTCATTACCATGGCTACTGTCGTGCCGGGAGATTTAATCTTTAATTCACTAAGGGCGAGGATTATCCTCGGGTCCTATGCCGTCGCCCGGATGTTTCTACTAGTAGAGAGTTTTGCTGCGTTTCGTGCGGCTCCGGCAAGCATTTACAACACCGTTCAGTGGGCTGAATATGTTGCACATTGGGGATAAATCTACTATCATATCCTTTATATTAAGGGTAGGCATCCGAACAAAATGCTTTTTCAGTTTAAAAAATATGAAGCTGTCGCACGATTGGGTGCGGGTATTGTAGACGTAGAATAGTTAGAAGAGAGTGTATATTATTGTATTGTTCTGGCATCATAGCTCAGCTTATACTCAGGTCATCGCACGGCACGATTAGTAATGTAGTTCATGTTCACGACAACATTTGGCCTGCGACAGAAGTTGATGTTTTCTGACAAGGTAAAGCACGTCGGAAAATGGAAATGGTTTCATTGAATGGCTACGCTACGCTGAACATTTATCCAGCTCGCCAATGAGCCCCGAGAGCAGAGCCGCTATACTTTAATTATAAATCAAATAGAAAGTTATATATTGCAAGTTTATTGTTTCTTAGAATATTAAAAAACAAGTTTTATGCATGAAAATGTGGTTCGTATCTAAAGTTCAGTCTCACATTAACTATATGCTTTGCACAAGCGGTCCTACCTAATGCACACTTCATTCTCTTTATTTTCTCTTATTTCATTATATTACTACTCTCTTTCTTTCATTGCAAAAAAAAAGATCCATCCTGCACAAACGAAAGACCGGCGATTATTAACACAAAAAAACAGATACATTCCGTTCCTTTCCCGAAAATATAAGCTTCGTGGGTATAAAACTCCATCCATCATGCGATGGACTACAACTACCAAGTCGTTTGTACTTCTAGTACATGATGCGCTCGTCAAACACGGGTGCCTCGCGCGCCTGGCCATCGTCTACACCATGCCAGTACACCTTTCCCTTTTCATTAAACGTGGCCTGCTCATCTGTAATAATGAGCCCGGGCACGGCCTTCTGCGTGTCTTGGATCTCGCGGGTGCTGATACCCATGTCGTCCTTGACGATCCAGATGACGGGCGTGGGGCTGGTAATGGAGGGGTTGAAGAAGGCGCGTTTCTGGATTTCGACAGGGAGCGGGTCCTGGGGGGTGTGGTAGAATTGGTCGAGGGAGGCGGAGAGGGCGTGTAGGGAGTGCTTCTCTGGGTTGAGAATCTTGCGGAGGAAGGCGGGCATGTGTGTAGGTTTGGGTGCGTAGCCAGGGGTTGCCGCGGTGGTGTGGGCCTTTTCGCCGTTTTGGGTGAGGAGGCCGTCTTCTTCGTTGCGCATGCCGCCGTGGGTCGGAGGGATGTCAGCATATGCGAGGCGTGATTCTTCGTGCTTGAGGGCGATCTTGAGTGTGAATTGGAAGATGAGGGTGAGCAGCAGGCAGAGGCACATTATCGCGAGCGGACCGGCAGCTTGAACGTTGTCGCCTGTGGCGATGGCGAAGAGACCAATGAGGCAGATTTCCGAAAGGTAGACACCAGTCATAAGCTGGCGGAGAGCCTTTTGGTACGCGTCGCCCTTGGTGTCGAGATCTGTCTCGTACACATACAGGAAGTTGTACCTGAACGCAATGTAGACAAGAGTGAATCCAACCGTGGCGAAACCGAGGATAAGAGGTGCAATGCCGGAATACGTAATAGCAATAACCCCTAGGTTGACCCACTTTGGGAACTCAGAGCCCCATGATGGAGCGGAGAGCTTGGTGAGGTTCTGGAAGATCTTACGAGGCGTCTTTCCAGGAAGGACACGTCCAAGGAGAACGACGACGACGAAACCACCAATATTGAGCAGGGTACCAGCAGCTGAGGAAAGACCCAAGAGAATAAAGTAGCTGATGTAGAAGTTGGAAGCCTTTGGCAGGTTGGTGGAGAGAAGCGTCAGGACGCTGCCAGGATTGTCGAGCACATCGTTTATAACGGATGTGATGGCACCGGACAAAGTGGCGACAAGGAAAACCTGCACAACCTGGAAGGCAAAGTACCAGTTCTGGGTCTTGAGCTCGATCTGGCTGTAAGTGACATAGCCAGCCAATTTAGCCATGAGACGGCAAATAATAGGAACGAGGGACATGAGGACAGCAAGGAGAACTGCGGGCAATAAACCGGTAATTACACCGAGAATAACCTTGGGGATGTCCAGAATCCATTCGAGCCAAGTAAAGCGCTCAGCGAGGTAGTTGATGTTGGAAATAAGACCGACGAAAGCGACTGTATATGGTTAGCGAGGGGCAACGAACATGTCATGATATTGCACATACCAGGAATTGCCCAAAAGATGATCATGACAGAAATGAAAGCGGTAGCAAGAGCCCATCGAACATAATGCTCGGCAGGTTTGATGCGCAAATTGCCCCACACGACCTCCTGGGGCATGACGCCGAGTTGCCGTGCCTGGAGGCTCTTGTTGGGCCTGGTCTTCCTCGATTGCATTATCTGCCATGCATCCTGTGCGAGTCTCTGAGTTTCGAATTCGATGAAAACAGCTCCAACAAGGTCGCCCTCGCCGTTCCAGTGCTTGTCCTGCTCGGCGGTAATCTTGGGAATGAGCTCAGCGAGGTGGGATCGGCCATATTCGATAGTGTCGACCTTCTTGCCAATCAAAAACTTGAGCTTGTGGGTTGGTCGCTTCTTGGGGTCAATCCATTTGGTGCCGTCGCTCACGTTCTCGGCGACAAAGTGCTTCTTGCCCTTCTCAGCCTTGAGTCTGTTCTGGTTGGCGTTGGTCAGTAGCTCCACCTCGGCGTTTTCCAGCTTGGTGGCAGTGTCGTCACGGTCTTCGACCAGCTCATCCAGCTCCTTGGTGTTTGAGGCGACCCAGGCGTGCTTGACGCCAGGAAACATTTCGAACAAGGCCGATTGTGAGAGCGTCTTGGGCACATTGGTGAAAAGGATAGTGCGCGACGACAAGCGACTGGCCCCCCACGGTGAACGACGGTATGCTTGACGTAGGTTGACGACAAAGAAAGACTCGCGGCCGATGATGACTAGGACCAAACCAAGGAAAATAAAGGAAATGCCGGCCTGAGCATAGTAGCGGTTGACATTGGTGCCCTTGGGGTCAATGTTACTCATGGAGAGAAGGTCCAGCTGCTTTTGGCCCGCACCACCAGTGGCATTGACGGGGAACAAGACGGGCCATGTGATTAGACATCCGAGAAAACTGGTGGCGATGAGAATCTTGAAGAAGCGAACGAAGAGATAGCCATCAATGGACTGGTGGTCGAGGATGTATTCATCCTTGAGGTTCTTGAAATCCTTGAGCCAGCCAAATAAGCCGGGGCTGGGGGCTGGCGTCTGGCGCTGCTTGCCCAGATGGTTGAGATACGTCCTGGGCGCATAGACCCTACGGAAATATTTGCGGGCAACGAAGAAAGCAGCGGTAAAGGCAAAGGCGATAATGGAGGCGGGGATCAGTGTCGACACGAAGCTGGACACAGAGCTGTTGGACTCTTCTTTGGCCTTGCCAATTTCACCACCCTGTTTTGGTACAATTAGCGCGCTGCATAGTGGTTGAAGCCACGGCGGTAAAACTCACGGTGGACGACATTGTGGGCGATGCGATGCGATGCGACAATGGCACGCGCCCTCAAGGTTGGAGGGAGATGCACAAGAGTAAGATGTGCGGTGGAGAAACGAACGTACTATGTAGTATTGAGCCGTATCTATGTCGGAGGAGGGTTCCCCTGTACGGGATACAAATAAACAGGATTGGCAAACGCGCCTAGTGTGACGTCGTGGCCCTTGCGGCCACGACAGCTATCGGTCCTATAGCGCGACACAAGCCTGAGCGCCAACCGCTCAGCTTCTGCTCGTTGCTGCCCCTCTCCCAGCCATCTGGACCCTGGGAGGCCTCTCTATGCGCCGTTCTCAGCCTCAAGTGACGACTGCTTTCATCTGTTACCCTGTCACTCTGTCGGCATGGATGCATCTGGGGCAACGCGACGACAGGGGGTGGGCGTGGGCTGTGCGGAGCGGAGCGGCTTGCACATTTGTCTTTTCTTCTTCGTACCGATTCACCGCTGTGATGCACGACCAGGGCACAAGGGAATTACCGAAGCGGCGCAAATGCAGAATGATAATTCGTGACGTGCCCCATCAGATCCAGTCGACGGGACATTGCCAAGCGAAAGCGATGCTGGCGATCGCACTGAAAGTAGTGCAAATGTTACGTCAATCTGCCCGCATTCACAGCACAAAGCGAGGCTGGGCGAACGGCCAGGCTAGCACGGGGGGCATGAAAAACACAAATCTCTCCCGTGTGCTGTCAACTGCGAGACCGCCACTATGCTCCTTCACCACATCCATTTCCAAATAGGCGTCTGGATCCAGTCAGATTGACACGCAGCGCCCACTGCGGGCGGGAAGGACTGCAATGTCCCACACCCCCCTTGCCGAAAATCGCCAATCTAGATCGCCCGCCACGACGCCGTCTGACATCTTTCACAATTTCAATTTCAGATGCATTCGATCCCTCCACCAGTCACATTCAAGAACTCACGCTACTGCATCTGTAATAGTCTTTCGAGACGGAGGTGTCATTTAGAGTTTGAACTTTTCAGCTCGTGACCCCTTGTTCACACAGGCAGGTCGTCGTGGCGCAGGCCATGTGGCACATGCAGCTCTTTATTGTATTCGCACAGCCACATATTTGTAAAGCATTCTCCGCGGCAGATAGGGCAACGCTTGCCGTTTCCTTGCAAGAGTAGCATCACGAGACCCGAGCTATACATTGAAAATTGCCTCCTTCAGCTGCACCTGTGAGGCATTTCAGTATCTACGCTATACTGACTAGACTCCACCTTCACCGCAATTGCTCCAGTCACCTAGTTACCAACTATGCACCAACGAGACTGATTATACCCTATTCTATCTCTGGTTAGTAGTGAACGCGCGTAGGTTGTCGATATTGATCTGTCAGTCTCAGCGTACATCGAGGACACGCACAGTATCTTCAGCTCCTTAGATCTATCTCCCGGTTCGTAGATAGTCGGTAATGCTTTGGATCGAGAAAGTGAAGTCTGGTCACACCGTCTGGCTCTGTCTAGAATATCTTCGCCCCATTACGAAACTCGAAAACATGTCTCGCCGCCACTATGTGCCGTGGGTCACTTACACCAATATATCTTCTTACTGGATCCAATACAATACAACCATTCACAAGACATTGACAAAGACGTGGAAATCGTACATCAAAAACCATTGCGAGAATGAGAATAGCGATTGCGTTACCGCATTCCGTCTATATTTAAACAACCTCCCACCCTTCCTACCCAATACAATCAATCTTAAACCCCATCCTACTCTGAATAGTAGCACTCGTAAGAACCCTATCAAATCGGTTTTATATCACACATCGTAACATCATTCAAATAATCTGTCACTCCCGTACTCGTTCTAGCATCAACATGCGTAAACTGCACCATCGTAAAGTCATTCAGCGACCCCTCCCAATTATACGGTGTGCAATCTTCGATAATCTACTCTGCATTCACGCCTTCCACCGATTCAGAGATAGTGGTAACCTTCGAATCCTTGTGGGCCTACTTACCAGTAGTGGCATTCATGATAACGACACTGCTGTTGGAGAGCGGCACAGCGAGGATAGCGACTTGGATCGTGTCGCCTCGCTGCGCGATGAAGTCCCAGAACACGACAGAGCCTTCCAGGTACCAGACGTACCACGCATTCGTGCCTATGCCATTGAAGTATGGTAGCCATATCATATTCCGCCTTGGAGTACAGACTCAGAAAATCGCGTCTCAAATCTAAGTACGGACAGCATGACGTATTCTCCCAGTAAGCGTCGTTTGTGTATCAGTGGTTGCTTATACCTTTCTCGGTGATTGCCTGGTGTTCAAATTTTCAACTTGTAAGCCGCGCGAAAGGTTGTGCTGGAATGAGGAGCCCTGTAATAGGCTGATAAGAGCTGAAATGGTTCTTTTACATCTGTGTTTTTAGTCCTCTGAAGTATCCTAGGAAGTATATAGTTTTAAGGGTTTTCTCAAATACTGTCCTGCTATAAGTAGCACTGCAAATGTGAGAAGCTTTAGAAAATCTAATTCCTTTGATGAACCAAAAGAAAATAAGTTTTCATCTTCGATCAAGAGACCAGATATCCTGTTATTAGATAACATTCATTGATTTGTGCCTTCAGTTCCAAAGATAACATCTCATATACGCATTTGCAAATAGAAGTCACTAAAAACACTAATAGCCAGTCTTTTTTGTAACGGCAGAAGGGACGGCGTCAAGAGAACCGAAGCGCGCATTCTACTCAACTTCCATAAACACAGAGTCGGCAACAATCAGAACAATCGATCCAAGGAAACAAGTTTTGTTTTATTGATTTATACATAGCAAGAGACTAGATTAAACCTGTTGATCTGAATCTCGAATATATTTGATTGAACATTTGATTAGTCCTGCTGAAGGCACGTGACTGCAGTAACAGATGTCGAAGTGGAGCAGAGAGTCACGTGACTAAACTTACAGTCGTCACTTTCTCCGTTATCTACTGTGTACTGAAACATACCTACTAAACACCAACTAGCTGAATAAAGCACGCTGAGAAATACAGTTGTAGTCCTCAGATATAACATGGAGGAGCTGTTCCGTGTCACTACTTTTCAAGTTACGTGACGGAAAGCTTCCATCAACCCCCACTAAAAGGATCCCCACCGAATTTTGACATGCTGAGATCAGAAGATGAAGAAATCGAGTTGAAATCGTTACTCAGGGGGTACTGGTACCTATGAGACTAGGCTGTCAAACTAAGTACCGTGTAGATAACAAGTGGTAGTAATAGAGTAAATAGCACTAATATCCACGAGAAGCATGATCAACGTGCACTTCATTGGATCATCAAAACCCTTCTTCTCTAACCCTCAGATATCAGCAAGCCTCACTATCGCCTACTATTTTTTTGTGAGAACCATCAATTTTCCGCCCTCAACGAGAACCAAATCCAAAACGGGGCAAGTAATCAAGCAACAAATATCAATCACTTGATGAACAACCACTAAATCTCTACTGCATCTCAAACAACAAGGTCAACACCGTCTAACCAGCAGCTACCACATAGGAATCCGTGCTGACAGGCCTAACGTACGAGAGAGCCAAGCATGAATCAAGCATCTGCATGTAATAGCCAAGCAATGAAAGAATACGAGAAAAAACGAGGGTAAGACCGGGGGTGTTGTACATCACAACCTTACCTAATCCATACATACACACACACACAGAGTAACAGTCGTGAGTATCTTCGATTTTCAAACGCAAGCTATCACGCAGTCTTTGTGCAAATCTCAAAATACAGAAAAAAAAACCCCCCAAAGAATAAGGGTTCGCATAACTCTTCCTTGTGTGCTGCTTCCTGAGAGGGTTATATACGAGCACCTTACACCACATCTTGAATAAGAGAATAGACATGAAAAATACCACACCACAGCAAGTGTCGTTTCATATCAATGATAATGTAAAATACAGGACGTGTGTTTTGTGCCCATCGCATTTCGTATCAGTGATTGTGAGCAAAGCGGGACATAGCGTGATGACGTGAGATGCAAGAGGGATGGAAAGAGGAGAAATATCGATGTGTAGACCATGAAATGTGCCTTGCGTTTCATGTCGTCAAGTCGAGAGTATGAGAATATGAGTCGTAGATTCTCGAAAACCAAGTCACAGATGCACTCGTTCCAAGTTGTTCATTTCGCAACAGGCAGCACAATGTTCACAAGGGGACACAAGAGAAGAAGCAAATGATTCAAGACAACTGATATATCCATTCGTCATGAGGATACTATATATATACATATTTCAAAAGGAGGATAGCCGATCTAGCAGCTAACCGAAAAAAATGTTGAACAAGAAAGGTAGGATGGGGGAGACGTTCATATCTAGAGAAGCAAATGTATTCCCGAGAACCAACAAATGGACGTTCCAAACACCATTTTTTTGTTGCAATGCTGTACAACATGTGCAAAAGACAACCGCTTAGTTGAAAGCACGGGCGTGGCGGCGAGCCTTGGAGGAGGCGGAGCCAGCGGTGGTCTGGAGCCACTGGATGAACTCGTTGATGGTGAAGGTCTTGGGGAGGGCAGAGCCGTTGTTGCCAGTTGAAGGGGTGGAAGGGGTGGTGTTCTCAGCGGGCTTGGAGGGGGTAGCGGGCTGAGCGGCCTCGACAGGAGATGGCTTGGGGGTAGAAGGAGCGGAGCCGTTGGAAGGAGTGGTGGAAGGAGCGCTGCCGGAAGAGGCACCGTCCCAGACCTTGGGACCAGGGACAGTGTACGAGGAGAAGGCGTTGTAGATATCGAACTTGACACCGGGGTCGGTGGCCTTGTAAGCCTTGGTCATGTCGACACCAGAGGCAGGGAGGGAAGCAGATCCGCTGCCAGTGACGGTGATCTGACCGCATCCGTTGTAGAACTGGGCCTTGCCGACGGCGCTAGCCTCATGGAGACCAATGATCTCAGGGCGGATCAAGTACTTGCCAGCCTTCACGTTGGGAAGCTTGATCTCGATCAAACCCTTGTTGTCGTAGAACCTGTCAACACCGAACTTGCCGTCCTTGTAACCATCCTCCCAGACCTTGGTCCAGACGTTGCCGATACCGTTGGTGGAAGCCTCAGCCATGTAGACCATGACGGGACCCTTGTGAGAGGGGGCAATGGGCTCCTCCTTGTCATTGGGGTTGGGGCCCTCGTTGTGGTGCCACTGCATGCCAATAGTGGAGCCAGCAGCGACCTCGACCTGGTCAGCGGTGGCCTTGCCACCATTGCAAATCATGGCAGTGGAGGTGACATCGAGGATGGGGTTGTTGCCGTTGGATGGCTTCTGAACAGCAAAGTTCTGGCCCATGTTCTTTCCGTTGACAACGAAGCTCTGGAAAGTAGCGTGCGAGGCAGCGAGGTTGGCAATAGCCAGGATGACAGCGGACTTGGCAAACATGGTGATGGTTGGTATGTGGAAGTTGGTTGGTTTGAAAAGATCGAGAAGATGTTCAAAAGATAGAATGTCAAAGAACGAAAGGCAGACGAACGAATCGAAAGATGATGGATGCGAAAGAGTGTATGAAAGTGAGTGTCAGCTTCAAGCTTGATGCCCTTCAACTGGGAGATACCATGGGCACTTCTTATACTCGGGGCACCAACATGGCGCATTCAAAAGCTTTGCGGGATTAGAGCTACTAACTGACAGAGTAAACGCCATGAAACTACAGAACCCGGGTCTGTGGATAGGTGCCAAGCATCTGTCAATCTATCCCGCGTCGCACTAGAGCTACAAGTGGAAGAGCAGCCTCGCTTAGTTGCCGCAGAACGTGGAAAAAAGTATTGTTTGATCCCAGGCCCCATAATAATGGGTGATGGGTCATTTCGCTTTGAATCGTACGTCTGGGAGCCGCCTGCATGAAAAGCTGAGTGTAGTATGGCGGGAAGCATTGGATAGCGCATGAACCCACATCAACCGTTCAATGCTAAGGCATCATGCCTCGGCGTTTGGCGAAACAATGGAACCGCTGAAAAAAAAACGGTTTCAGTTCATGCTTCTCCGCACAACTGGCAGATGTTCTTGGAGTTGGTATGTTTACCTGACTATGTGAACCATTGCCCTTGACAGGCAGACATTCAGGCAGACATTGTGCCAGCGGTGTCCCCTTGAATCAGGCAGACATTGTGCTTGCTTCTCCTGCCGGGTTCCACTCGCGGGTTTACGCGAAATAGCGCTCATTTCGAGACCCTACGCCTTTTCTTCTAGAATCCGCCCTGCGAATGTGCCTACGGCATACAGTGGGGGGCGACTCATCCTGTGTCCACTCCCAGCGCTCTGACATGAAACGGCATTCAAGCGGGGCTGATTACAGGCTGGTGCCTGCCAAGACTCGGGCGATGTTTCAAGCCACCCGAGGCCAGGCTCGTCAGTAAGTAGTCCAAATCCGGTCAGTCATGTCCGATCTGTGACGTTGTGATTGTTTCGGGTTGACAGACTTTACAGCCACCGGCTATGTGGTTGTGAAAGGGAGCCGCAATTATGCTGCCTGTCGCCTGACCTGGTAAATGGAGCTCTCAACGCTTGACGCCTGAGATAACGAGGCGCTTACGTCTTGTAGTATTCGATTGGTGTATATCGCTCTTGGGCTTTGCGGCCGTTGGTGGAAGGAACAGTAACGCATTGACGCACAGGTCAGTAAAGTGTCCGCCAACGGCCACGCCGCCGCCATAGCTGCTCGCCTTTCGCCGCCGAACATCCAACTTCTGTTCCAACGTGGGGTCCTTCAGCTTTTAAATACTTGCGAGGTTCCTAGAAACCTGCTCAATCCCTCTCACCGAATCTCTCTCGCTGCGACCGGGTGACTGGGCTGGACCAATGAGGTGACCTTGGATGCGCTTGTACGAAACAGACATACATGCTGATATTCCACGTTTTTGTATACATACACTATTGTTTCCCCAAACAAGTCACCACGAGCCTCTGTGGTGTTTCTGCCGTCAGGAGACGCAGTTTGAGCACTTTGGTTGCACACCATGTGCTTGGCTCAAACTAGAACAGAATACATGAGGGCAACAAAGGTAATCGAGATCGACAATTGGCTGCTCAATCTTGACGCTGCACCTTTTTGACTTGTCGCTGTTGCCTGCCCATCAAAGGTCCTTGCGCTTGTGCTCAATCCAGAAGTGCTGGTGATGTGCTGGCTTTGAGTCGTGGTAGCCGGAAACAATGCCGTTGTGGTACTGCGACCTGAACTACCATATATCAATTCTGTCGCACTAATGGCCAGGCTTATCGTGGTCCCATCAACTGTAATGGCTCCCCCAGGGGTCAAGGTTTCGCCTCCTACTACGAATACTGTACCGCCACCAGACGCTGCAGTATATGTTTCTGCACCGATAGTAAGCAGAGGCGGATTTGTGATTACAGGTTGGACTTGGGGTAAGATGGAGCTTGTCTGTCCATTGACAACCAGCGCTGTAGCTCCAGAGGCCAGTGAAATGGTTGTTCCAGATGTGACTATTGACCCGCCAGCACTAAGCAGTATTGATCCAATCAGATACGCAGTCGCGGTGCCAGGCAATGGCCTGAACGTCACATCTCCTATTGTCAGGGGCGGCGCACTGACATGTGAAGGAGCGGCGTCAACCAGTGTCGATGTCACGTCGTTTATCACAACGAAAGAGGCTGATGATGCTAGCGATAACGTAGTGCCAGAGACTGTTATCGCTGGACCTCCAGGAATAAGAGTCTTGTCAGCGACTACAAACACTGGCTCTGAAGGCTTCTGGAGGGCACTGAATATCTCGTTACCGATGGTGATGGCGGGTGGTGACAAGGCTGCCCCAGTCTGCGCTTGCATGGTCGAGGACGCCCCATTGACAACCAATACACTTCCAGAAGGGTCCAAAGAAAGTGTAGTCCCAGGGAAAGTCACAGCTGCTCCGCCAGGAAGTAATGTCTGTTCAGATACAACAAATGTAGGGGCTGTGTCAGGCTTAACTTGAGTAGGTTGTGCTACTATTGTCGAGCCACCAACTATGAGCTGAGGCACTCTGGTTGTGATTGGTAACGGCGCAGAGTCCGTAGGCAAAATTTGGGTAGAGCCACCAATGACAACGAAGGAAGCCGAGGGTGCAAGACTAACGATTGTACCATCGACAGTTGCGACACCACCTGGGGTCAAAGTTTGACCTGGGGCAATGAAGAATTGGGTAGCGGCGTTTGGTATTAGTGTAGATGGTCCAATTGTTAACACTGGCGGTGCAGGCGACGGAAAGATTTGAGGTAGTTGACTTGTCTTGTCGCCCACAAAAATAGCGGTAGGCGAAGGTGCTAGAGAAACAGGTGTCCCACCTCCGACGTTAATGGCAGGGCCTCCTGGCTGTAGTGTTTGTGAACCGACTACAACTTCGGAGGAAGGGCCGATTATGATGGGATTTGTTCCAATCGAGCCCACAGTAACTGATGCGGGCCCACGTACTTGTGCTGCGGAAGCTAAATCATGAAGATTACTGGCCGTCAAACTATCATCCGTGGGTTTGGGACTAGTGCCCGGAATATCCCAGTCAGCGACTGTGAGTGGAACAACCCCTGGACTTGTGCCATGGCCGTTCATGAGAACAGGTGGCTCGTCGAATCCAATGACTGATGACTCCAAGTGACTGAAGAGAGGGCCCTGGTTCGGCCTATTTAAGTAGTATAGGTTGACAACAATAAGAACAGTTACGGCAGCCTGGAGCTGTCCAGCGTGGCATCCTGAGTATGGTGTTTGATCCAGGAAACCTTCCGGTAGAGGACCGTTGGCAGTATCCTTTTCCTCAAGGTTTTCGAGCCTGTAAGGATAGGCTTGCGCAAGCGGAAGCTGTACTGTTTTTGTTTCATTGCCAGTCTCAACCTCATAGGCCGTGAAGTAGACGAAAGGCGTTGCAGATGTCTCAGACCGAGTGACATTTGGTGCAAGCGTTACAACGGCCGTGGCCGATGTAAAGAGGTCTGGATGGTACAAGTCATATGATGGAACATCTTCGAGAGGGATGACACCTCCTGGTGGAAACGGCGCATATCCTTCTGATCGGTAGATGACGGATGTTGCAGCAGCACTGGGTCTTACTGTATATTCCTCGCACATTGTCAAGGTAAAGTCAAAGGTGGAAATATATGACTCTGTGGAAGTACATGCAAAATCCGACGACAGTGCACTGGTTACGTCAAAGGTGGCGGTCGGAGGCACGAGTGTCAATGACCGAGAATTTGAAAAATTCATTACTGAAGTTTCCATTGTTCCAACTGGATAGCTGTAGGTCGGCATGAACCAGTAGTCGAGGCTTGCACCGTATATATTGATTGTACATGCTGCGCTTGAATTGCCAGTAGAGGGTCTTGCCGTGCCATTGTGAAATACGGGGAATGGATGTGAAGTCGCAGCTAGTACATGACTAGGAGACGATAATGCGATATTTGAAGGGACAGATAGAATCTGTGAATCCGAAGTGACCATGTCGGTCGGTCGCAAGACGTCATGATTTGTAGGTATTCCTGTAGCGGGGCCATCGGCGCTGTGCAGCCCAGTTTCCTTTGGAGTGATTAGAGAGGTGCCTACGGGCGGTGTTTGAGTAGGCAGCGATAGGGCAGGTATAGAGGTTGTGTTGAGGTATGGGGCTTGATGGCTTCGTTAGCATGCAGCAATGTTGAACCCCAAGGCACAAAGATATTGTTATTACCGCGACGATTGAATACAGCTCCTGCAGTAAAGGAAGCCAAGTAGAACGTGACAAGCGAGAGATATGAAGACATGTCGGTGAAAAAGTGGTGGCCATGCAAGCAGGCACTCTATGGGCAGCGAACGTAGTGACGTTTAAGTCGTCCCGGAAAAATGGTAGACATTCGAGGGTGCAGGAACAATCTGGGTGAGCGGGTGCAGGGCATTTTGGGCCTATCGGCTGGCGCATTCAAGCGACGGTTCCGAGGAGAGACGTGCAGAAGGGAGCTAGACAGAGCGAAGTCCGATATTGGCTTTTCAATTCTTTTGCCGTCCAGATTCACAACGAGCCACAACACGCAGCCGGCGACCAATCAACGATAGACGCTTGCTGGCATGGCATGGCGTGTCCGGCCGGGTTGACGTTTGAGTACGGCTGGCGTGCAGAATCAGGCGTCCAGCCATTTGGTGGATCAGCGTGAACGGTTGCTTGAATGTGTGGATACGAGTCAGAGAGGTGTGGCTCAACTTGGGGCTTGCACTATGGCACAGAGATGGTTTGATGGGTGTCGCAGGTGGCACGACGTTGGATGGATTGGATTGATGGTGATGGTGTTGGTGTTGGAGATGGTCGTCGACTTGTCTTGAGGCGGCGGCGGGGATGAGGTGGCAGGGGTGGAGAGAGCAAGGCAGGTGCAGAGCTGAAAGCACACTCTAGACAGTCGCAAGACAGGACATGGTTCTTGAATGCCTGCCATCTTGGGGGGAGCATGCCGATCCCATGGCGGTTTGGGCGCAAGCGCATCGGACTGCAACTCGGAAAAAGGATCGAGTGGGTGCGTGCGGCGATCAAGGGATCCAGAATGCGCCGCCCGCGGCCTGCAACGTCGGCGCAGCCCTCTGCAGTGTCAAGGCGGCATGTCTAGAGTACACCTAGGTGGAGGCGTACGTGGGCGTATGTGTGGGTATAGTAGTACACATGGACGTGTACTCAAGTGATGTGTAGAGTATAGTAGGCCCGCCGCCGCCACTACCACCACCCCAGATTGCGTGCAGTAGGATGAGGGGGGGGATACGGGGCGTTGGATGCCTCCCGGCTGGCCCTTGTTCCGCCCACGGCACTCATCTACCCTTCATCTACGACGCTGCACACAAATGCCGGCTGTAGCCTGTCTGTCCCAGCCAATGCCGTCGTCGCCGTCGTCGTCGCATTGCAAGCTGCGAGGAATGGGGTGCAAGGCCGCTGTTGCCCAGCCATGCATGGCGGCGGCAAAGGGGCAAAGCGGACTAGAGCGTGCTTCGAAGCCTTGGTATCTCGGCTCAGATTCCCCAGGGTCCCGCCAATCTGCATCAACAGTACTCCGTACACGCTCTTTTGCCCGGCTGTTTCTCCGTTGCCTATACTTCTTCTTCTTCTTCTTCTTCCTCCCACATTCCTTCGTGGCGCCACTGGGCACAAGCAATGTCGCTCAGTGATGCTGTGCCCTGCAAATCATCGTGGTTGAGTGGCCTTCGTTGCCCCCTTGGAAAAACCGCCTAGTAGTACGTACGCTTCTTAGACACGGATCATGATTGCTTCGCCGAGCCGTTGCGGCTTCATCTCGACAATATGCCTTTTCCTCGCCGCCACGCTACTGCTGCCCTGTCTCGCCGCCGGCTATGAACAGCAGAACATCACCGAAACCCCCAACTACAAACTACTCCCTGGTGTCGCGTCGGTCCCAGCGCCCCTCTCTGTCGCGCCCGCCCAGGACTGGATGGGAATTGACGGCGCATGGAACACGTTTTTCCTGCGCATAGGCGACCCTGGCCAGTCTGTGCGAGTCCTGGTTTCCACCGCCAGCCAGCAGACCTGGGCCATCAATGCCCTTGCCTGCATCGTCAACGTTACCGATCCTACCACGGGCAACATTACCAAATTCAATGTCATGAATTCAGACTGCCAGGAAAGCCGTGGCGCCTTGTACAACACCACTGTTTCCAAGACCTGGCAAAAGAAAGGATACTACCAACTATGGATTGAAAAAAACCTGGGCCTCACAGGCAACGGCCTGTATGGCTTTGACTCGGTCGGATTGGGAATGAGGGGCGACGCAGGCCCACCCGTCGCCAATACAACAATCGGCACCTTGGTCACATCAAACTTCTGGCTCGGCCACATTGGCGTGCATGCGAAACCCACAAACTTTTCTTCATTTGACGATCCTGTTCCCAGTTATATCATGGATCTCTTCAACCAAAAAAGTATCCCAAGTTTGTCATTTGGGTACACAGCTGGCGCCCAGTACCGTAAGCCCACCCCCGCTCGCAAGTCGACCATCACTGACACGTACCTGCAGGTGATCAAACCATTCTTGGAAGCCTTACGCTTGGCGGCTACGATGCTTCTCGCCTTATCCCTAATGACCTCACCTTCATCTTTGCGCCAGACAACGAGCGTGAGCTGGTCGTGGGTCTGGTTGGCTTGAGTGCCAGTACTGCAAACCAGAAAGACATTGATCTCTTGAAGGGCGGCGTTGTCACGCTGTTCATTGATTCGACTGTCGCAGAGCTCTACCTTCCCATTTGGATTTGCGAAGCCTTTGAAGATGCGTTTGGATTACGCTATGACGAGGCCACAGATCTCTACCTCGTGGACGATGCTCTTCACCAAACCCTCTTATCGCAAAACCCTAGCGTGACCTTCACCCTCGGACAACAGTTTAGCAGCAGTGCGACTGTGCAAATTACCCTGCCTTATGCTGCCTTTGACCTAGAGGCATCCGCACCCTATAGGGGACTGCAAGAAAAGACAAGATACTTTCCCATTCGACGAACCAATGGGTCGGACAACTGGGTACTAGGGAGGACCTTTTTGCAAGAGGCGTATTTGACAGTGGACTGGGAGCGCCAGAATTTCACGGTATCCGCTGTCGACTGGACGTTTGGAAAGGCGCCACAGTTACTCCCAATTGTCTCACCTGCCTACTCGGTTGCTCGCCCAAAGGCGTCTCCAAACAAGCCCCTGTCCTCAACCGCAGTCATTGGCCTTGCAGTGGGAGGAGGTTTTTTCTTTGCCTTGGTCATGTGCGCCGTGGGGTTGTGGTTTTGGCGTCGACGCAATCAACGAAGACTGAAGGCGATTGAGGCGAAATATCAAGCCCAAGTTGCAGAAGCTGCCAAGAATGTGGAAGAACCTTCGGCTTTGGCAACACGCAGCAGCACAGAGGGAAGGACAGTTGTTTCCATGGCTGAGTTATCCAGTGATGCTCCTGATAATCATCATCAAGCTGGTTCGAACACGCAAGAGAAGGGACTGATGATGGTCAGTGAAGCTGACGGTGCTGAAAGACAAATCTACGAGATGCCTGGCGACATGCCGGTCCGCCAGGAAGCCGACGGGCGCCAGCTATCAGAGAAAGAGTCCATGGTGATACGCGAAAAGATATATAACGGAGTGGATCCGAGTGGAACACCAGATGTGGCGCAGGAACCTCGACAGAGACTTGCACCCATCTCTCCTTCCGAGGTTTCCATGGTGAGCAGCCAGCTCCCACCCGGGAACGTGTCGCCCACCACCCCGCGAACGCCACGCGACGGTGCTCTCTTGGAGACTCCGAACCCATTTCTGCATCCGCCGCCATACCGCCCACGCGACGGCAGGCGCACGGAGACTGATGAGGCACTCATCTCGCCGTTGGAAGATTCAACGGACACGTCCCGGCGGCGGTTTTCTTATGAATCATGAGCTGCAAAAGCTGAGCAATTAGCGACAAAAAACACATACACATATATATCACGACAGGAGTTTTGTTTGTTTGGCACACTTGGCTGTGCGTTTCTCCAATTAGTGGTACGCGATGCGGATACTACCAGAGAAACGGCGTTAGGGGTTATGGGGCATACTTGATACCTGCGTGATTCGGGCATGAGAATGCGGAACACGCACATGGATGGAGGGAGGACATTTGGATGTGGTGGGCAAGGCCAGACTGTGCCGGTGAATTTGGTGCTGTATTTACATATACCCTTTGTTGTCTTTTTTTTCTTGATACAGTAATGCCATACGATGGGCGAGGCCCATGCGCTTACGGACCAAAGCCGCCCATGTCACTCCCGCACCTCGGCCCATGAAGCAGGGGAGGGCCCAAGTGGGTTTATGTGCAGCCACAGCAAGACGGCAACGGGAGCTGGATGTAGCGAGCGGCCCACTGTGTTGATTACACAAAGTCTTACTGTAGGGCAGTGCGGATGCAGCGGTCTGAGCAGCATGACCATGTGCTGCGCCTTGCCTGTTGCAGGCAGGCTGAACCCCTCGTCAGCGCTGCGACTGGAGACCAACCCCACCACGCCGTTACGGAGAAGGCGAAGGGGGGCACAGCACGACCGCTTTTCTGCCTTGCCGCATCCTCAATCGCCTTCCGCATACTTCAACTTTCCCGGTGAAGAGCCTGCGCCCTCTTTCAGCGTCCCACCGCCTGCACACTCGCCACAGCCGCCGCCCCGCTTTGTTCGCAGCAGCAGCACTCCTGTCATCACATTGGCCGCGCGCCTAGCCTTGGGCCATATCTTCTGCCTGCCGCCTGCCATTCTGCCTACCTTGTGTTCCAACTTCTGCAACCACCTCGAGCGCGCCATCTCCTTTACTCTCCCCTAGACTCACCCCCTACCGCCATCATGGGCGACCTTGCCAACCGCAAAGTGTTCAAGGTACGCACATGTCTCTACCATGCCGCTCCTCGGGATGCGTGCTCACGGCTTCTAGGTCTTCAACCAGGAGTTCATTGTCGACGAGCGCTACAATGTAACAAAAGAACTTGGACAGGGTGCCTACGGCATCGTATGGTGCGACGACAGCGATGCCGCCCTGCTCGCTCCATGCTGATTGTGTCCTGCAGTGCGGCCACCAACAACCAGACGGGCGAGGGCGTAGCCATCAAGAAGGTCACCAACGTCTTCAGCAAGAAGATCCTTGCCAAGCGTGCCCTGCGCGAGATCAAGCTGCTCCAACACTTCAGAGGTACGGCGACTGCACCCACCCCAGCTGACAATGCTAACGTCTTGCAGGACATCGCAACGTAAGACAACCCCACTTCAACACACGCGCCTCTCCCCATATCCTCTCGATACGATACTAAGCCTTGTCGCACAGATAACATGTCTCTACGATATGGACATTCCTCGCCCTGATAACTTCAACGAGTGCTACCTCTACGAGGGTACGGCCTACTCTTACTTATCCCCTTCGTAAGACGGTGCTGATATTGGTACAGAGCTCATGGAATGCGACCTAGCAGCCATCATCCGATCCGGCCAGCCCCTGACTGATGCTCACTTCCAATCCTTCATCTACCAAATCCTATGCGGTCTCAAGTACATCCACTCGGCAAATGTTCTGCACCGCGACCTTAAGCCCGGTAATCTCCTTGTCAATGCCGACTGTGAACTCAAGATTTGCGATTTTGGACTGGCAAGAGGATTCTCCATGGACCCTGAAGAGAACGCAGGCTACATGACCGAGTATGTCGCTACCCGATGGTACAGAGCCCCTGAAATCATGTTGAGCTTCCAGAGCTACACAAAAGCCAGTAAGTCTTTGCATGCACGCCCCACATAACTACCCCACACTTTGAAAGTAAGCTAATCCTGGCTAGTTGATGTGTGGTCTGTAGGGTGCATTCTCGCTGAGCTACTTGGAGGTAAGCCCTTCTTCAAGGGTCGAGACTACGTCGACCAGCTCAACCAGATTCTGCACTACCTCGGAACACCAAACGAAGAAACTCTGTCGCGAATAGGTTCTCCTCGTGCACAGGACTATGTCCGGAATCTGCCATACATGCAGAAGATGTCATTCCAGTCTCTCTTCAAAAACGCAAACCCCGATGCGCTTGACCTGCTAGACCGCATGCTTGCCTTCGACCCATCTAGTCGTATTTCAGTTGAGGAGGCCCTGGAGCACAGGTACCTGCAAATCTGGCATGATGCATCTGACGAACCTTCCTGCCCAACGACTTTTGATTTCCAGTTTGAAGTCGTCGAAGAGATTCCAGAGATGAAGAAGATGATCTTGGATGAGGTCAGCCGTTTCCGCCAGATGGTTCGCGTACAGCCCGGTGCAGGCGCCGGTACAGCCCAGGCCCCTCAGGTCCCGATACCCAATAACTACGATCGTACAGGATATGAGGAGCCAAGGCCACAGGAGGCATTTAACCAGGGTGGGTGGAATGGCAGTGACCTCGAGCGCGATCTTCAGGGACTGGACGGCCGAATGCGATAGGTAAAGTCGGATAAAGTATCATTGGGTGCAAAGGATTTTCTCAGTGGCTCAAGCGTGTAAATGTGGGAACAGTTTGGGTACATCCGGCCCTTGTGTAATTTCTTGTGATATGCAATCTTTCATTCCTTCACACATGAGTTCCAAATACACTGTAATACTCAAGGCGACTTTTCTGTCGGCTCATAATGAGTTCTTACCAGTATCCCAACACCCAGATCTCTTTAGTATCACGGTAATCCTATACAAAGGCACGGATGAGTGTTGTGCTGTAAATAATTGCCTATGAATGACTGATTTAGATACTCAGTGGCTGTTGATGCTGAGCCAGACGTGAAATCAGTTCGCGCGTCAGATATGGTCCGTGCATACACCAGGGTCCTCTAGCGCGGTAACTTTTTCGGTTCTGAGAACTTTGGCCTTGCGCTCCAAGTCGAACTTTTTTTCGTGTCCTTCTACCACATTTCGGACCACGCACGAATTGACGATTTCTACAATGTCGCCCGCCGCGGTCGAGTCGAGCAACAAGAGGAAGCGATCTCACAAGAGCAAGAAGAGCGCAGAAGCAGTAGCGGCACCAGCGCATAATGGCGTAGAGAAGGCGCGCAAGAAGGCACGCAAGGCCAAGGAAGTCGAAGCTGCTGTGGAAGAACCAGCTGCTGCAGATGCTTCCGCACAGGGAGATAGCGATGAAGAGGACGTCGAAAACCAATCTGAATCCAACAAGGACACTGCGGAGGCGACTGCTTCAAAAGAGGCCGAGAACGGTGATGAGGCCGACGATAATGACGACAGCCAGCTTGCGGATTTGCCCTCTGGCACTGGCAGCAACGCTCTCGATCTGCCCTCCGGTACCACAATGCCGACGCCAAACCCGGTGCGTTTCGAAGAACTAAATCTCTCTGAGCGTACAATGAGCGCAATCAAGGAAATGGGCTTCGAGAAGATGACGGAGATCCAACAAAAAACAATCCCACCACTACTGTCGGGCAGGGATGTGCTCGGTGCTGCCAAGACGGGCAGTGGAAAGACGCTTGCCTTTCTCATTCCAGCCATTGAGATGCTTTCGCAGTTGCGATTTAAGCCTCGCAATGGTACTGGTGTGATTGTAGTGAGCCCAACGCGAGAACTGGCACTTCAGATCTTTGGCGTAGCACGCGAGCTCATGTCGAACCACAGCCAGACCTTTGGTATTCTGATTGGCGGTGCGAACAGGAGCGCCGAGGCGGAAAAGCTACGGAAGGGATTGAACCTTATTATCGCTACACCCGGAAGACTCCTGGACCACCTCCACAATACCCAGGGTTTTGTCTTCAAGAACTTGCGTTCGTTGATCATCGATGAAGCAGATCGTATTCTGGAAGTTGGATTCGAGGACGAAATGGTAGGATTTTGCGCAAATCATGGTAGATGTAACATGTGCTAATTTGTTGACAGAGATCCATCATCAAGATTTTGCCAACCGAGCGTCAGACCATGCTGTTCTCTGCTACGCAAACGACAAAGGTCGAGGACCTTGCACGGATATCGCTCAAACCAGGTCCTTTATACATCAATGTCGACTACAGAGCGGAGCACAGTACAGTGCAAGGGTTGGAGCAAGGCTATGTCTTGTGTGATTCAGACACGAGGTTTAGGTTGCTGTTCAGCTTCCTGAAGAAACGGTATGTAGCCATGACAATTTGTGTTTTTGCAAACTTTGCTAACTTGGCGTAGTACGTAATATTCTTGTGGAGAAGAAATTCTGCAATCATCTAGGCATGTACTAACGCATGTGTGCAGATCAAAAGAAGAAAGTCATTGTGTTCCTGTCGTCGTGTGCGTCGGTCGATTTCTATAGCGAACTTCTGAACTACATCGACTTACCAGTGCTTGGTTTACACGGCAAGCTCAAGCAGCAAGCACGCACCAACCGCTTTTTTGAGTTTGTGAATGCCCAGAGTGGTACGCTCATTTGTACCGATGTGGCAGCACGAGGTCTCGACATTCCCGAAGTCGATTGGGTGATTCAATTTGATGTAGGTATATTTTGACCGAGAAGGCTTGCGCAAGCTAACATTTTAAGCCTCCGGATGATCCTCGGGACTACATTCACCGAGTTGGACGAACCGCAAGAGGTGCCAATGGCAAAGGCCGGAGCTTGATGTTCTTGCTGCCGTCAGAGGTCGGCTTCTTGAAGTTGCTCAAGGAAAACCGTGTGCCGCTAGTTGAGGTAAGCAGTTGATGAAGCGAATGAAACGAGGCGAATATTGACTTGTGACGCTAGTTTGAACTCCCAAGCAACAAGATTCTCAATATCCAAAGCCAACTCGAGGCATTGATGTAAGTGCTTGCACGGGCTTTGTTACCGCAGTGCAGAAGGAACTAATCATTGCATAGATCCAAGAACTACTACCTCAACAAAAGCGCCAAAGACGGTTATCGATCCTACCTGCAATCCTATGCCAGCCACAGCTTACGTTCAGTGTTTGATGTACACAAGTTAGATCTTGTCAAAGTGTAAGGCAATCCACAAAGATTTTACTGGTTAGGCACTGACAGCATGATGCAGGGCCAAGAGTTTTGGGTTCTCGACACCGCCACGCATCGACATCAGCCTTGGAGCGAGTTTGAGCCGCGACAAGAAAGTCGAAGGACGAAGAGCATATGGCAGCCAGCCGCAACAGGCACGAAGACCGATGAAACAAGGAAAGAGGTTTTGAGGGGACGAGAAGAGAGGGAGCATTGATGGGAGTTTGGCGTACCAAAATATTATGCTGCGTGGGCACTGCTTGAGGGGTCATAGCTGTACTTTGACTATTCAATGACAACAATGCGAAGGGTTCTGAGAAACGCTTGAGGTTTGTGTTCCTGGCGGTCATGTTGGCGCAGAGCATGTGATAGGTGGACATGCACTTGTAAGTATGCAGGTATACTAAGTACTGTATGAAACATGAGCTGCAGGAGGGTGCATGGTGCAGTAGCAGCAGCAGCTGGGCACGGACTAAGCGATGACATGAATAATGAGCTAGCGGGTTTGGTTGGGCAAAGGACAAATTTTCTCACGCTCGCAAACTGCCAGTTCATCGTAGCTTGTATGCACGAAGACGACATTGTTCTCCTGGATAGAGCACTTCTCCAATATGACTTGCTGAGAGGAGGGGAGCCCCCCCAGACAGCCCTACGCAGATGCCCAAGATGTGCAGATGGGACTGGGCCGGTATGGGTGATGCGCTGGCAAGTTGGGCAAGGGTGCGTTTCCAGGGGTGTGGAGCCAATCAGGGTGGGTAAGTTGAGAGGACTGAGCAGACGGATGCGGCCGTCCGTGGACGGGTTCGGCATAATCACCCCTGGTAACCAGCCGGGTATAGCCAATTCACCTACCGTGTAGGCTAATGGCCCTAGCATCTAGACGGCCAAAACATGACGATATGGAGACATTCTGGCGGTGAGCGAGGCAGAGACAGCGGCCAGAGGGACAAGGGAAAAGGGCAATGGACAGGAGCAGACGCCGAGGCCAGCAAAAGTGCAAGCAAAGCAACAAGTGAGCGTGTTTCGGAGCAGAGCGAGGGAACAAGAATAGAAGCGAATTAGCGGCGTAGATTTGCTTTTGGAGGGTACCGACCAGCCATCTTTTACACGGCAATGTGCCGTCGTGAGGCTGGTATTCGTCGGCAGCACGGGGGTTTGGCCCAGCGCATGCTTCAACGGCGGCCACGAGGGGTTTTCAGGCACACTGTCTGGCCTTTGGCTTGGGGCGCGTATGGTGGTGGCTGGGGGCGAAGCGACAGCACCGAGGTGAGGTGACAGGACGCATCCCAGAGAGAGGATAGATTAGTTGGGTAGTGGTGTAGGACGCAGCCCGTCACATACCGTGGTGGTGACCAACAATTCCGTGGCGCGTATTCTTGTATTCTCTTGCTTGATCCCCGTGCCATGACGACTGACGATATGCCCATTCCCACTTGTTCTTGAATCCTCTCCCCGCCTCCCCCCCCAAAAGAGCAGCGCCTCACGACGGGCTGTTAGCGCCGACCAGGATTCGGTGCTAGAGAGGTCTTGACCCAGCTTTCTCTCCACCACAGCTGGGGACTTTGTTCCTACGCCAGCAGCCTCTCCGCCAGCTCCCAGCGAGCCTGCAGCGCCATTGTTACTCGCACGACACTCGCGGTCTGCGCCTCTTGGTGGTGTCGGTATGTTCTGACCCCCCCTCCTCCACCGCCTCGTGCACTTGTTGTGCAGTCTGCGCAGCCTTGTCCTCGTCGCTCCCTCTCCTCCCTCTCTGCCTTTCTCCCTCTTGCTCCTGCAGCTGTCGCTGCTCAGCTGCTAACACGTGCGCCCCAGCCTTCGCTACGACACGCCGGCGCTCAGCTCGCCCTCGTCGCAGAGCGTCGCCTGTCACCGAGCTGCCTCGCATAGCCGGTGTATGAACACACACGCCTCGCTGCGCTCTCTGCTATGAATTAGCCGCTCTTGCACCATTCATCACCTTGTGCTGTTGGCGCCCGAGCGTGCTTCCCTTCACCTAGGTAGCACCAGGTACCCTTTGCGCTCGCGCAAACCAGTCACTGCCACCATCCGGTCCTGCACCCACCCCAAACACCGCACTACCTTTCTCTCTCCCAAGTATTCGAGAAAAACGGTGCCGGGCATGTCTTCGCTCACCCACCCCACCTTCTAGGAATCTTCAGATTCTACGATGGGTTTTGACAACGACAAATATCCTCTTCCGGCTCCTACTGAATCTTCGACTCTCGATTCCGCAGACGAATCCATCCACATTGACGACATTGACACCAACGTTTCCACAAACGTTTCCAACCGCACCGACAGAACTTCCTACTCTGTCCCCGACGACGGCACCCCCATTACCATCAACACCACCACCCCTACCAAACCCCACGGCAGCGGCACCCTCCACAAAAAGTTTACCTCGCAGACATCGCTGCTGATTGAGTACTTTGACACAGGGTCGACCGACGGACAGGACCAGCGGCGCGCAAGTGTACGCGTACGGATCACTCCTTCCTCCCGCAAGTCCAAGAAAAGCTCCGCGAACGATCACATTCAGATCTCCCAAGCCTCTCGCAACCATCGTAAGCCCTCCTCCACCCGGCGCATCTCGCTCGCAAGTGAGTCCCGTGACGAGCTTATCGATACCCGCAGCGTTGTTTTTTCCGATATCTCGGCCCTCCCGCCCGAGGACACCTCGTTTCTGCCCAGCTTCGCCGACGACGACGACAGCGACGGCGGCCGCTACATACCTGTTCCATCCGACATCTCGTCTATGCCCACAGACAGCATGACGGGCGCTACAGAAATTCTCCCCCCAGCCCGGCGAAGGAGCCGGAGCATAGAGCGGGATGCTGTTACCGACTCAATGGTTTCCGAGGCCATCAAGGATACCTTGAAAGCCCCTAGAGAACATCGCAGTAGGAGCCTGAGCAAAGATCGCATTACCCAGCGCGTAATGGAGAAACTCCAACAGCAGGCTGCCGAAGGCAACCTCTCCAAATCCAAGGAAAGATCCTCAAAGTCAAGAGAAACCTCTAGACGGAGAGACGATGACCTCTCCTCGTCGCGCAAGTCGCATCGAAGGAGAAGCAAAGACGTTGAACGTGTTGGTGGCGTTAGTGGTACCGAATCCAGTGTGCTCTCATCAAACATTGACCGCCGCTCTGTCGTTTCCGGAACTTCCTCCATCAACAACCCAAAACTGCTTGCTACAGTCGAGGACGCCATCAAGCGATTGATCCTTCCCGAACTGAATGCACTCAAAGAAGAGAATCGCACATCGCGGAATGTCGACAAGTTCGAGCGCTCCAACCGCGACAGCACAACTCTCTATGAGCCCGCCGAGTCTACCAGCTCGCGCGACCCCTCCAAGCGACGTGTGTCCAAATCATCCAGCACACCTAAGCTTCACAGCAACAAACCCAAGGTCACTCTCAATAGAGACAACGATGACCCTGCAATCACACTAACCGGCACATCAAGCCGTAAGAGTGATCGACGATCTAGCCGAAGTTCCATTTCGAGCTTCGCGGAGTCGACTACCAGAGAGGAAAAGTCCCACCGGAGAAAGAGTAGGGACAAGGAGGGCTTGTCTCAGCGGGAGTCGGCCCTACTTTCGCTTGCTGGAGCTGGCCTTACCACCGCCGCTCTAAAGCACCACACATCACGTGAAGAAAAAGAAGAAGAACGCAAGCATCGAAAACACCGCTCCTCTCGCAGCATCAGAAGTCGGTCGGAAAGCGTATCTGATAGTTTGCATGAGGAAAAGCGACTCAAAGAGCTCGTTCCACCACTACCATTCAATCAAAGTGAGATGATAGGAGGATCTGAGCTCACTCGGGATTCTATTCTCTCTGCTGATACTGAGACTAAAGAGAGACCAGAGTCAAGGTCATCCGCGAGTACTGGAATTTCGGGGACAGGTGCCGAGACTCCTCTCCAACAAGTCCCTCGAGGTTTCGCCTCGCCTTCACCTCTCACGCCGAGTCGCACTCCCAATGCGTTGCAACAAAATCTTGGTTCAGCTCACAGCAATCGCTCTACTGGTGAAGTTCGTCAGTCAACCCCCAAGAGCGAGCGCAGCTATACCTCCCGACAGAAAGAAGCCAATGATGCAGGGTTATCCGCTGCTGCTGCTGCCGCCAAAATTCGTGCAATTGAGCAGTCTCAGTCTCAAGTGTCAAAGTACGAGATTGAGAGTGATACGCAGTCGGGACGCGGCGTGAGTCCGATCCAAAGCGAGGCTAGTTATCGTGGCGACACTACACACACTGGCTCTCCCCGAAGATTCCACTCCATTCGTAGTGGGCCATCTGTATCATCGCTCGGTGACCATTTCGAACGACGACAGTCTGGCCTTTCTATTGCTTCGTTAGATTCAACAGCAAGTACAAAAGCTGCGCGAACTCGTAAACGACCACAGGGTGTCACGCTCGAAAGCAAGAAATCCATACTCAATGAGCCAAGTACTCCTACCGACACCAAGGAGTTCTTTGAACGTAATCATAAGAAGAACGAGCAGTATCGGCGTGAACTGGAGGAGAACCCTCTGACACCACCACCCATGAATTACAACCGCCTGACCCAGTACACTGATGACAGCGTGGGAGGACCTGACCTCAGCCTCGACCGGGATCCGAAACTAGCCCAAGACATCCGCAAGGTTGGCTCGATTCCTGAATACATTCACACTCCACTCGCCGTGGAATCTGCTGTGGCCTCCCTGTACGATCAAACTGAACTCAGTGTCCGCTCCTCAAAGGCGTCAAGCCCACTGAAGAAAAGCACGCTATCTCAAGTCAGCACCAATCCTGCTTATGTACAGACTGACAATGTACCTGCTGGTCAGAGATGGGCTGCAATTCGCGACAAGGCTGAAGCACTGTCCCAGGGTAACAAAGTCGACAACTCTCCAAAACAGACCATTCCTCGCGAGGATTCTCCCAGGCAGAGTATTGCTGAATCCGAGGACGCCGAATCGATTGACGAAGCACCTCGAATGCATCACAGTGCCTTCCCAGTAGGCCAAGACGACATGCCTGAAATTGGATACGGCTTGGACGACCAGTCCGACGTGACGACCAATCCCTCAATCATCCAAGGACCTATCGGAGGAGGAAAAGGCTACCACGACCGTACTGATGAGCTGCTTGACATGCAAGAGGAGCGAGAACGCACACCTACCTCGTTCTCCAAGGGTGCTCATCTCCAGCGGCATGAACAGCCAAGCCCGGCCACTTTTGATGATGAGCGCCAACCCACCGTAGAAGATGACTATGATCATCCCTATCCAGGTGAGACACAATACGAGCAGGCAGGCTACGCGCAGAGTACGCGCACTCCTTTGTCAGGCCAAACCGGCTGGAAAGACGAGGGTTACCAGTCGGCTAACCATGGTGAAGGCTACACGCCTCAAAACCGCAAATATTCCAAGATGTTTGAGGATGATGATTATGGCGACGATTACGACGGCATGGCCCTCGGAGAAGATGCCTTTGGTGGGCCTAGAGGCAAACATGCCCGGGATTTCAGCGGCAACTCTCATGGCATCGACTCACCACTCTACGATGCGGCTACCGGCAAGGGCATTGACCATATCCAATCCAAGGACATTGTTGCGCTCATGGATCACCTTACCGTTCGCGATGCCCAGCGCAATGCTCGTGACACCGAAATTTTGGTGACACTTGTTCGTAGCGCGGCTGAGATGCGCACTCAGTTGGACGACCTGAAGCAGTTCATCAAGGTTCAAGATAACATGATTATGAACACGACTGACAAGCGAGTTAATCTTGCCGAACAAAGAATTCTGGGTGGCCCCCGTCCACAGCCCGTTACACCACCTCGCTTCAACCGCAACCACTCTGAGGAGGAGATTGAGACTAAGAAGAAGAGTGTCTTTAGGCGTGCTCTGAAAGGTCTAAGCGCTGGCAAAGGCGACGGCGATATCAAGCACATTGAAGCCATGTTGGTTCAACTGCTTGGTGAAGTCGAGGGCTTGAAGCAGGTCAACCAACTGTCCTTAGACCAACAGCAGCAGCAACAACAACAACAAGAAGCTCCTCGAACAAACAGTATGACTTCGCTTGAGAACCGCCGGCAGAGTGGCGACGCGGGCTATGAGCCAGAGGGTCGTGCCAACACCGCGGAGTCGCCAAATCAGTCTGGGTATTTCTCCATTCCTTCTTCCTCCCGGCGCATCCAGGATCTTCACTCTGGTTATGACGTTGGCCCAACAACCCGTATTAGCACGGTGCGGGAAGAGAGCGACGAGGAGTATGATGAACGTTCCCCAGGATACGAGAATACGGAGCGAATGACAACACCCACTCAAGAAGCTTTCCAGGAGAAACGCGCATCTCTTGGAACTCCACCACAAGCTTCGAGGGCAGCACGAAACTCACGAGACTCACGAGACTCGCGAGACTCGCGAGAACTGCAGAGCCAGGAGAACACACCAAAGCGCAAGCACAAGTCCAACTCGTCATCGATTTTTGGCATCCCCAAGATTTCACGATGGTCCAAGACAACTGCTTCGACCAACCCCGAAAGCCTGCCACGCAACAGTGGATCTGGAGATAAGCGACCTTACTCCGCTCACTCAATCCACTCCAGGTCGTCTTCGCAAGATGACTACTATGACGAGGAGGAGCCGTATGCGCAGCATGCCGATGACAGGCTCCGCTCCAACACGTCTCTCGCCAGAGAAGACCAAGCTTCCATTCGCTCCGTTCGCTCTCCTTCGCCTCTCATCCCAGAGGAGAACGCGTACGAGATGGAGGACCCCAAGTACCAGGCTCATCGCAACTCGCTGAACCTGCAACATCCTCAGCCACGACCTGGTCCTACTGGTCGTCATCAAAACAATCTGGAGACTCAGGCGCAAATCTTCCAGCCCACTAACCGCTCGAGCATCAGTTCTCCTGATTTCGACCAATGGGGCAGCATGCCCTCCCTAGCTCGCAACCGCCTCTCTGGCATGTCAGCTCCCCACGCCAGCAACCTTTCTCCGATTTCATCGGACGGTAGCTACAGCCAAGCTTCCGAGCACCAAAATGGCTCAGCTCGCCAGCCCAAGGCCATGGAAGATGGGCCACTCATGCCTCCACAGCAGACCCTTGCTGGTTACGGCCAGACGAGGCAAATGTACAGCTCGCCAAATGAGTTTGGCAGTCAAGGTGCCTTGACGCCACTCGCACCCATCGCAGAGGTACGTTATTCGCTCGAGACCGATAGGGGCCACCGCGTAAGTTAAGCTCGCTCATCTCTCTATAGAGATGGATGCTAACCTACGTAAAGATGACGCCTACTGCCTCGTCTCGCGCGAGTTCTGCAAGCCTCCGTACCATGAGTGACTTGAGCACACCACAGCGCAAGATCACCGGCCCTAGGGCCATGGGAAGCAGGAGCCCACAGCCAAACAGCCCGCTACAACATTCAGATACCGTCGTCCGAAGGAAGCCTATTGAGGGTAAGTTTAATTTGTTGATGAACCTTTCAATGAGCAGCGCTGATGAAGAAAACAGATGACTTGGAGTCTCTCGAGAGCTACCGCAGCAGTCTCGACTCTGAGATCTTCTAGGCGAATGATCGAAAGCCCGGCATCTTACTTAATAGCATCAAGCACTCTGCAATTGGATACTGGGCCAGAAGTGATGACAAGAATGGCAATTCACGATTTTCACGTCACAGCCGTGACAAGACGAAGGCACGGCAGCAGTCCCGGCTTCGGCATGTTACTTTTGCTGAAGAGAATGGGAAGTAATGGATTTGGGGAAGGATGAATGGCGGGGGGCTGGTCTAAAAGTCTCACAAAATATCTCCTTGGTTAAGTGTGGCTGTTCGTTCGTTTCTAACATAATTTTCGCATTATATCAGCTTGCGAGCATGGCGTCTTCTAGCGAGCGAATTTTTACATAGCACTGCAACGACAAAGAGTATGAAGTCGACGGGAGTCTCGAGTGATTCATGATGAGGGATGACCAACTTCATGCTTTAACGAGAGATGAGGAGTTTTTTTCTGGGTGTGTATAGCGGTACCAATATATCATGATACGATGGGGAATTGTCTGTTTTAATGAGTGATAATCATGCTGTGGTGAGGGATGTTGGGCTTTGTGTCATGGTAGTGGTGTTTGGTGCCTGAATGTCATCACTACACATACCAGTGCAGTAGATGACCAGCATCAGCAACGCGACCAGCCAACTACATGACACCTTTCTGCCTATCCCCGCAATACAGAATCGCCCATCAGTACCATACAAGCCAAATTTTCCCCGCTGCCAAAGAAGATCACAAGTCTTCGACCCGCAGTTATGAGGTCGCTCTGACATCATGGCAACGGGGTCCCACACTGCATCACTTCTTTGCATCATAATGCGCATCATGCCAGCTTCTTAGCAGAATAAAAACAGTTCCCACGTACTTATATAGGTATCCTTTGAATCCACTTCATCTTACTCCATCCAAAAAAAACTCTTTTTTGATACCTAAACACCATCTCCATCACTGTCCTCCCCCCCACCTTTTACAACAAGACAATTGAGAAAAAAAGATAAACAATAATCATGTCTGAAGCCTACAAGAACAAGGACTTGAACGACCTCGCCCACAAAGCCGAGCAAGACGCAAATAGCCACGCTGCTAAACACGGTCATGCACATGGCGATTCGAGTACGTCCTTTCCCCCTCCCTCCCTCCCTCCCTCCCTCCCTCCCTCTCACATTTCTTCAACCTAACCATGACTTTCAGCTATCGACTCAGGCATCGATTCTGCCGCTGCAGAGAAGAACTTCCCAGGTGCAAACGTAACATACGGGTCTGCAGCTAGCGGGGCGGGTAATAACCGCGATATCCCGCCTGAAGAAGGCGGCGATGTAGGCAGAAACGGGGAGGCGACGAAGGCGGGGGATTTTGCGAAGGGAGGGGTAGGGGCACCGGAGAAGAGAGATGAGACGTTTGCGAGGACGCATGGGGGCGACGATTCGGTTAGGGGGAATGTTAGAAACTGAGGGGTGTTGTCGTGAAGGGTTGGGGATGATATCGTGTTTTACAAATCATTCCAAAGTTTAAAGCTACAAGTTTAATTTCACTCCTAAGTAGTTCATGGCCGTGATGACCTATTCATCTGATTGGATATTAAACTTCTACATCTGTTCCTTCTTTTGTCGTGAGTTTGGAAAATGCAATGTCAAAGCCAACGAAAAAGTATTGTACATGCTCAAAGAAAGGTGACCTCTTAGTTCAGATAGATACATCGTGCGGCAATCGATGGTGATGAAATTGACGGCTGATTTTCTACCAGTGAGTATCAATACGGGTCTGCTAGTCCTCTAAGGTCATCGGCGTGAAGGTATGGTGCTGGTGCTGAACGATAGTAAGACGAAAAAATATGCTCATGACTCGAAGGTTGTATGGTGCTTGTTTGTTTGGACGGGGGAGGCGGAAGATCTCGATGTTTCCTCAGCATGTGTTTTCGTAAAGCATCTGAACGAGCAAAGGTCATATGGCAAGCATTGCAGGTGAGTGTTTTACCCATCGTCTGATGCACGCTCTTCGTATGCCTCCTAAGATTTCCTTTTCCGTATCTACCGGCGAAGATAATCTCGCATTGTGCGCACCGAACTGATTCTGGATTGGATTCACTTTCCTTGCTTGGAGGAAATGAGGAAGTGGTCGGTGATGAATTCGGAGGAGGAGTTTGTGGAGCAACACTTCCAGCTGTTGAAAAATATCCAGAATCCTGGCTTATACCAGTTATCCGGCGCATACTATAGCTTCCTGGATCGAAAGACTCTACTGGTTCAGCGTAGCCGAAGTAGTCGAAAGGCATTGTGTCGTTGGAGGTGAATGCGGAGCAATACATTGATTTTCGGGTGAATATGGAGTTATGTCTTTGGGCGGATACGGATAAGTCGTTGTCATGATTCAAAGTCGAAACATCTGAGATACCTGTCCACCACTCAGTTTCATTATCATCTAGTTGAACCTCTTGGAGCCGCTCAGATCCGATCGCCTGCTTGTGGTATGAAGGTTCATCTTCTCTTGTGGAGCCCTGTAGTTGTGACGGCACAGTGTCCGAGATGAGAGGAGACGTTGCTTCAGAGCTGTTGCTGAGGATATCATGCCGAATGCCTGGGCTTATTCGGGTAGATTGGGAATTTCCTTCAATTTCATCGTCGCCCCTTTGGTTATCCCAAGTCTGGCAACGACGGTCGTATGTAACCCCCCCGAACTCGTCAGATAGAGAGTCGTGGACGTGCCCTAGCCACATCCTGTTTTTCTGAATGCCATTGCGGCTATGCCCAATCTCTGGTCGTGTATCAAGTAGGGGTTGTTGGTTCATCCCATTGGCAACAGACGAGGAAGTCTACTAACAACATCAATCAGACGTGAAATCGAGTAGATGCAGCTAAAACTTACGTGCTGGGGCTCTATACTTGGTCCCTCATCCCCAGAATCTGAATCGACAATGAGTTGATAAGGTGTGAGATAAGGAATAGCCTCGTTTTGGTTACGCAGGATAGGATCAGCGGCAGGAGGCTCGACTCCATTGTTGTATGGCGTGGATAGGAGTGGCATGCTTGCACTGGGTCCTGGGAGTGCGGAATCATTGTCATTTTCTTCTCGGATAGCACTTCCCATACCATTTTCGGAATTGTTCGACAAGGGAGATGTGCGTGCTTGAAGGTATTGAGAAGTCATGGCTGCTTCAACTTGGTGATACAGTAGTTGCCATTGCACTTGCGCATTAGCTCGCCTGCGTCCGGGTTTCCGGTTGTTACAAAACTCTCCTTTGTAGCCGTGTTGAGACTCGAACACTTCCTTGTCGATAAAATCATCATTGCAGGTACGGCAGAGCCCCAAAAATGCTAGCTGGGGTGTATAGCCACGGCCTGGCCGGGTTTTCAAATGACGTCGCAACTCCGACATGTTCGTACTCTTCACGTTATTACAAGTGCGTGGCCAACCATGTCGGGCTTCTGCGACGAACACGGGACAGTCGAACCTGCGGCTATCGGGCTCCTGACTACACATTATGGCTAAAATGCCTGCAGTCGCAGCCGAACTGAGAGTGTTGGGATGGTCCCAGTCATACCAAAACAGTTGCTCACTGACACCAGGCCATATCGTCTCCAAGGACCACACTTCAACTCCAATCCCCGCACGTAAACAAGAAAGTGCCTGGGTAAGGCGCTGAAATGGTAGATTAGAACGGAATCGAGGCTGTATTGGTGTCTGGCCATGAAAATACAAAGAATGGGAAACACTACTTACACTCAAATGATCAAATTGTGCAATGGGTTGTAGTGACTGATCTCCACTGCTTTGTGTGGATGGATCTGACTCGTTGGAGGAAGAAGGACTTTGCTGCATTGGGAGGGCCGTGACGATGGAATATCTCAAAACACAACGAAGGACTCTTGAAAGACTGATGGACTTCGCCGATGAGGGGTAGCCTGGCTCTTTAAGCCGTATGGAGTCACTGCTCATTGGTGCATACATCGCCTAGTGTGAGGTTGGCTTGCATGAATGCAGGATTGCCGACATGCAGAGTTGCGGACTTGCGGACTTGCGGACTTGTTCAGCTGCCTTGTTCAGTTGCCTTGTTGCCTTAATACCGTGACGTGTGACTGGGTGAGAGATGAGACAGAGGCAAAGCTACGCAGTTGGTTGGTACGTTAGATAGTACTATTCGCCATGGCACGGGCCTGGTGAGTGGGCAAGCAGGCAATCAGGCCAGTATCCAAGTAGCCAGTCTGTCATGTCAGCGAATCGCCAAGTGGACGCGGGCATGCTTGGATACCTGGTTACTGAATTTCAGTCTTGCATAGAAATACAATGATGCAGTCACAGCCCAAGCTCTTATGGATGAGAGCATGATACGTGCATAACAAGTTAATGCTATATCGGGGCGATTGATTAAGAAGAGTTTTTCAATGGTGATGAAAGTTTGTCGAGGTTGATGAGTGGGATAAACAAAACTGGAAAGTACTTGTGCTGTGCTTGCCAGAGTGTAACGCCAAAACAGAGGCTATGCCACAATAGGAGCTATAGCCACAGTCTGAGTACAGCGTAATTGAACCTGAGCAAAGCTTAGCCACATTCCCATTGCTGTTTTAAACATCCATCTCTCTCAACTCCTCAGTTTCAGAATCTGAAGTTCGTTGTCGCTAGGCATGATGACCAAGAACGATTATAACGAGGCAATGACATAATTAGAAGGGGTATCAACGCGATTCATGCCATAAGCAGAGAACAAAATACTGCGCCATTCTCACACACACACACACACACACACACACACACATACAAAGCTGAAAACCTATGCCCATACACCAAGTGTCCAGCTAGCCCTCTCTCCACCTTTATTAGCCAGTCCAGGACCCATGCTCTGTCTCTGTGCAATAACTGAAACTTCCTTTTCACGAGATGCACCTTGCAAGCCATCTCTAAGGTATCTGTCGCGCTCCACCTCGACGATTCCCTTGATGCGTTGCTGAGCAATCAGGCTTGCACCTACCCATGGGCCCAATGTCTCGATGCCTCTGAGAATACCACCCACCAGGCTTGCAGGTGGCGGACCATTGCGAAGAGTCATGTGGGCCAATTTCATGTCTATAGCGTCTTGCTCATGCGGTTGGAATGCTGCCGGCACTATTTGCAAAGGGTCATCTGGATCAAGAGAAGTCGCCACTGTATCCCCGGCTTCTTGTTTACGCATCTCTGAACTTTCCCGATGGTTACGTAATTTTTCTTCTCGATGTGCACTTGCTTTTCCATAACTCTTCACTGGATCCCAGCCTCTTGCTTGCACCAATGCATCCAGCTCCTTCAGTATACGGGTCTTGATGCCGGAAAGATTCGACACGCCGCCCGTGATGATTATGCGTGACATGCACAACCGGCGGACGTCGACTGGAAGTTGTACAAGGGTACGGTATATGAGGTGGTGCAGCGGCAGGTCTTCATCGTCGAATTCGCTGATTGACAGCTCTGGTGCAAAGAGAGCCGCATCTGCGGGCTTGGCGAGTGACGCGAAAGGTATCGTAAGGTCTGTCGGAGGCGTATGTTTGGGAAAGGGGATTGTGACAGTAGGTGGTGGTGACTCAATGGCGTCTTCAAATTCTTCGAGCACGGGTGCTTCTCGTGCAGGAAAGTAGACGGTTCTCCGATTCGATCTAGCAACGGGCTTGCACCACCCGACACGGGTAAGAACCTCTTCGACTTCTTGGAAGGATACATCGGCTTTGGGTGCACCAGGCTCGGCATTGTCTAATTCAGCATTCAGCAGCTTGGCCATCTCTTCGCTAAGCATCTTGCCTGCCCGCACACTGCGCCTTTCAGACACTTCGCGATACTCATATACTGCTGTGACTAGTGTTTCGGCCCAGCCTATATCCACAATCAGAGCTGAGCGTAGTCCTGCTGCTACGGCTGAGAGTACGGGGGTAGACATGAGACTAATGCTCGGGGCTTGGAAGCTCGTGAACAACACATCCATAATAGTAGACATGAGTGCGTGTGGCATACGAGGCGGCAAAGCCAGCAAGACGCGGCGCGGCTTTGTGTCAAGTAAAAAGTACTTTGCGTATGCCTCGCGCATGGCCCTCTCAAACTTGTCTTCCACCAAGCCCAGATCCACCTTAGTCAAGTCGAGGCGGTATAGCTCATGCCTTTCTCCCCACTCCTCGCCCTTATTCCGCTTTGGTCTCTTCTGTGTGTATTCCGGGTCCCACTGCCTGTAGTCGCCCACCCTTCGCTGGTCTTCAGGCCCGAACGGGATGGTGCATCGCGGGGCACTTTCTCCAGGGAAGCCACCACGAACAAAGCGTGAGCCGACTTCAATGACGATATACTCGTCTTCGAAGCGGAATGAGCCACCGGGAGAGCCAAAGGTAGACGAGATGGAACGGAGGAGCGGGGTTCGCGGAGATTCTCCCAGGTCAGCAAGGCGAGGGGTATTTCCCCGTGTGCTGCGATTAAGGGAGCTTGAGACTTTGCGTTCGCCGCCAGACGACATGGCGGAGGCGAGGGGTGAGCGCAGTGCAATGGGCCAAGCAGAACACTCGCTTGCATGTGCTGTTAGCAGTCGGGACGTTGCTCTATCCCAGCAAAAACAAGCTAGTTCGTTCTTAGACTAGCGTTTTACTAGTGGCCCGAGCTCAGGAAAAAGTTCGAGCTGGGATGGATTCTGCACGTCCAGAGCTTGCGACAAACCCCATCGCGACTTCCCACACTCAGTCCAAATCAACCTTCCAGGGCAGTTGCGCTCCGCGAATCGCGAATCTCACTGGACCCTTCCCTACGCCCGAGTACACGCACAATGGGTCTTTTTATTCTCTCGGAAACCTCGGCGGGTTATGTCCTTCTCAAGTCCAAGGACAAGAAGCTCTTGGGCGGAGACACAAAGGATTCCTCGAGCATCGCCGAGCAGCTGAAGCTCAAGAAGTTCGCCAAGTTTGGCAGCGCCGTCGATGCGCTTGAGCAAGCTGCCGCTCTTCACGATGGCAAGGTCACGCCCATGCTGTCGTCGCTGCTTGACGAATTGAAGGATGAGACCAAGGCTACTTGTATGCTGCTCCGCGAGCCTTTTGTGCGAATTGTGTAGCTGACAATGCTTCAAGTGGCTGTTGCCGACCCCAAGCTCTCCAATTCGATTGCTCAACTCCCAGGCCTTTCCCTCAAGACCGTCTCAGACTCGTCCACACAGGATGTATTCCGTGCCATCCGTGAAAACCTGACTTCACTCCTTCCCGACCTGCTTCCCTCTGAGGAAGCCGCCACTCGCCTGGGTCTTGCCCACTCTCTGTCGCGACACAAGCTGCGATTCTCCCCTGACAAGGTCGACACCATGATCATCCAGAGCATTGCTTCTCTCGATGTCCTGGACAAGCAGCTCAACACCTACGCCATGCGAGTCAAGGAATGGTACGGCTGGCACTTCCCAGAGCTTGCCAAGATCTTGAATGACAACCTGGCCTACTGTAAGTTCCTAATCCGCTTGGCTGCGATGCTTTGCTAATTTCTGTAGCGCGTGTCGTTTTGAAAATGGGCTTCCGCACAAACGCTCGCCAGAGCGACCTCTCCGACATTCTGCCTGAAGAAATTGAGGTCAGTTTTTGACAACCCGTCATTCTACAAACACTACTAACAAAATTCAGGCTGCTGTCAAGGCGGCTGCAGAAATCTCCATGGGTACTGAAATCACAGAAGAGGATTTGGAAACCACCTCTGCTCTCGCCGAGCAGGTTGTCGACCTGACCGAGCACCGTCAAAATCTTGGAAACTACCTATCGAACCGCATGCAGGCGCTTGCTCCTAATCTGACTGCTCTTGTTGGTGAGCTTGTTGGCGCGCGCTTGATCGCTCACGCCGGATCTCTCATGAACCTCGCCAAGTCGCCCGGTTCCACTATCCAAATCCTTGGTGCCGAGAAGGCCCTGTTCCGTGCTCTGAAGACGAAGCATGACACACCCAAATACGGTGTAAGTACCTAATGCTCTTGCTCAACCAGACTTGTGCTGACTCGACTAGCTCATCTACCATGCATCTCTTATCGGTCAAGCTACCGGAAAGAACAAGGGAAAAATTGCCCGTATGCTCGCTGCCAAATCCGCCTTGGGTCTGCGTGTCGATGCCCTTAGCACCTGGGGTGTCTCATCAGAGGACACTTCCAAGGAGCCTACCGAAGAAGAGAAGTCCCAGATTGGTCGCGACGCACGCCTGACTATTGAGAGGAGACTGCGCGCACTCGAGGGCAAGCCATTGAAGAGCTTGGCCAACGCCAACCAGACTGCGCTCGGTGGACAGAAGAAGTGGGAAGTCAAGGAGGCGCGGAAGTACAACCCCGACGCCGATGGTCTTACTGGCGACGAGCCCGCTGCTGATGCGCCCAAGTCGGCCAAGGCTAACGGCACACCCAAGAAGCTGGTGCAAGAGGTCGACAGCGACGGTGACGAGAGCATGGCCGACGCCGATGCCGCCTCAGAGTCAGACTCTGAGCCAGAAGAAAAGCCAACTGGAAAGGACAAGGCGGCGAAGAAGGCGGCAAAGGAAGCCAAAAAGGCACGGAAAGCACAGCGGGCCGCTAAGCGTGAGGCCAAGTTGGCCAAGAAGGCAGCTAAGGAGGCAAAGAAGGCAGGCAAGGACAGCAAGAAGCGGAAAGCAGAGGGTGGCGAGGACAATGGCGAGAAAAAGAAAAAGAAGAAGAGCAAGGACTAGACGCACCATGAATTGGGGAGATGGAGGGGGAGATAGGAAAGAAGTGATGGCCATTGTATCCTTTTTCAGTCGCCATCTCTTTTTTTTCTCGATTCTCCCTTCTGACACCACATGACAGAAAACCGGGGGACAATATGGCGTTGATTATCTGGGTTTGAGCTTGTTCATATATTTTTCTTGGGCGAGTGGCGTAAATCTTTTTCTGTGTTCGGGGTGTCTGGGCATATTCTTGTGTAGTTTTACCTTGACAAAAAGGTCCTTTCTTCACGTTGCATGATGGGGATGCGGTGGGATGGATACCCGCCAGCTGGTAGCATACAATTACATGTTCAAAAAAAAAGTTTTATGCCTTTGGTTTAAACGTTGTGTCGGTTGGTTCATTCCCATTGTTCATCTCATGCCATCTGGATACCAAAAACTCCTATTACATCTCTTCTTGTTCTTTCTCTACTTCACTTGCCGCATTTATTCTCTCCTTCGTCACCACACCTTCAAACCTTCCTCTTAACCTTCCTCTTCTTCTTATTCGCAGCACCCAACAGCTTATTCGCTATCTTGGGCATCTCCACATCCTCGACTCCCTCCGGAATCTGTGCTTCTTCCTCGTCAAACACTTGCTGGATGATGGCTAGCATATCGTGTAGTTCGTCTTCTGTAAAACGTGTACCTGCCTATACATCCCATATCTATCAGCTTTATCCACCTCCCCCCTCAAAAAAGCGTAGAGTCACGTGAAAATTTGGAAGACAGAATGAAAGGAAGGGAGAGGGGAGGAAGAACGTACCTCTTCAACAACCAACTCAAGCATAACCTGCGTCGTTGGTCTCAAATTATAAATCTGCAGATACTCCGCCTTATTCAATCGATATTTTGGTGCTAGAGCGCGGAACAGGCTGTTGGGTCCCTTGTACAGGGTCATGGGCCGACTGGGATGCGTGTCTACGAGCGCGGTGGTGGTGTAGTCGGGGGTTTGCAGGTAGGCAAGGCCATCGCGCAGCATGTGGGTGAGGCCAGAGGGCTTCTTGCGCTTGCGGTTCGTCGAGTCGGTTCCTGTATATTCGGCTTCTTCGGCGAGGAGGTGCAGGAGGACCTCGTGGTTGGTGAGGAGGGCGGCTTGGGGGGTTTTGATCTAAGTAGGTTCATGTGAGTGGGAGAGCGAGTTTCCATGGTGTGATATGATTGTCGAGGTTGAAGTGAATTTTATCTTTTTTTTTCTTCTCTTTTTCTTCCATTCTCTCTTGGTATGCTCGTCGTTACTTACATGCATGGCTATGATTGGATGGTACTTTTTCCACAATTGCTGCTCGGACAAACGCAAATCACGGGATCTTCAAGTACACTGACTGTATATTTCTACGTGAGTCAGTTTTGTCATGTATAATCCCTCACACCATCCACTTTTTTTCGAATAGCAGAAAACAAAAATCCCGATCGCGCATGGAAAATTCCGCTAATTGACTGCACGTCTTTATCGTTTTGATTAACTCTCTGCATCATGGCATGCATGCAAAGTAGCCGCAGCCAGTAAAAGCACACATAGTCTGATAAGAGATGATACGTACCCACTTGGCGAAGATGAAGCTGTACGCGGTTTTGGGGTCACATGCGCAGTCGGATTTAGCCTCGCACGTTGTAGTGCTTTTGTAGTGAGCAATGTTCAGAGGTTCTACATGGCGTTGCGGGTGGACCGTGATGGAGAAGGAAAAGGTTAGTACAAGGCAGATTTTCGCGCTAAGGGCTTGGCGCTTTCAAGGGCTTGTTATTGCTGCAAGGCAAAGGACGAAGATTGCAAGGCTCATGTTCACATCACGACGGCTTTCAGCACTGCTACGTCCATGAAACATGACTAGAAAATGACGTCCGAAATCGTTGCTATATCTTGATAGTCTAAATCATCACTGGGTATTACAATTATATCTTCCTTTTTGTACTGTTCCAGACAGGTCTCAAATGCTGCTAACGCCGCGCAATGCTATGCGGAGAATGGGGTACTCGCAAGGTCATCAAACAAGGAAATTCGGAGATTTGTGGGTTCAAATTCCCCAACTGCTGTGCTTCGAGTTGACCCCCTTTGCACCTTCGGTAGGCTTATGCCCATGATGTTATTGGTCTGCTGTTGTTGTGACTTTGGTTTTCTTAATTATGAAGACGCCCACTTCGACACCCTTGGTAGGCGCTCCATCTTGATACTCTCGTTTTGATACGCCATCGAGGACATGCTGGATGAGCGAGGCAGCGCTCATTTCGCCCATGGGAAGCTTCTTGGATTTGTTGAAGTACTTCATGACAACGTCTCGCACACGAGGCTTTTCCTGTTTAATCCACCAATCGTCTGCCCATGCTGATCTTTCCAGTAGAATATCTTCTTTTGCGGCATGTATAACTTGGTACGCCGCCTTTTTGTCAGCCCTTAGGTGTCGCTCACTCATTGCGTGACAAAATCTTCGCACTTGGACTTCTAGATGCTCATAAACATCAAGGTAGTTGACCGAGCCCATTTGACCTATATCTCTTCCTAGCTCCGAGTGAAGCTCGTGCACTACCGTCACAGAACGCAATAGCGGATCGAGGATGGGTCCGAGGTACTGCCTCATAAACGTCTTTGCGCCTGTTTTTGTTGGGTAGATGAAGAGCAAAATGCCATTGTCACTGGAGAGTTCGATCAAGCGGTCGTACAGCAAGGACCGACCGTGGAATGTAAACATTTCAGCAAATTCGTTTGTATTCGTGGGCGGAATGTATCTCTCGACGATTGATATGTTGATACTGCCTGGGGGAACTACAGGTCTAGGGGATAGCGGCAAAAGTTTCGAGTCGAGCTGGTAGTCGGGTATGGCGACTGCACTGTCGAAAACCTTGCTGGTAAAATACGAGTCGCCTCCGACTGCGGGACCTGGTGTTGAAGGGGGCGACTTGGGCAAGTCGAGGAGGGTGTAGCGTCCAGGGAGAGCATGGAATACATTGATCCATGAAGTGTGTGTCGAAGAAGCGTCGTGAATCGAAGCAATGACGTCGCCAAACACATGGCCCGCTGTAGAAGGACAAGGGAGGGCATGAGAAAGGATTCTGACAGAGTCTAGGCCTAGACATCCAGATTCGTGTACTTGAAGAGTTTAGCACAGCAAAAAGAGATAGAATGGGTAAAAGAGGGAGAGGGCGATCACTTACTAATTGTGCTCTTAGCCATTTCGATCCATGTAGCCATTCTCTGTGCTTCGGGGAGTGGCGCGTGAGTTGGCACGATGATTTGTGCTTGGGGAGGAGCTAATTCACGAGCGGTAGTGTTTACACTGGGCGAGATACCTGGATCCGAGTGGGGAGGCGAGCCTAGTGTAGCAGTACGAGGGTTCATAAAGGAACCCCAGTTGATGGTTCCTGGCTCCGAGTCCGAAGGGGGCGTGTGGGTGGAGAGAGGAGGGCCCACGCGTGCTGTTACTGCCTTCGGACTGGTGACGGGGGTGTGGAGGCGGCCGGCCGTAGTGAGGTTGTTACAATTGGGAGCCAGCGGGCTGAGTGCATGGAGAGGGTCTTCTGGCTTTGATAGTGGCCCCGCGCCTAGTGGAGAGAAGGGCAGATCAGGTTGGGCCAGAATATGGTCAGGGTGGGGCGCGGCAATACCCAGGGCATGGAACGAGGGCAGGCGTAAACTATGCTTTGCCTTGATTATTGTTGGCGGAGGAAGCGAAAGACTACTTTGAGGTAAATTGAGGGTCAGATCGACATTTGGACGATCTTCAGTGATGGGCGTGGTGAGAGGCTGGGGTAAGGCGGAAGGCAGGGGGAAGGGCTGCGGCAGGGAAGCGTCGAGAAATGAAGAAATGGTGTCGGGAACCACGGTGTTGGAGCAGGGACCCGCTTGTGCTGCTTCATCCGGCGTCGGTGGGATGGAGTTGGGAAAGGGCTCGTGGGGTTGGGATGGGAGTTGGGAGGGGAGAAGGGTGGTGGCGTCAGCATGGAGCTGGAGCTGGTCGAAGACTTGGGTCCGGGGATTGGGATCGGTCATGGCAAACGTCGATTGTGATGTTTGCAGGCCACCAAGGCGCAGCGCAGTGCAGTCACGCTACCTGTCCTGGGCGGGCGGGAGAGACAGGCGCACGGAGACGTGGCTGGAGGATCTGGCGGCCAGGAACCAAACCGCTTGACTAGTTTTTGCTGCGGGGCGGCAATCAACGGCCGTGGGGGAGGAAGACGACAGCGAAGACGACGGGGCGGAGGGTATGGGTATGGGGGGAGGTGAAGACGCAGGGCTGTGCGAGGGAGCGATTGCCAAGGCCTGGCCCAGAGTGCGACAAGGACAGCAGCACCGCACAGCACAGCACGACAGCGGGGAAAAAGCAGCAGGATGGATCGAGAGAGGGAGGGAGGGATAGCAATGGAATGGTACATGGAGGGAGCGAGAGAACGGGCGTGTAGTGGCTGACCGTGGGCCCACCCGGCGCTGGCGCTGCAGTTGATGCTAGTGCGTGTGCAAACGCCAGGGTCTCAGCACCGTGAGTTCTAGACCCCGGCCTCGAGAGCATTCAGATGGATCAGAAATGGCCTGACCAACAGAGTCGTCTGCACGCCCCCAAACCCTCAGGTCAGCAGGGCTGTGGAATGGTTGGACCGGTACTACCTGATACATGCTCCCCTGTACATACTACCACCGCTACTACACCCATACCCCATACCTATGTACATGTCGACTACCAAGTACATGTACATAGTACATAGTTGCAAGTGTACTTACTTACATAAGTATATCCCGCTCCCCTCGCTCGTGCACGGCAAGGCCCTATGTCCCTACACCAGCTAGCGCCTCTATCTGATGCATCGCACGCATGCAGCTGCAGCCCACTGATAGTCTGGACAAGAGCGCCGCATCCTTTTCGGGCCTGTTCTGCCTTGCTGCTCGACTGGCGGCTTGAATCTCGGCTGCCATGCTTGACTTTGCACACGACTGCTTGCTTTCCCATGTCAAATGCCAGCCGCCAGACGCCAGATGCACTGTAAGCCCTCCGTTTGGGAAATCAGTCTATGCGAGTCTAGATTTCTCACTCTCCTTCTCTTTTACTGCTGCCTAGCGCCAATTAAGCGACCCTATCCCGGTCCCACTCCTCTTCTCTCCTCTTCTCTCCTCTCCTCTCCTCGCCCTCTGCATCAGCCCGGACTCCGAGCATACAACACCATGCTGCCTTTTGCTTGCTCCATTAAGGTTCACCCCCTGTCCATACTTGAAACCGCTCCTCTTTGCTGCCGAATGTGCGGCCGATCAGTCTGCTGCGCGTCAGCCGCCAGGGCCTTGCCAAAGCCACTAGCCGATTACTACCCTGGACCTAAGTACACCACTCACCAAAGGAAAAAAAAAGTCGTTTGGCTCAATCGTCCCGTCATACCATGTGACAAACGGCATGCACGTCCTTGTTCTACATTGTTGCTCCACGACACGTACGTTTCAATCAATACATTTCTCAACCCCCACAAACAACCAGCTTCTTTCTTGTTGAGTGTCTTTCGCTCCATCCCCCCCCCCCAGTCTTTCATCCATCCCCAATTTCACAAACACATCGTCACCCAGAACACCTAGGTATCGAACTTGGAAAACATTAGCATCTGCCCCTCCTGTTTGCTATTCACATCACACTTACCTGCCACTTCTGCAGCCCTCTCTCCCGTGCCCCTCCCTTTGCTGCCCCGCTCGATCGACTTGCCATCTTGGGCTCATGCTGCTTTACGTACTCTTGCGCCAAGATGGGACATGCTTTTTTGTGTGCTTTGAAATGTGCCTTTTGACAGTCCTTGTTGCAGTAGGCTACGCTGTGGCATTTTATGCACTGCTTGAGTGAGTCTGCCGATTTGCCGCATTGACCACATGCTGCTGCTGCTGGTGACACTTGATGACTTGCTGAAGCCGTCGACTCTGCCTGCGTCTCGCTCGACCCTGCTGCCTTCGTGCTTGGGGCCTCTGGCTGTGTATCTGGCGCATCATTCGTGCTTGGACTAGGTTCCGCCATCATGTATGTATGCTAGATAGAGTGGGAATATTGGACAAAATTATGTGGATTGCTATGAGAGATTCTCGGGTCAATGTGCGACTTTACACCGCGGGACTGTCAAAGCTCGATGATCGGCATTTGACTTGCAGGGATCTGCCGTTGGCGAGTCCTCTAGTCCTATCTGGTCTTAGCCCTTCCGGTCTCATTTTCTACGTGCTAAAAGTTTGCAAATACTAGGCATTGCATGCAGCCAGCAATGCAGAGATCACAGTGCATGATATCCACTCCAAGAAATTGGAAGCATATTGAATCAAGGATAGTTATCAGCATCGGAAAGAACAATTTCCACATCTCCTGCTCGCATCGAGAAATACACCCCTGCCAACGTTTCAGCCACAATGGCAGTGTCCACAAACATACGCGTTTCCCAAGCCACAATTAAACGTAATTCCTTCAGCCTTTGCCTGCTGGCTTCCGATCATGTCGGCTAATCTTCGGTACTGAAATACTTAAGAGTGGACGCCTGAAAGCGCACTGCAACGGGCCGAGCAGATGCTATATCCGGCCACTACTGCACGGCGGATATTATACATGAGCTGAAATGACAGTACGACATACATACTAGGCTACAGAAAACCTCTGGCCGAGTTCCCCATTATGTGCAGACATACTTGGCAGGCCTTGCCCCAAATACTCCGCGCTGCATCCTCGTAGCCAAGAACTGTCCATGTTACCTCGAATCGGCCCGTTGTTCTTCTATTTGGTAAACCCCTAGTAATGCCAATACCTGGTAACAGCATGCACATGTTGTGTGACAACCAGAATGCAACCATCCGTCCAGCTACATGGAAAGCTCCGAGCTAGTGAACCAAGCGGGTTGCATTGCTGTTGGTCAATGGCGGTGAGATTAGACTTTCAGAAATGTATGGAGAAGGAGCATGCCCGGAGATTTCACTGGAAATACTCTATTTCAATTTCAACCCAATTGAACAGACGTGTGGAAGATGTGTCTGGGCTAATCGCTCTACCTTGGACTTCGGACTTCGTTACAAGCCAATCTTTGGATAAAGTGTTTGTCCGGACATCGCGGACGCCACACACCCTATCGCAACGCAAAGTCCGATACCGTGAGACTACCGTGTCACAACATGAACGAGATCAACATATTGTTTTGTTTTCACGACCAGATAAGCAGATTCAAAAGAAAAAGGGTATCGAAATGATTTTCAAGCAAAATTATGCTGTCAGGTCAAGCCATTATAACTTTGACCGCAGTGTCTCGAGTAAAGAGGGCAATGGCTTAACAATTAAAAAAAAACTACGTAGGAACAGTTGATAAACGGACACCAAGAGGCGTACACGTAAACTATCGCCACCCCGAACAGCCACTTCCGCCAGCCTCCCCAATGAAACCGCCCATTGCACCAGACTTCAGCAGCAATGCCTCCACACAAACAGCACAACGGAGATTGCAAGTCCCCCCCAACGAGACCACGGCGTTGCAACACAGACTGTAATTGGAGACAAGAACAGCCTCAAGCAGCCACATATCACACCTCTCTCATCCTTCTCCTCACCAAAACAACATGCACACGCGTCACTCTCTCCACCTCCTTCAACCCAAAAATCTCAGCCATATAAAACACCAGCTCCTGACAACCCACCCTAGCACCACCACCCCTACAAACACCATCTCTCCAAGCAAAAAAAAAATCACCCCTTCTTTACAAACCAACAATGTTCCTCCGCGCCCACCTCTTCCTCCTCCCAACCCTCACCCTCACCCTCGCCCTCGTCGCACCCGCACCCCGGCACCCTCCCTCCCCCCACTTGCACGGCTCGAGCTGCAAACTCACAACTACAGTGACCAAAACTGTTACCGTTACCGTCCCTATCTACGCGCCGACAGGCAATATCTCTGTTCCGTTTCCGAATACGACCGTTGCGAGTATGAGCACGAGTGTTGATTTGGCGCCTGTGACATTGATTACGCTGTCCACCGAAGCGGCAACGGCGACGGGTGGGGGATTGGAACCTATTACGTTGATTACTTTGCCTACTGCTACGGCTACATCTGGGGGAGATGGAGGGGATGCAGGTGCGGCACCGACGCCGAATGATATTGCGCCCATTACGTTGATTGATATCAGTACTGCGGTGCCTATTTAAGTGGAAGTTTGGGGAAGTGTGGGGCTGGGATCATGAATGGGGGTTAACATCTGAGAAACACATCTTTTGAAATAAATTCTTTTTTTTTGGAGGGGGCTTCGTAGTTTATATGGGGAACTCAATGACATGTCTCGTATAGCTCTGCGGGATCCAAGCGCATCGATGAACTCATTTTGCTGCTCCGCCTCACGTGTTTGCGTCCTATAGGCCTAAGTTTGAAGTCAGCACTCTTCCCTCTTCATCCACTCATCCATCAATCACCCAACGTAATCCAAACAAAAACGGTTGAAAGGAAGGGAAGAGGAAGAGGAAGAGAAAGAAAATAAAGAAAAAACACTCACGCGTCCCCAACAACCTTCCTCATCACCAAACTATCCACCCACTCCCCCTTAATTATCTCCTTTTCCTTGGTCAAGCTATGCCTCTCAAACCCCAACCGCTCCGCCAACTTCCAACTCGCCTCATTCCGCGGATCACATTCAATCTCCATCTCCACTTTCCCTACATCCTGAATCCTCTCCTTAATCGCCCCGATAAACGCCGTCATCGCCTCCGTCGCAAACCCCTTTCCTTGATACTCTGGTAAGAAAGAAAACCACAAATCCGCGTGCGTAACGGGCTTAATGCTGGATTCACCGGGCAACTTATCGGAATTCGCCTGCGAGGTTTTTGCGCCGACGCGCCCGATGAAAGTGGCCGTGTCGAGGGTTTCGACCGCGAGTTCGTAGATGGTGCGCGGCACGTCGTTGTGGTTTCGAATATTCTGGAGGACCAGCTCGCGGGCTTGCTGGGGGGTTCGCGGGGCCCAGGATTGGTAGCGGGCGTTTGCCTCGCTGGATTCGAGCGCATAGTAACCTGCTATGTCTTGGGTTACGAATTCGCGGAGGAGCAAGCGGGGCGTTTTAATTGCGCCGAAGCGTTCGCCTTTGAGGTTTTGGCGGGCGATGGAGGCGAGTTCGTCTTTTGTGAAGCCTTGGGAGGCTGAGAGGATTTTTTGGATTACAGTGCTTTTGGCGTAGACGTAGTCGACGATGTTGGTTGAGGTAGCGGCGAGTTCGAGTTTGACGCGGGCGTACTCGTCTCGCAGCTCGCTGTTTGTGCGGAGAGTGTCGCGGAGGTTGAGGTGGTTGCGGGTTTGGACTGCGCCGTCTACACACACGTAGATGTTGTGAGAGATGGACTGGTTGGGGTCTTTGAAGGCATGGCGGTCGACGACTCCGAGTTCTCCTAGGTGGTCAAACTTGCCGTTCGTTGTCAGAGCATCAATAGCTGACTGCAAGTTATCGCGAGAGACAATTACGTCAATATCGATAATGGGTTTGGCAGCTAATCCTGGCACTGATGTGCTACCCACGTGCTCGATTGAGAGGTAGTCGACGTCTCGCAGGTGATTCTCTAACTCTGCCTTTATTTTTTCGAACTGCTTGGGCCATTCCTCCCTGTACTGGTCGACAGTGACAGACATAGTTTTGGGGCTTGGAAAAAGGCAGTAGAGCTGAGAGAGAGAGAGAGAGGGGGGCCAAGGGCTAGATGTGTAGATGTAGGCTGCATAGATGAATGGGTAAGCTAGGCAACATCATTGGCTAAAACCCGTACACCCACCCGGGTGCGCCCGCGATGCACAAACTAGAGCAGCGGCATAGGCGGGACATGTAGGGCAAAAAAGGGCGGCAGGTGTGCAGCCATGAGTGTAACTGCAGTGTTGAAGCCATACAGCCAAGAGGGCATGTGCACACGTCGGGATGCATTGCGGAGATAGCGGCAACAGTTCCGAACCACTTGATTAGATTGCGATCCAATGCTCCCCAACTCTCCGACTCTAATCATACTGCTCAATCTTGATCACTGGGATGTCTGCATATGCCGGCGGCGCATGGCAGCCCAACAACCAAGACTCGGCGGCTGAACCCCCGCCAGCCTGTATCTGCTGCCTGAGCTGCCAAATGCAGCGTGCCACAAGAACGCTAGCGGCAAGCAGCAATGACAAAGGGAGCAGCAAATTGCCTTGTGAAGAGCCAGACCAAAGCGCGCCTAGTTTGTCAATAGCCACATTCCACGTCCTTGCCCATGTGCCAAATTTGCCATAGTCGTCCCACTCGTTCGGGTCAAAGGCGGTTCGTATCATGGCCAGCCTGCCGCACTTCATCCTGGGCGGCTGAACACAGTCCTTTTCTTCAACGACTTGCACACTTGCAATAGAAAGGGCATGGTCATACCCTTTTTGGCCTGGGGTCTCTGGAAGACTGTGTTGCTCACGCAGTAGCACCTGTAAGACTGTATGGCCCAATTTGAATGGTGCAGCTTCCTCTCCCCAGGCAAGACCAGTCACGTTGAACTGGAGCCATACTTCTCCATTTCCTTCGGCTCGGAACACAGTGTGTTCATACTGCAGTGGAAACCTGATTCTCTTAGACTTGACCTCCTCGGCTTGCTCATCTGCTTCGTCTTCAGCGAGATCTGTCGGCACCTGCACGGCACTAATGCGCAGAGGCAACGGATCAAGAGGAAAGACGCGCTCGTCATTGAGGAGCAGAGCAGACCCCGACTTGTCAATGGCAAGTGTTAATATCTGTAGTATTGTCAGCGCGGCTCGCCCATGCGCCGCGACAAGATGCGCTTACCAAGGAGTTTTGAGGAGGTGGATGGATCCATTCTGCTGCATGAGGAGTCTTCAACACGCCAAACGGACATCCGGCACATCCATACTTGACGGCGTAGGTCTTGTTCGCGTCGATCACGGTGATTACTGGGGTCGCTTCCTTGACAGCCGGAGCATGGATCTCTTTAACCTTGTGTTCGAGGGACGACGACGCGGCGACAACAGTCGCAATACCAAATAGAGCAAACAAACGCATGGTTACATGGAACGAGTGTGAAAAAAGAAAAGTTAACGAGAGACTGAGGGTCAAGTAAGAATAGAGGAGATATTGTTAAAGGGGAAAGAGAGACTGCCCAAGATGGCGGAGAGATGACGCGTGCGGATGCCTCGGTCAACGGCACGCTAGCGCAGGGACCGTCGACGTGGGGATTGACAATTCTAGATTCCTGGCGATCATTCACCCCCGGGCTCTTGGTCACGAACAGGCAAAATCCATGGCAGACGGCATTGTGCCTGAGATTGCTACAGAATTGCCAAGATGCCACAAGTTTCATTCGTGGTTGGCAAAGGTAAAAGAAACGTTGAACACGTGAATGACTTGTTGCCGTAATAGTACTTGCAAATATGCTTGTGATGACCGAACGTGTGGGCTTGCTATTTTTAGACTTGAGTAGTTCATTGATTTATACGAGGTCTGAGTTCATATGTTATCATTGAGTGCATGATTATGCAGTCTATCTGCCTGCAACACGGCAGGACCCGTCATCATTTCAACAGTCAAGAAAATAAGGGTGACTGCTCATGTTACCATTTGTGCCCGCGCATGGCCTTCCACCCTGAGATTCTTCGCTCGGGTATGGAGAAGATGGATGAAACGGAATATCCGCAAGATGTACCATGGCGGGCCAGTCCCATCATCTCTTGTAGCTCGACTGGTTGCGACTTTTTTGTCGCACATTGTCTCCGGTCGGGCGGTGGGATTGACATGGATGGACGGTAAGGTAGTTTGGTATACGGAGCATAGTTTCACTCCTCTTCGCTTTCTTCACTACTATCTCCACCTTCCAGCCCTCTCCTCATCAACTCTTCTAGATCGTCTTCGTCATCGTCGGCGGGAATTTCTGCAATTGCACCGTGTTTGTGGTCGTGACTGGTCGTATCTGGCTGTACAGGAGGTCCAATATCCATGGGCTCGACGTCTCTGTCATTGTATCCGTACTCCTCTGCATCCTCCTCCTCTTCCTCATCGTCATCGTCGCCTTCAGCGTCATCGCCGCCCAAATCGCCAAAGTCAATCTCATCCTGTGTGTTGCGGTTGCGTGCGTGCGGGTTGGGAGAGCCCTCTACATCGCTGTTAGCTGCGCTGGCAAGAGATATGGGGCCGTTGGATGGAGAACGCATATAACCAGCGCCCAGGTTATGGCCCAGACTGCGAGCTGCCAATGCACCATTCTTGCGTCGTGGTGGGCGCGCATCGGGTACTTCGATTTCGAGACCACCGTCGTCATCTGATTCGTCCTCTGCCTCGTCTTCATCATGGTGATGTCGCTGGTTTTGTTCAGGCGCTGGAGAGGGAGGTGCTGGTGAGGATGCAATTTCGCCGTCGGACTCGTCGGATGAGTGTATCACCTCGGCAGATTTGATCTTGGAGGCGGGTGGTGCGGTAGACTTGCCCTTTGGCTTGGCGGCAGGTTCTGTTGCTGTGCGTTGAAGACGGACGGCTGGTGGTGGCTGAGCCTTTTTGGGCTTCACCATAGGATTTGTGGCTGTAGTCTTGCGCTTCTTGGGCGCAGCAGCTGCAGCGGGCTTCCGTACTGGGGCGGCAGCGGGGGGTGCGCGAGCCCCAAATTGCGGTGTATGAGCAGCGCTGCCTGTGCCGGTTCGGTGCTCTGGCGATGATGCATAGCGATAGTCGGACTCATCGCCTCTCTTCGCCTTTTCCTTGCTCAAGAAGTGCCTGAAGTCATAGGGGTTGTCGGGGTCAGGGTCGCCTCCCTCATCGTCTGCAGCCGCCTCGCCAAACAGGTCGTCGTCCTGGTCTTTGTCTTGCGCATCGTCCTTGAGTTTCTTGGGATATATTTTGGCGTGCTGTGACGATATGTCTTTGCCGTTCCTTGTAGCAAGATTGAAGGTGTAGCTACTCGAGAGCGGCTCTAGGGTTGCTTGCTGGCTGGCGGGATCCAAGATGAGGACGTATGACTTCTTTGGCTGTGACTTTTGCCCCGTGAAGGTGAAGACATCCTGGTCGCCGGATTCACTCGTATCGTCGATGCGCAGGCTGCAGGTGTTTTTCGACGAAGGCGCTGAGAGTGTCGTAGAACGATTGTTGGATGTCTGTGTAGGCTTGTGATTGTCTACGTAGGGCGTAAGTCAGCAAGCGCCAGGATATGCATGTGCGTTTTAGGTTGAGGACTAACATTTGATACTGCTGTAATCGACCGCATCGTCGTTGTTCCGTATGCGGTCGCTGAGGTGGAGGGTGAAGTGCGCCTTCTTGTGAGGCTCGATGCGGCTCTCTACCACGGGAGACGCCATTCCCGCGGTCGTCGTTGTCGGGCGACAAGTCTGCTGGTTGCAACAACGAAAAAGCAAGACAGAGTATGTGTGTACACACACCAGAGAAGTCACAGTCTCCAGACGCGTAGGGTCATGAAAGAAGCATCGTTTGCTGAGTAGTATGGATGGCGCGCCGTGTTGCACATGGCCAGTCCGGCCGGGCTGGATTGGATTGGAGGCTCCGCCTGCCGGCCTCCCGCCGCTACTAGTCAGGCACCCAACTCCACACGACTAGTAGCTGCAGCCCGCAACCGTCTCCGCTTTGCCATGTCCCTCTTCCATAGCGACATCTGTAAGGCCTCCAGTCGATTCGAATCTCTTGATACGTGCATCTATTATACATGCACGGTCTAAACCACCCGGTGCGGGTGGGTAGTCGTGTGTCCCCACTCTATAGTGCCATCGTGACGGCTGGTTTCGTACTGCCAATATACACGCCTTGCTCAAACATATTGGCCTGGCCATTATGGTCCTACTCGCTGCTCACCAAGCAATTTACAAAACCATTGAAAATGTCCAAAGACAGTTCACCGCCACGACACGTACTTGTTCCAATCTGCAAAGTAACATTGGTGTTGCAGTTGATCCTTGAAGCGAGCATTATCATCCGCCTGATAATGTATTGGTAACGGCATTTTTCCAGTCAGATACGAATTCATGACCAAATCGATTGAAAAGACCTTGTGTCAGCACAATGTCATCAAGATCTTTGGCGGGGTAGTACCGCTGTCGGTTGGATGTATAAGATGGCCACGATGAGACACACACCCAACGAGTCTGTGACTGTCGACTCTACCCCAAGCCAAATCCACTGTACTCCGCCCTCAATAATATAGCTTGTGGAATCATTCGTTCATTCAATCGCGCTGGCCTCTCCTCGTACATGTTCTGTATAATGCGTTTTATCATCCCCACGCTTCTTGCACTGGCAAGCTCAGCTACTGCTGCTGGTATCGCCGTCATTCTCAATAATTCTCCGAAGCCAATATACGTCTGGTCGGTTGGCAGTTCGGTCGGTGCTCGTAATGATATCAAAGCTGGTCAGTGATTGCCTGGTTAGTGTCAGTATTTCTCTCTTGGCTAACAGCCACAGGGGGCATCTATTGGGAAGAAATGCGCCGCGACGAGAAAACAGGAGGGATTGCCATCAAAGTCACAGACAGTGCAGACGGCCTCTACTCTGGTGCTCCCCAGCAAGTCTTTGCATACAACCTGGACAATGACACAGTCTGGTACGATTTGAGCACAGTGTTTGGTGATCCGTTTGCCGGCTACCGATTGCAAGTTACAGGTGATAATGGAGGATCCATTCTGTGGCCAAAGGGAACTCATCCAGGAGGGAGCCAGCTCAAATCAGCCCCGAGTGAAGGGAACATCTTCTTCTCCATTGATCCTGCTGTTTAAAGCAGTGATGGCCACGGGGCGGCTCGAGCGTTGTATATCTACGCGCCGTGACCGGCGCCTCACAATTCAAAAAGTTACTTTCTAATCTTCCGTGATCTTCTTGCATGATGCTGTTTCAAGCCATGTCATCTCTCTAGAGGGAACTGACTGCATTGTGCCATAACAGTTAGACCGCCAACCGCCGACAGGGCGGCAGATCACTGCTTATCAGGGCACAATAACCGGACAGACACGTGGAATTCGGTGCTTTTCGCCTGAATCAGTATCCACCTAGAAGACCCAACATAGCGGTAAGAGACGTGTGGACGAACGATGGGTGTGGGAAAACATGGGGTAGGCCCTGCTTTCGTCAAATTGGCCTTCCGGGTTTCCTGAGCCGGCCTGTGCGCTGCCATCTCACGTCAGTCGATTTATTCGCTTTTTGACACACAATTCCGACCAATTATCCGAACATTCAGGATGCATTTTTCCCCTTGCCACATGCAAAACATTCATGTGCATGGGCACAAAATCACGAGCACCTCCTCTATTGCGCCACCTCGGCCCTGTCTTCGCTGCTGTTCCAAGTCAGGCCACGCCCACGCCTCGATACCGTATTGCTCTTGTATCGCCGACAAGCCATCCATTCATTCATCCATGCCGCAATCTCTCTTCATCTAACAAGGACTCCGCTCTCCCACGAGTCAAGTTGGTGTCTCGTGTTGCCTCGGATGGTGGATACCGAGTGAACGGCCACATCCTATCTCTAGCCCGCCTTGTTCTGGCTCGTCCCCGCCGCCCATCACGCTGCATGCTGCTACTGCGTGATTGCAAATGCGGGCGATATCGCGCCATGAGCATTGGCTGGCACCGCATGTAACCCGTATCCAGGTGATGGTCGACCCTTCTCTGTGCACGACCTCAGCCCGGGAGTTGTCCCACAGCAGACCGCAATGGAGCACTGCATGCGGCGCAGCGTCGTGATTGTTAGGTGTGCAGTACCATTTCAAGTCCTTTAGCCGGCATCCGATGGCGTTGGCCTGCACCAGACACACCAAGACCAGACTCTGCTCCCTGTCGGATGCTAGGCCCCACCCGCTTCCCGGCCTCTCCGCAATCATCATTGGCGTGTCAATCCGAGCACCTGTTTCTCTGCATCTTCTATTCGCTAGCTAGCTTCCTACTTGGCCTTATCGACCGACCGCCTGGAACACCCCGGTCGCAAATTCACACAGCGGCCGTCTTCGGGGGCCGATACAACTTTTGAGGCAAAAGGCCCTTTCTCGCCCTCTGCCGCGCCTCCTGGGCCCTGCACCGTCATCGGCAGTGCTGATGCTGATTCGCTTTTAGGCGGGCGACCCAATGCTGTATGTATTCGTTGCCATGCCGCTTGCCACGACAAGATGCGCTCCGAGAGTCCGATCAGCTCTTGTACCACACTCGAGAGCCGTTGGCTGTAGCCCCCGCTGATGCCTAATAACAATACCTTCCCACTTGTGCTTGCTCAGACCGGCCGACTATTCTTCTGTTGTTGAAGCCAACACCATCCGACTTCCTATTCGCTGGAAATGATACACAGCCCACTACGGATCCGGCTGGACACACGACCAGGAGCCTGGGTAGACACCATCGACGCTACCATCTTAAGAACAAGATTCCAGGCCTCTAGCTTCCCGCAATGAGCTCCAGGACACTGACCAATGTTGTGAACGACCAAACGGTTGCCCTCAATGCTCTCATCTATGGATACGCCGGCCACAGCTTGGTCACCCCTCAGTACGCCCTCCAACAAATATGGTGGACCGAGGAGAGAATCAACGAGCGAGTCACAAATGACTTTGTCACTTCTCGGCTACAGCCTCAAGAGAGGGAACGTCTCACCCAGCCTGTAGGTTTTGGCGATCTGAGCGACGATACCTATATCGAATGGATCATGGAGAAGGCACGGCGGCTATTTCTGATACTTGTCGAGATCGGTGAGGCAGATCGCATATTTGCCGTTGTCGACAAATCTTGGGACGATGACGACCTCCCTCTTGGAATGGAAGACATTGAGCAGCTATCGCTATCGAATCGACGCGACAACCACGCCAATGCTCGCTTTTACCATACCCAATTCACCTTTTTGCTACGAGAGTTAAGACAAGGTGTACATATCGACTATGCTGAAAACGAAGAGGTACCGATTGAGAGTGTCATGACCTTGCCAGTCGCGGTCAGCCTGCAAGGCTGGTCTCGAATACACTTACCAAAAAAGCCAAAGGAAATCTACATGCGCCGGAAATTCCCGCTTGGGAATGCAGATGACCCGGAGGCTTTTCATCAAGACTTCATCCTAGACGTGGAGAGTGCAAGAATAGTCGAACACGAGCATCTCGCTCCTGTCTGGGCGTCATACACGGCAAAGGGCTCTGGCTACATTGTCAGTAACTTTGTCGGTCACCACACTTTGCGCACCTTCATCGACCATCGCAATCCTGCGCAATATCAGAAACTGCCAAAGCCTGAGAGACGGTGGTTGGTGCTTAACTGGCTATACTGTTTGGCCGATACCATTGCAACATTGCATCAAAATGGATTTTGTCATTCCGCGATCCGACCGTCCAGGATACTCGTCGACGAGCAGAATGCGATCGCATTCAGCGACATTGGCAGCTTGGAGACGTTTCAGAAAGATAAGAAGCCTGATGCTATGGATGCCTACATATATGACGCCCCAGAGGCACATGCAAGTTCAGAACCAGTGGAGGACTTGCCTCCCTCCGTCGCGGCGCCCAACCTATCCAAAGACCGACACGCGTCTATCGCAAGTAAAAGCTCATCGGGATCTTCGAACAGCAGCAGTTCGCATCGTCAGAAGCTAACAAAATCCCCAACAACCGACTTTTCAGGGTTCAACTTTGGGTTCAAGAAATCAGAGCCTAAACCTCAGCACCGATCACAGGGGCAAGAAACTGAAAAAGCAGATGTCTTTTCTTTGGGCTGTGTCTTCCTGGAAATTTTGACTTTCTTGCTCAAGAAGAAATCCCATGATTTCATCAAGCACCGTACATCGAAACAAAGAATCAACACAGGCGGCAAGAACTCGCGTACTGATTCATCGTATCATAAGAATCTTGACAAGGTCGAAACCTGGATGGCCGTATTAGAGAAAGCATCTCGCGAAAGCGATGACGAGACCTTTGGCACAGTTGCCGACATCTTGACCCTTATCCGAACTATGCTCAGTAAAAACCCCATGCTTCGTCCAACGGCACGCGACGTGCGCGATGAATTGTTTGAGATCTTCAGCTGTACCTCGATGCCCAACATACACTGTGGCGCACATAGACATGACGTTGGTGTCGCATCATCTTCGCGTTCGGATCGCGACAGATCGTCTAGTATAGCGTCACTTCGAACGGTGTCGACGATAAGTTCGACGTGCTCGGATGTAGACACAATACGCTCTGGTACAACACAGGTGAATTCCATCTTGAACTATTACTCGGACCGAGCCACATTATCTGGAATCAAAGAGGACGACAGCGCTTCCCTAGAGACGATAGACGCACCGGCCATATCGCTGAACAACGATAACTTCCATGCGCTGTGTGGACCAGGGCCCATTGTAACAAAGTATGCTAAAATACCTGAACCACTACGGTCTCCTGGTTATGCCACCTCGCCCGCCTCGCCTACCTTGCCTCTTTCGCCTCTTTTGCCTGCTTCGCCTACTTCGCCTACTTCGCCCACTGGCCCTTCTTCGCTTCTGTCTGCGCGTTCCCCTAGTCCATCCAAGCAGAATACCTCAACGGTCAAGATCAAGCCATGGAACAAACCATTTCTTTTGCTTCCATGAGCATTGTGAGTGTAGCTTAGGGCTTGACACTTGGACTAAACGACTTGTATTGCTAGGGGTTGGACGATAAGAGCTAAAGACAGGCTATACAGAGCCAGGATATTGCGGGGTCCCCGAAGGTGTGCGCCTGGAGGTACTAGGAGCCATGGCATGAATGCTACGTTAGATGAAGAATAGGAAGGTACCTTTGAACCCAGGGACATATGGCTGTCCACTTGACTCGGATTGGTCATGTGCAGCATAGTTGATCAGATAGTCACAGGGCGAGCCCAAGTAACTAGGGGTAGAAGTAAAGTGGAGCGGTTCCATGCCGGCAGAAATTCATTTACCTATTAGTGCGGTATAGGCAGCTCGGAGGAGCATAATGCGAGGGTTACGTAGTTGGCGCAGCACGACATCGGAGATGTCCGCGAAGACAAAGAAGAAGAATAAGAATGAGAGGAAGTTGTGAATATGTGGTTTCCATTGCAGGTTACCCTGTACAGGCTGCCAACATGCAGTCTTGTTTATGTCTGCTGTCCACTTGATCTAATCTCAAAATGCGGGGTTTTCGTGCCATGCTAGTCTCCCAACCTTCCCTCACGCCCGAAGCTCCACCATCTACGACGCCGAACGCACGCCACATTGCTTAGCCTCCAGGTTCTTGTACCGTTTTGCATTCCCCATATATACCTCCACCTTTGGCAAATTGACGTCACCCATCTGCATTACATTCAAGATGACAGTAGCCCTGGCACAATCTTTTCGCCATGCATCAGTCACGTGCTACCACGTCACCGGAGAAATAACTGCGTCCGAATATGCGCGGTACCGCAGCAAGATACTGCCGTGTCCGAACACAGGAACATCGCAGCGACGGCGCGGAATGGCTATTGCTCGCTTGCTTGATGTGAACTGGGCGGACCGGCCATGTGTAGACCGAGTAGTGCGGGGACTGGGAATTCAACAAAGTGCTAGCCAAGGCGATCATCACAGCTGATCAGGGCATGCACTGCTGCATCTGACACGGTGCATTTAGCATCAGGATCCATCCACCGCGAAGCCGTACCATCAAGCTACCCACCTCTATCCTTGAACCAGCCTCTCCAGGCTCTCGTGCCCCTGCACCAACAACCTTTGTCAGCCTTGAACAGCCCGCCAAGAACATGTTCACTAGCATAACTATGGTCAGCCGGTGCTGCCATATGACAACCACAACCTTTGTAGATCTACGCCCAGCGGACGCGGTTCTGCTATGGCTGACCGGGGCGCTCAGCCACCAGGATCATCCCGCCGCTAGTATCCCCAGAGCCAAGGCCTTTAGCATGCAGCTGCACGGCCATTACACCAGGTACAGTGGAGCTATGCTGTCATGAGTCTGTAGACCGCTTAAATACCACCTCCATCTCCCTTCGTTCGACTCTTCTCATGCTTTCTTGGATACGTGCATAGGCGCTGTGTCATAGCGTCTCTTCCCACCAAGATGCGGCTCTCCATCGGAATCATAGCGAGCTTGCTAACGTGGATGACCATTGCTTCTAGCAACAGCAAGGTCGTTCCGCGCCAAAACAACAACACGGACTACCAAATCGGATTTACTCCACTCAAAACCGAATGGACTGATACCGTGGGAACTAACCCCTGGCCTGAGTACCCACGGCCACGCCTTCAACGACCAGACTGGAAGAACCTCAATGGCGTCTGGCGATACCAAAACACCCAAAATGGCTCTGATGCCTCGCCGCCGTTCGGGCAGCGACTTGAAAAAGCCGTCTTGGTCCCGTTCTGCTTGGAGAGTGCTTTATCAGGTGAGTAGCACCAAAGCATGCACGAGACAAGTTGCTGAAATCAGCATAGGTGTGACTGAGAAGGGCCGTATCTGGAGTTGGTATCAGACATCTTTTGAAGTTCCATCAACTTGGCCAAGCGGCAACAGTGTCGTTTTGAACTTTGGCGCTGTCGATTACGAGGCCACTATCTTCGTCAATGGCCAAAAGGCGGGATTCCACAGAGGTGGTTATTTTGAGTTCAGTGTTGATGTCACTTCGTATCTGAATGCCAATGGAACAAACGAGCTGTAAGTGCATGAGAAGCGAGAAAATAAAAGAAGAAAACTAATAATTTTGCAGTTTGGTATACGTCTATGACCCAACTGATATGGACCGCGTTCAAATCCCAATTGGAAAGCAGACTCTGAACCGTGGTGGAATGATCTGGTATACGCCCTGCAGTGGCATATGGCAGACAGTGTGGCTCGAGTCCGCACCCAAGGAGCACATTTCGAAACTCGATCTCACTGCGGATATGAACGGAAAGGGTCAGTCATTTGTTTATGGTACTGCTGTCTTATTACTCACATTCATTAGTCATCGTCACTGTGCATACTAGCACTAATTCGACAACTACATACACTATCGTTGTCCATGAAGTCAATTCGGATGATGTCAAGGCAGAGGCTACTGGCACCAGTGGAAGCCCGTTCACCTTTGTCGTTGATTCACCTAAGCTGTGGACGCCGGATAGTCCGACCCTGTACAACATCACCATCAAAATGGGTAGCGATACAGTACAGAGCTATACCGGATTCAGAACCATCTCCAGAGGCGTAATCGGCGGTGTGCAGCGCCCACTTCTCAATGGAAAGTTTGTCTTTCCATTTGGCACCCTGGATCAAGGCTATTGGCCAGATGGTATATACACGCCTCCAAGCGTAGAAGCCATGGCGTACGATCTCAAGGTACTAAAGAACGTCGGCTACAACATGGTCCGAAAGCACATCAAAGTCGAGCCGGCTCTGTTTTACAGGGCTTGTGACGAGATGGGTATGTTGGTCATTCAAGACATGCCTTCTTTGCGCCCCGATCTACCCGCTCGTGAAGGCTGTGGAGGCATACGGTTGGAGCCAGGTGCTCAGGCCGAGTTCGATCGCCAACTTGAGGTCATGGTTGAGCAGCTGAAGTCGTACCCTAGCATCATCGCCTGGACCATCTACAATGAGGAATGGGGTCAGGCCACCTCACCGCCATGGCCAGAGTTTGGGTTGACAGACATGGTGCGTCGGGTTGACCCTACCCGCCTTGTCAACTCTGTGAGCGGTTGGACCGACCACATGGCTGGCGACTTTGACGACAACCATCATTACTCGACACCCCAATGCGGAACACCTTTCTGGTCTTATCAAGGCAGCGGGTACGACTCAGCTTACGACCCCGCCCGCATCGGTTTGCAAGGCGAATTTGGTGGTATCGGCACCCAGCTGACCGAGAATAACTTTGAACACGCATGGTACAAGGATCTTGGTCGACAAACAGCATACGAACTTACCAACGGTACCTTTTATTGGAACTATCGTTGCCACGACCTACTTGTGCAACTGCGTGAGCAAATCGACTTGTTTGCTTGCTCAGGTGGTGTTTGGACGCAAACGACAGATGTCGAGGGTGAAGTCAATGGCATGATGACGTATGACCGAAAGGTAATTAGGATGAACGAGACAATGTGGAGACAGGATATTCAGGCCCTGTACGACGCGGCCGCGAAGCGAGGCAACGACTCTTCAATGGTGATTCGGGATACAGGAGTCGCTGGAATGCAACACGGTATATTCTAATGTCTATGGCCAAGTAGGTAGATATACATACATAATTACTCCTCATTGTTTCACAAATCCAAAATCTTCTTATTCTCTCTCCCCCGCCTCTCTCGCCCTCCACTCCCTATCCAGCATCCCCAACGTAAACGAATCCCACCACTCCCCCTCATACCACACAGCCTCCCTCTCTCTCCCTTCCACCACAAACCCCAGCCTCTCATACAACCGTATCGCGCCCTTGTTCCACCCAAACGCCCTCAACCGCATACTATGCAGCCCCGCCCGCCGAAACCCAAAGTCCAACGCCCAGTTAATTGCCTCACTCCCATACCCCTTCCCTTGGTACGCAGGTAAAATATCCAGCGCAATCTCCATAGTCCGATGATGCGCCTCATGCAGCGATGATGGCGCAGAATGAATATGACCAATCGCAACCCCATACTCTGGATCTAAAATCTTCGCTGGATCCTGCCGCTTCATCTCCTCAAGCACCGCTTCTTTCTGCTCCAAAGCCAACGATGCAATCGGCGTATCGTGCGGAAGCCAGATTATGGCTTGCAAGAGACTTTCTTCGCGGCCCTCGCTGCCGCCAGCGGGGCCTTGGTGCATGTTTTCGTCTGCGTCTTGCTCGGTGGGGAGCTTGGTGGTTGCGTGTGTACTTGCCATGTACATGGTTGGGTCTGCGGCGAGGGCGAGAAAGACGGATTTGTCGCACGGGCGGATGGCGCGGTAGTGGAGGCGGGGGCTGCGCCATGGGTTGGGGTATTTGTTGGACATAGTGAGGGGGTGGGGGGGTGAGTGTGTTGGAGGTAGATTGGAATTGTGGGAGATGGGGGGTTGTTAGGATGTTGGTATCTTTTTTACTATATATATATGTTTTGTTTTGGTATGTGAGTTTGTAACTTTGGTATGCAGATGTTACGTATGGGTACCAGTCTGGCCGTGGTAGTGCCGACGTTGGTGTTGGCGGTGGATTTGCGTTGCGCTGCGTTGCGCCCTTTTTGATACCCCGCCCTTTTCTTGATGCTCGGATCGCGATGTGGGGATGGGGAAAAGCAGAGACGACAAGCGGAGTGGACTGCAGCGTATATCAGAAGCGCGCTAGAAGATTACATACATGTCGTCTATGGTGCCTATCACATTTATGTTTCACAATAGCCAATGCCTGGAATCGTAGTATACAGGGGCTATAGTAGCCCTTACAGTCCGTATAGCGGTGGACTGATTCAACATTCGTCACGGACGCGATAGTGTCAGTGCCGCTATCCGGGGTTTGCTTCATACTCTTACAACGAAATCTCACCCCTCCATGTACCTTCGGTCAGACCCAGAGTCTCAATGCAATGTTGCCATCTTGGACCACCTCGCTCCTTCCTCCTCAAATACTGCAGAAGCTTCTGTCTCCTGTGCACCAGCAACCGCAGATTCCGCTTGTTGTGCTTATCACCCTTTCCTCGTGTCTGTAAAAAGTCCGCTAGTGTCTTGATCTTGGCCGTCAGGATAGCAATCTGGACTTCAGAAGATCCCGTGTCTGGTCCTACTCGCTTGGCTGTTGCAGCAACGTTTGTTTCTGGGCGGACGGTGTGAGTCTCGTCTACACCCGAGCGGCTCAGCGACGGCGCCTTTGGTGGGAATATCCTGTCCGTTTTGTGGCGTCCAAAAGTCTCGACACATCGTGCAATGTTGACACGCATGCGGTCTTTGCTGGAGCCATTCTCGAGAGCTGTGATTCGCTTAATCGCCTCGACTGCACGTGCATGGTCCTTTTTGTTTTGCTCTTCAATTTCCTCCGCCGATTTTTCAATTGCCCTTGCCTGATCATACCGCATGGCGTCGTTCCATGGGTACGCAGCGGGCGCAGCTTGCTTTGCAATTTCACTCAGTGGCACCGCCAGCTTCTCGCTCTTCTTCAATTGCTTCTCCACCGTCGCCGGGTCGAATGCATAGTTGAGGTGCGTTCGGTCCTGGGGAATTTTCTTGCCTTCGTCGTAGGTGATAGGCTTGCCAGTGTCAAATGACTCTACGAATGGTGTTGGTATACCGCGAACAGGGTTTCCAAGACTGGCCACACGGGCTTGTTCGAGTTCGGCACGTCGAGACAGGTTGGCTGCCTTTTTGCGGTTGCGCTGCGCAACTATGTAGGGATCGCTAGCGAGGCGCTTCTTTTGTCGCTCAATTGATTCGGCATTGGCCCGCGCTGTCGAAACAAAAGTTCGGATGGGGAGTGTGAATTGCGCAGAAATGGATGGTGCTGTGGCATTGTCAGCACTAGGTATTGTACATGAAATCTAAGAACTCACAAGTCGATGCCCGTAGGCACGACAATGCTGGTATTCGTGGCGGCATCGTTGGCTGGACGCACACTCACTGCTCCCACCCGCAGTGAATCTTTTGCGGATCAGGACGTCGGCGCATGGGTTTCGCCGGCGCCGCGTCCCGTTCGGTACTATCCCGCTTCCGGCTCTAGCTCGCCCACTGCCGGGGCTCGAATATCGCCAAAGTTCGTGTGTCAAAACTTCGCCCGCACGCATCACGACAACTTCTCTATACCCACCAGCTTGTACAGCGCCAAACCGTCAAAATGGCCCCTTCCAACCTCCCCGCCATCTTCAACCCCACCCAGCAGGACATTGAGATGCTCCTCGCTGCCCAATGCCACCTCGGTAGCAAGAACCTCCAGGTGCACATGGAGCCTTACCTGTGGAAGACCAGGCCCGACGGTGTCAACGTCTTGAACATTGGCAAGACCTGGGAGAAGATTATTCTAGCCGCCCGCATCATTGTCGCCATCGACAACCCGGCTGATGGTACGTTTGGGCGCCTAAGTCGAGACATCTGGACTTGAAGGTTGCGCAAATATGCTCGAGTTCTTTTTTAACTGACACTGCGCAGTCTGTGTCATCTCTGCCCGTCCCTACGGACAGCGTGCCGTCCTCAAGTTCGCTTCCCACACCGGCGCCACCGCCATCGCTGGTCGTTTCACTCCTGGTAACTTCACCAACTACATCACCCGTTCTTTCAGGGAGCCCCGCTTGATCGTCGTCACCGACCCCCGCACCGACGCCCAGGCTATCAAGGAGGCCTCCTACGTCAACATCCCCGTCATTGTAAGGAGAATGCGCATGAAGAAGAGTACAGGAATCTGGAGCTAACCCCGAATAGGCCCTTTGCGACGGTGACTCTCCCACCGAGTACGTCGATGTTGCCATCCCCACCAACAACAAGGGTCGCCACGCCATCGGTCTCGTCTGGTGGATGCTTGCCCGTGAGGTCCTCCGCCTCCGCGGTACCCTCGCTAACCGCGAGACTGAGTGGGATGTCATGACTGACTTGTACTTCTACCGCGACCCTGAGGCCGAGGAGAACAAGGACAGCGCTGGCGTTGAGGAGGCCAAGGTCCCCGGTGCCGACGAGGTTGGCCCCGCCGCTGTCGCTGACGGCTTCACCAGCGAGTGGGAGGTCTCTGGCGCATCCGCCGGTGCTTTCACTGCCCAGGCTGCTGCCCCTGGCACCAGCTGGGACGCTGACGCTGCTGACTGGGCCGCCTCTGGCGACGCCCAGGCTAGCGGCGAGGGCTGGGGTGCCGAGACTGCTGCCCCCGCTACCACTACTCAGTGGTAAATGCCATGTTGAGCATCTTCGTCACTTCTTCTCTTACATACCCTGTCTTTGAACAAACAATGGCACGTCGGCGTAGGAGTAGGCAATGGGAAAAAGGAAAATATGAGACCATTTGACAACGACCAACAAGAAATGCATGCTTGATGGGACAGGGGTGTGTTGAAGGATATGATCAATGCTGTGCGCTTATGAGGGAAAGATATCCATACTTGTCTTCGGGTATGGGGGAAAGCCCTGTGCTGGCGATCGGGTCGTACTTAGTTGGCGCCCAATCCTTCAATACGAACCTTGTTCCCACATTGTTCGACTGCTTCTCTGACTTGAGTGTTTGTGTACCATGATCTGCTGTTAGTGACATGAGTGGTGACTGTGTTGATGCTGTATGACATGATATATGTTGCTGAGCAAGCGAAGGCAATGTAGAGTGAGTTTTTTATTTTCAGCCCGATCCAAAGCGGGGTATTCATATACATTAAAATCCATCATTTCCTTGTTGAATTCTGCCCCATGTACAATGTACGATACCCAATCAAGTAAGTAGACTCGAAACTATGTAAGTACACGCAGAACGTGTGGGTGACGATATCCAAAGCTCAACTGCTCTTCAGAGAGAGAGAGAGAGAAAAGGAGAGGGGAATGGTTATTACAACCAAGCAAATACAATCAACACACCAAGCAACATAGCACCCGTGCTCCTGAGTCCCTTGCTCAAACCATCTGCCGCCGCCGCAGTGGGCTGTGGTGCAGACATGTCTGCAGTACCAGACCCAGAACCTGATTGTTTTGCTCCAGGACCAGAAGTCTGTGTAGCGCTGGAACCACCAGATGTAGGAGAACTGTCAAAGTTGTGTTTCTGGCCCAGGGTAGGAAGAGCGGATGTGGGGACGACTTCCCATGCTCCTTTTGTGAAGGCTGGGCAGGCAATAGATGTGTGAGTGGGTTTGTAGTCCGAAGCCTTGATTCCCGTAGGATTTAAGGTTTTCCAGACGGCTGAGAGATTGGGGAAGTCTGGTTGGACGGGTGTGGGTTTGCCTATTTCGAAGTGGTCAGTTGGTGTCTTGAAAACAAAAATCATATTCCTCAAACATACCAGAGCGAGGAAATCCATCTGGTGGCGCATTGGGACTCGCAGGATCAACCTTGGGCCCGTAACTAATCAGTCCGTAGTTATTCTGCTCCTCGATCCACTCGTATATGATACTACCGGACCATACATCCGCCATCTCGCCAAATAGCGCTTCCTGGTCTTTAAAGTCGCGGGGGCGCACGGTGTTGCACCCTGTTTCAGACATGAAGATGGGGACGGGCAGGTCCTTTGCGTTCTTTTCGAGGTTGTCGTACCCGGATTGCTGGTACGAGCTGTCGCCGCACCACGAGTATGCGTTGAGGGAGAAAAAATCGACGCGCTCCGAGGCGTTGTTGCCGCAGGAGAGATAGTCTTGTAGCATTGGCCGCAGAGAGGCGATGTCGGCGGCGGAGTAGCCGATGGGGATGTTGCGGTATCCTTTCTTGTCGCGGTAAGCTTTCATGTCACGTGCGGCTGCTTTGATGTAGGGCGATGTGACGGAGCCGTTTGAGGTGGTGATGGCTTCGTTACCAACGAAGAAGCCAGCGACGTTGTCGTACTGATGGAATTCGTCCATTACTTTGGCGTAGGCGTCGTGTTGGTCTGACTCCCATCGAGGTGTGTTTTGCTCGACATATGTGTCGAAGGTGTCGAGATCAACCCATATGTAGACTATTTGGCTGGTTAGTATTCATTCCTTCTTATGGGACTTGAAAACAAAGACGTCTTTTTATACGATATCTGCGCTTTTGACGAACGAAAATCGCCATGCAGTAATCAAAGTAATCTGAGTCCATGCGAATTTTGGATATACGTACTTCCAGCGTCTGCAAAGGCCTTCATACAATCGGTGTGATCAGCATCAGGGTCAACGTGGTAAACGCGGATTGAGTTGGCGCCGATGGTTTTCATGAGCGCGGAGTCGAGACCACATTGCGTCGCGTCGATGAGCGGATCGTCCGGGACAAGCTGGTATGCGATACCTATACTGAGCCGTTAGAAAAGAATGCTCCTTTAACTTGGTTTCGTTGCAGAATCGGATATGTACCCTTGACATAGAATTGATTGCCTTCGCTAGTGAAGAGTTTGGAGCCCTTTACTTCGATTGTCGGGATAGCTGAAGCGACAGTGCTCAAGCTGGCCAACAGCGCCAGCGATAGAGATTGAACCATTATTGCAGTCAAGGAACCCAAACGTTTTCCAGTGTTTCTCTGGTAACAATTGAAGATCAAACAACAAAACAGCTGGAGTCCCCACTCAAAAAGAAACTATCCAGCAGCAAACGCACTGGGCTCACGATCCACCGTTAAGTTACGTGCGAGACACAAGATTGCACATGAGCTCCGTAAAAGTATAAGCGAGAGTAGTAGTCAACAAAAAAGCAAACGACTGTAGTGTATGAACGAACGAAGGGTGCATGAACAAGAGCGAAGTGAGTGAGCAGATTAGGCCGGCCAGCTCATGTTTATGAATGCGGCTGTTTGGAAACAAGGCAAAGGGCGCCCTAGTAAGTAACATGCCTACCCCCCAACTCCACGCTGTCGATCCTTCCAATCTCCATGACGCTTCTCGGCAAAAGGCGCCCATAAATCCACAACTATGCAATTCCACTTTCACTCGAGGGCTAAAGCGTTCGCTCCCTCCAATTGCAATGCCGCGAATGGGGCGAACCAGGCGTATCATGGAAGTTGGAGAAAGAGGACAAGCGTAGTGGAGACGTGCGTGGGCGATGCGACAAGGACTCGCGTGGGCGATTGGCTGGCTGCAGTTTTAAGCCTATGCGACCCGCATGCTTGATGCACCTAAGCGGCTCACGGCTTGCTTGGTCGATACAAACGTATCGTGTGTATCTGGTCGACGCATTCACAAATACAAGTTTATGTCGAGCTAAGGATATGCATTAGAAAATATCGACTACCCACGCGTCAAACCCGCATTGCTTTGCTTGCGTTTCCCTCGCAGTATTTTGTGCTTCGTTATTGTTTACCCGTGGATGGACGAGCTCAGTTGCACCCGTGCAATCTTAATCCGTTAATCTCCGCTAACTACCTGTCACAACGACGTGAAAACCGTAGCGGACGGTCAGTTGGAAAAGTGCGCTAGACGTCCGATTGCACTAAAAACGAAGAGGCTCCGTGCCAAAACGCTAGTTGCTAGCTAGCTGTTAGCCGCTCCCAACGTCTGTCAGTGATAAAGTCCGCCTGCCTTGCTTCTTTTCTGACCAAGAGGGTCATGTGGTTTGATTGGTTGGCTAAATTTCCCCTAGGTAACTTTTGCGTAGCAATTGCATACATATGACCTTTTTTTCCCTCCCTTCCTTTCTATGCGCTCTTCCCCAGACCAGACCGAGTTGCTGGAGTCTCGCACCGGGGCTGTAGGAGCCGTAGAAGCCGCGCAGATTCCAGCCTTCTGCAGGTGATTTTTCCTCTCTGACATGTGCAACCTCTCCAGCTAGATTTAGTGCTACAATTGAGCGATGGTTAATATTCGGGCCATGTTGACCTGGAACAATTGATAAAATAACCACAGAATCAATATATATGTCACCACCCATGTTGAGAGAGTGGGCATGCCTCTTAATATTGACACAGTTGACTTTCTCGTGTGCGACCAGATTCACCGTTCCAGCTTCAAGGTCGTTTTCATCGCCATTAAGGATCTCTCGGCCATTGTTGTATACGGTTTTATTACCCAAGAGGCTGTTGTCGTTGAAGTAGATGGTGATGCTTTGTGGCATCCATGTCTCCTCGAGAATATCGAGGCTGTTGAAAAATACGCTTCCAAGCTTCAGTAGGTCGTCGCCCAGATATCTTGATAGCTGAAATTCTTTGGAGCGAGAAGCGTGTTTGGATATGCTGGCTTTGAGTTCGTCAAACGTTTTCTCAGCATCGCCTGCAGAATAAATGGATGGCAGTTGCTCAGAAGTCGGGTTTGGAGCTGGAGTAGCCTGTGGGGTGCTTCTTTGGACTGCTTTCTTTATCTGATTTCAGTCAGAAGATTGATGAAAGTGTCAAAATATGGCTTACGGGAAGCGATTGCCTGAAGATCGAAGGGGCCAAGTAGATGCCTATACGATCTGGCTGAAGTACGATGCTTAGATCTGCTGTGACTGCGTCAACCTGTAGCAAGTTCTAGCATTTTTAAAACCAATTTACACCATGAAAAACTGACTTCACGAACGATTTTCGTCATCTCGAGCCGACAACCGCGTCTAGCCTTGCCCAACCCTACAATCAAAGCACTATACGGTTCATAATGCAATATGTTCGGCCTGAAAGTATCCTTCTTCTGTTGCAGGTCCTGTGGATTTTCAGAGCTCTCTGGATACTCATCACTGGTATATGTTGAGGCTGTGTCTTGAATAGCAGGCTTCAATGCAGGCGCGCACTCTTCGGTGTACTCTAGAAGCTCCCTGCAGGGCTCAGATTTTACCAAATCAGTGGTTCCAGGTTTGAATTCCTGGTTCGTGATCTGAATATGTTTCCAGATTGACTTGTAATCCATGTAAGCATCTAAAAGCGCACCCGTATAGATACCAGCGTTTTCGTAGTCTAGCAATACTAGTGATTAGCTTGTATAGCTTGTGTTCAAGACTATGGTAAATGTACATACCAAGCGGAGAAAATGAGTCCATTACCTCATGGAAAATTTTCAGGGATGCGTACTTTGTCAAAATTGCATAAGTGTGTTGTGGTGTCATTGCGACAAGATCTGGAAAATTTGCCGCAACGAGAGTAAGACTGTTGATGTCTCAAATGACGTTTGGGTCCTTGATTTGGCCATCACCACTCCAGTTGACGTCTTTTACGCATTTCAGCAGATATTATTCTTAAGCAAATAATGTAACTTACTTATTGTTGTTTCCGTTGATATGTTAGTGTCGCTCTTATCCAAGTTGCCCTCGCCTGTGATCGCACCAGACAAAGCCGGTGTTCCCAGCTCTGCTTCGAATGCACTTTTGATCGTACTTATCTTGGATTTGTCGTTTACTTTGACTGAGATGAGTGCATTGAGTTCTCCACCATCCTCCCATCCAGATATGAATGAATTCTAGGCTTCAAATCAGCTACCAATCCTTGACCGAGAGCCAGACAGGCTTCTATGTCGTATACTTACGCCATATATCTCATTGAATCTAGTAGTTGGGAAATTCTTTAGTTTTTGGAATTGTGTATAGTCGCGCGCCATATGCGTTTGGTTCGTCACCTTGACTTGGATGAAGAAGTTGAGATCGCTGGACTTGAACTTATCCGAGTCAATGTATGTTCCGCTAACGGCTCCACCTATTGTTCCAATTTTGATAGACAAAGAAGCGGATACGTTCATCACGTCAGTTACATCGCTGAGCTTGTCAACAAAGCGAGATGAGTAAGAAACAATTTGACTGATCCCCTTAGGCTTCTGATCTTCCGAATACGGCGACGAGACATCTTCGCCTTGGGCGACTGCATCAGTCATGCATATCTGCTGTGTGAATAAATTTAAACCTTGTCCCAGGCGCATGGAGTTGTTGTAAGGTGCAAGAAGCATCGCCATAGTGACTGGCGTGTAATGAGCAAGGATAAAACAATAAGAATAAGCTTGGTGGCTTTTTGACAAAATAAATGTAGTGAAGAGTGCTGGTACAAAGCTAAGTACTGATTCTATCGTGAATTTATGTGTGAACACTCTCTTGGTCATTATGGATTTTTTACAAATGGAGTACCCTAACGCTAGTGTACTCAGCCGCCAGACGCCACAAAACGCCATGGCATCGCTCGGGCTGCATTTGCGCCTGACCAAAAATGAAAACCATGTTCTGTAACCTATTTCAGTTGAATGGGTGGATCTTTCCTCGCTGCTAGTACCACGGTCTGGATTTGATGAATGGCTTATAGCTCTAAAGACGTCCTTTTCGAGACGCGGTATCACCGCCTGGACAACCTCAGAATGAACAGTCTCCAAAACCTTGCATCCCAAAGCCTTGTTCTGTATCTACCCTGATCGAAAGCTCATATTGCGATCGGATCGGGCTTCAATTGAGCTGCTATTGCATCTGGCAGTTCGCCCTGGGTATCGAAATGTCCATATATAATCGATGGAGGAATTTCAAGTTACTGAGAAGGAAACAGTTCTTCGTCAGCGCAGCATTCAGAGCACTTCAGTGCTAGTCTTGGAGTAACTGTGGGTTGCAAGTTCCTAAGCGTCAGCGTCACCGGTTCGTATGATAAATCGGTATCGGACAACCTTGCTGTATTGGAAGACCAAAAAGCTCATGAATGATTTGTGTTAACGTATGATAGGTAACACGAGTCTCCAAGGATATCAGTATTCGAACCGGGCATGTCCGCTTCAAAGCTGATCCGGGACTGACAAATTTTGCACGAAATGCCTCATGCAGGTCAGAGAACGAACTTCACAGCATTTTTGGGGACTACTACGTTGCTGGGTACCAAATTGGAGCTGAAGCCGGAGGATGTGTGACTGTCACTCGCTTGGATCAGTCCGAAGAAAAGCGAATGCAAGTTCAGGCTACTGCTAAGGTACTTTGGATGAAGAAGACGATCAGCACTACGACATCATCAAAAGTGGTATCTTCAGACCAGTCCATATCCTTTAACAGTTATGATACCTTGCGGTAGCGCAACAACGAGGTAAAGGAAACCCATCTACTAGAAGAGATCTATCAAATGTCGAAGGAGTGCATTGACCGAATCGAAAATCTGCAAGCGACAGTCGAAAGAACAATATTGGACCTGGGTCTGGGTACAAGTGCTGGCGTATCCGTAAAGGAGTGTGTGCGATTGTGCGATTCTGGTGTGGTCGTTCAACTGATACTAGCCCCTTACTCCAAGCTTGCAGAATATGTAACCCTGACTAGTAGTCGCAGCTTGGATGTTCAATAAAGCCCTAACTACTCCGTGTGTCTTGTCGAGATTAGTTAAGTGTGAACAATCAAGATAATAATTGTCTGAACGTGGTGTTGGCAGACCTAAAACGAGGGTAAGCGCCTCGCTTGTGGCTGTCAAAGTAGCCGCTTTAGGCCGCACCTCTCAATCTAGACGATATGGCACTAGAAAAGGAACGGTCTGTTGTCGAAGCATGGGTCTGCTGTCAAAATGAGACTAGTCGCTACGAAGATCCGTTGGCGTTTTCAGTTGCTTATTCGCGCCGGGTGCTCTCTCAGCTCATTACAAGGAACGGCAAAGCCGAACCGACAAGCCTCGTTTCCGAAAAAGAACACAGTCTATGTGCACCGTTTCCTTTAGCCCATCATCTAGACAATCTGAATACTCTCAGCTCAGAGGTAGGCGAGACTTCCAGAACGTCTCTTCTAAAATGAGAGACAGACCAGCTGAACAATCAGAGCCCGTTGCGCAAGCCGTAATATCTCGTCAAGAAATACATCAATGATTCAACTTCCTAAGTGCTCTATTATGTGTACTGGCTCCATCTCCCTAATAACAGATATCTTTGTTCACCCACATTATTCTCACCATCAGTGCTCATTACCATGGCTATCGTACCAAAATACGGCGACTGGATCACCTTTCCTCTGGAGCAGCTCTCTCCTGTAGAGATCGAGTGGTGGAGCGACAAGACAACAGCAGGCCAGATACTATGTTGACAAGTGTTGGTTTGGTGACAGAGTGGACAAAACCGAGACTGAGGAAAGTTACAGCAAGGTATTGACTCCAAAGGGTGAGTAGCTGCAAAGTATGTTCTTATATTCGATTCTAAGACTTAGGGTGCAGGAGAAACACTTGTTTTCATTGCTTCCGAATACATTGAAAGTAGAATGCAGGGGGCGCCAAATCTTAAGAATCGGGCCTTGTTGCAGCTCAATGACAAATTTCATTATGGGCAAAACAATAAAAAAACATTCAGATGGATCGTATACCACCCGCCTGCAATCGCTGGTCGAGAGCGAAAGATATATCAAGTATGAGTAATCACAGCACTCAAAAAAATAGATTAAGCTGACCACCTCCGTTCCAGCATCGTTTTGTTGAGAATATCTCCCTGCAATTTGCAGACTTAGGTATCGAACTAGCCGGTATAACAGTCAAAGCTGGCGCCCACGCAGGCACAGCCGGCAGCGTTGAATTTGAGGGAGTAGTGCCCATACTCACACGCATCAAAAGCCTTTTTGCAGCCAACGGCGGCCACGCACTACACCAATTCTCTGCATCTGAGCAAACCGTTTCCAATCCATCCGAGTCCCAGTCTCAGGACCCACAGGTTGTTTCTGCCACACTGTCCAACGGCACAGTGACCCAGATTATGGAGCGGGCCGATAGCTCTTTGCCCAATATCTCCTTTGTGGAACCGAACATGATGAAAATCGTAGATGTTGAAGACAAAGAACAGGGTATACCTTTATATACATACAAGAATGCCAGGAGTTCCGCTCCGAGGAACGCAACTGGGCGTACACAACCTTGGACATGAAGAGCAGTCTGAGCCGAGGAACATTCAACAGAGTAAACCTGGGATTCATATCAAAAGGGTTATGCGGGCTCAGAATCCTGCGATACCCATTACATACAAGCAATAACGTGGCTGCCATGAAGAGTAGTATGCAAAGGCTATTTCTGGGCGTTGAGTGAGTGCTACATGTACCGAGTATGGATAATTCCATAACAATGCAATTTTTTGAATTGTCATTCTTATCTCTTCTTTCGAAAGATCCGAACAAGAATACTAGCATTGCTATGGCCCCTCAAACGCGTTTCTGCTCCAGTAAAGTTTGAGAAAAGTGTGAAATCAAATTGTAAAGAATGAATTGCACTCAAGTGCTATTCGCTTGCTAACACAAGGGATATAAGCTTCCCAAACACCAAATATTGGCTATGCACAAAAGGGAATAAATCGCCGAAGAAGACTACATCGTAACATGAACGAAGCAACACGCGCTCTGGGTACAACATAACACTACAAAAGTTCCTCTCACAGTTTACCGCCCAGTCGAACAAAAAAAGATCGAGCAAAAAACACTTTTACCACCTCAACCCACCTCACCCAAAGCCCTCATACCCCCCCGTCCCCTCACCCTTCCCCACACTCTTCCCCGCAACAACATCCCGCATCCGCTCCAACAACTCCGCAACCCGAAACGGCTTCCCAACAACATCATCCATACCCGCCTCTACCGCCATCCTAATCTGCTGCTCCCTCACATTCGCCGTAACCCCAATAACCGGCACCCTCCGTCTCAACAATCCCTCTCTTTCCAACCTCCGGATCTCCGCCACGGCCTTCAACCCGTTCATAATGGGCATTTCCCAATCCATAAGGATGAGATTGAGCGGGATGGCGGGGACGTCGTCGTCGTAGCCGAGGGGTATGGGTTCGGTGGAGGGGACGTGGTATTTTTCTTTGCGGGATAAGGAGGAAGATAGGGGATGCGTGTGGTTCCAGAGGGTGGTTTTGGGGAGGAAGTCTAGGGCTTCTTTGCCGTGGTTTGCAACGCTGATGGTGCAATTGAGGGCGCGGAGTTGCTTGGCGAGGACGCGCTGGTTGACGAGGTTGTCTTCGACGATGAGGACGTGGAGGGGTTGCGGGATGGGTTTTGCGAGGGGTTTGGGGTCTTGTGGGCGGGGTTTTTGAGAGAGGGGGAGGGCTTCGGAGTCGGTGTGGGAGCGGGTCGCAAGGGGTTGCTGGGAGTTTGCGGATGATCGTCGGATAGTTGGGTAAGGTGGTTTTGCTATTCGCGCATCTTCGGTGGTGAAGGAGCGTAAGGGAGCCGTGGGCCTCGTCAAGTTCACTAGAGGTCGGTGTTTCACATCTTCGGGGAATACATGTGGTAAGCTTCCGTTTCTCTTCGTGCTAGGCTTCGTTCGCCTTGTTTTGATGTAGAAGGAGAAGGTACTGCCTTTACCAGATTGACTAGAAAGACCAATGGCGCCGCCCTGCAGTTCGGTCAAGCGTCGCGATATGAACAGACCCAAGCCAGAACCTCCATAGTTGATGTGGGTGCGAGGAGAAGCTTGTGAAAAACGAGTAAACAACGTGCCCTTTTCGTCCTCTGAAAGACCGCGACCAGTGTCGGTGACGGAAAACTGCAGGTATATGAGATCTTGAGCGTGCTTCCAGTCATCTTCAAGGCGTTGGTCGTGGTCCACTAGTTTCTCTTCATTGAATTGAATTCCTCCAGGAATTGAAGTAGGTTCTGTTACGCTGGCAGAAAGCGTCATTTTGACTGATTTGGTCTTCTCAAGGCGTGTGAACTTAATAGCGTTAGTAAGGAGATTGATGAGAATTTGTAGCACCCTTGTTGGATCCAAGGAGGTCCAATCGATTTCCATGTCACGGTAGGACTGGTCAACTACTAATGAAATATCAATCCCTGCAGCTCTTGCTTCAGCGTCGAACATTCTGACAGCATGTCTTGCTACATTTTCAGGCTGTGCAACTACAGGCGTCATGTCTAGAAGGCCTGAATCGAGCTTGGATATTGTCAAAACATCGTCTACAATATGTCTCATGTGCTGAGCGCATTGAGCGATAGTTTGTGCAGCATCCAAGGTAGATTCCAGGAAAGTCGACCACCCGTTTGTAGTCATCGCGCGGCATTCGTCCTGCGCATACGAAGAAATGATTGAATCTGCACATTGCATAATTGCACTCAGGGGGTTACGCATCTCATGTGAAGTCGTGTCGATGAAGTGCTCGAGATGCTGTTTTCCCTGCAGCGCGCTGTCGGTGCGAATCTTTTGAAGATCTTCGGCCCATTTCTGTTTGGAGATATCGATGACGTTGCCTACTATTTCGACGAGTTCACCGCTAGGTCCTATCTCAGGATAAGCTGAGCACAGAATCCACCTAAAGTGCTCAGTGTCTAAGGTTTGCGACTGGCTGAGGTCCGAGGGTGGCGACCATGGCATCCTGGTTCGTAGCTCGAAACAAACGTGTTCATTATCGACCACGAGCTTCTTAAACACTGATTTGCAGTAAGCCATGTCTTCTTCGAAGGCAATAGTGTGCCATGCATCTGTAGAATTGGTATGGAACCCGGCAATTTCAAACATATCGTACCAGCGCTGGTTTCGATACGTGTAGTCCCCAGCGGGATTTGTTATGAAAATGGCAACATCAGAGCGCTCTGCAAAACGCTGGAATTTGCCTTCCTCTAACTTTATCTCAGCCATCAATTGCTCTTGGATCTGTGCAGCCTGGGCAATGGCATTTTCTCGTTGCCGAACCTCTTCTTCAAAAAGGACAACTGAAGCGAGCGAAGTAGCGAGCAAACGGACCATGACTTGGAGATACTGCTGATAGTCTTCATCAAAGGGTCTGCGGGGGTTGAGGCCAATGATGAGGAAGCCTTCGACCTGGTTGCCAGTTGTTGGAATGATGGGGCACACGACAATGGTGCGGCAGGGCTCCCCGTAGCCTCTCCATTTGATATCTCTCAAGGCAGCATCGGATCCAGGGAGCTGATCGAGACGCACAACGGTAGCTTTTCTGGTCTGTGCGGCGCGGCGAATATGGGAATGAAGCAAGTACGAGTCTTCGTTGATGTTGATAGTCGTGGGAGCGATGGGATGACCAGCCTCAACACCAATCGTACCCTTGAGCACGCACGCGTCCAATGGCGGTGTGTTACCTGGCGATGACATTGATGTGATTTCAGCGCTTATATGACGCTCAGCAGCATATAACAGAGCTAGCGGCACATCTTTATCGTTCAGACTCAGAGAGTTCAAGGTTGTGTCCCAAAAAGAGTGAAAGTTCCTTGCACGTTCGCTTTGAGTGCCCATGGATACCAGACTAGAGACGCGGCGCTCAAGGAGACGGTGTTCGGTCACTTCGAAAAAGGTTTGATAGTAGGCCTTAGTGCCGCGATGGCGATCCAGTATTGGCACAAACCGAAATGACCAGTGAGTCTCTTCAAGACGTCCGTCTCTATCGATGAACATCAGTATGTCTGGTTCAGCCAGAGGTTCATCCGTGTCGTTGGTATGGTGAACGATGGTTTGGAATGTGGGCCACTGCTCAGGCGCATGGGTGCGGACGTTCTTGCCCATGCAAGGATGGAGATGGCCTAGTAGCTGAATGTATGCCTCATTGTATAGCATTGCGCCATCATCGCCCCAGAATAAGATGGTTGGTCCACTGTTGCCAAGAACCATGTTTGCCATGCAACGCAAGTCAGGTGACCATGACTGGATCGGTCCAAGGGATGTATTGGCCCAGTCTACGCTGTGAAAATAATCAATATGAAATCCATGTATGATATCTGGTGGAAATTCAGCCGAGGTGTAGTCAAGAGGCCCACATCTAGCGCTTTTTCGGGCATTAGAATAGTCTCCACCGTTCTCGGGGGTCGCAGGCAGCTGTACTGGCAGCGTAGGAGGTGTGGTAGGTGATGTGTCCCTGAGATGTTTGCTCTCCACTGTCTTGCTATCGCGACTTAGTTTACGATGGTTTCTGCTTGCTGGCCCCGTATTGGCCAACATTAGTGATGTGGGTACTCCGCTGACGATCCTGTAATGTCCAATGGTGAGGGCGTTCCATAGATGACCTTCAAAGGTATAGACATGGCTTGGCCATTGCAAGCTACCCTCTTGTGTCCTGCCGCAGACCCAGTCTCGGAAAGCAAGCTGAGCTTCGGTGCTTTCATCCAATATGCTCGCCTCATTGTGCCCTGTTATTCTGGCCAGCAACCCAGTAGCCGTTGCCAGAGCTGGGTTGGAATATAGTAGATCGAGCGGCTTATCGTAGCCCAAGTGAGAGGGCAATTCGAGGACGAATGAAGGGCGTTTGTCGACATCCAGCGCTTCTAATAGTGTAAGCGCAGCCGCGTTCGTGTGCATGGGCTGCTCGAGCTGCCCTTTGGAGCCCATTGCATCTGGCGCCCTCGCTCTTTCTCTTTTCCTAAGTACAAGCCTATACCATCTCGGCATCCGCGCACTGTATCGAGGGAAGTGGATGTATCTGCAGTGCTCATCTCAAGGAGTGAACCGCGCTGAGTCGCGAGTCGCTCGTCACTCGTGGTCGGTGCCCAAAAGGCTACTAACGCGTCCATGGCCTGGCCAACTCGCCCATGCTACCAGTCGCGATAGCGTCTCAGCCCGCCAACTAGCTTCCTCCGCTCTTCCGCTCCATCGTCAATCTGCCATTATAAACATTGCTGATAGCTCCACCACAGTGCAATGCGACCTTTTTGCATTTCTCCAGATGGCCGCCGTCATGTTGTCGTCGCCTTTCCCCGCACGTCGGTGCTGACGGACCTCCCCAGCGACGGTACGGTACGGTACGTGAGCCCCCTGCGGCGATCTGTCTCACCTTCGACTGATCTGCGCCAGGATCATTAAACTCAAACGTATTGCCACAAACCTTTCGGCGTAATCGACTTTGGCCGTCCCAACTACACCCCTTGTTTCTACTGTCACTGTCCTGATGTAAAGGGATGCTTCTGCACTTCTTCAGCTGCAATCACGGTACAACAAAGAAGCTTGAACGACAATGCATACACAATCTCATTATCATTATCAATTACAAAGATTACGGGTACTACCCTCCATATCTAATGGCTACACATGGGCTCTACGGGCGCCTTGTTGCCGCCGAAATATACTTTTCCATAGACATTGTTCCCAGTCCAACGATCCGACGGCACCCTTGGCGGGTTCGCGGGGCCCCCTTCCTTCTGTGAACCCGGAAACAAAAAGTTGGGCGAGATAACGCTGTCAGGACATCCAAGCGCCGTCTTGCTAAGCAGAGGATCCAAGACCGAAAGAGCCCAAGAAACACCTTTTGCAACGTTCTCCTCTGTGCCACCAAGCGCAAGCGGAGTAATGGAGTTGAGACCCTGGTACACATCGCAGAGGAGTGTCTGAACACTGAGGTTGGGCGTGCCGACCTGCGCTGCTCCAGGCACGATGATGTTGCGCGGATAAATGGCCAGAAAGCCATCAGTGATGGCCTGGACCACACCGTACGGAGTATCGCGACGGTACCAGTTTTCTGGCCAGCGCTCGGGAATGTATTTGAATTCCTTTGTGCGCGTATCGTACTCGGCGCCAATGATGCTCATGATGCTCTTGTAATTTGGGACGCCGCCTGCACCGTATGTCCCGTTCGAGAAGAACTGAGGGTAGAAGGCAAAGGCGCCGAGAGATACGATTTGGGGGAAGGGAAAGTAGTAAAGAAAGGGGTTGTTGTTCTTGCTGAAGCTGGCAGATTGCGCATAGTGCTCTGCCATGACGTTCATGCTAAACTCTTTCTTAGGGTCTTTGGCAGCGAAGCCAACCATTTGCTTGACGAGGCGAGAGGAGACGTGGTGGTTGTCGCCACAGCCATTGTAATAGTCTGGTTCAAGGGAGTTAGTTGGATCAGATTTACATGGTGAAGAGACAGTGTCATACCTTCGCGATTGGGCGACACATCGGCTTCAACAACAGAATGGCGGTTCAAACCACCAATACCGTTTTTCCCTGAGCCGAGATAGAATGACAGTCCATCGAGATCTCCACTACCCAAGACAGCAAATGTGGCAAGGACTGTAGCAAGATCCACGCCCATGTTGAAGCCACGCGCCGTAGCTTCCAGCACCTGTCCAAAACTGACGTATCCATCGCGCGGCAAGTATCCGTGATTGGCAAGAAGATTGAGACCCGGGCAAGGGCCACGAGAGTCATTTGGTCCAGGGAGCTTGAATTCGAAGCCGGGCTCAGGACGCTTGTTGCTCTTCTTGACAACAGCCTGGCCGACTGAAGTTAAGAGACCGTCAACAAGGTCACCAAGCGAGCCAAGGAGGTTACCGACGGGTTTCAGGAGTTGGGGTTCGGCAGCCCGTTTAGCAAAAATTTCGCTCTCCATTTGCGCTCGGAGGTGTTGCTCCATGTCTGCTCGAGATGTGGCACCCATCATGCCGGGGTAGGCGGCAGCTATGGCTGGCAGAGCCAGTGTCAAAGATTGAGTAAACCTCATGATGTTTGCACAACAGGTGCTTGTCAAATTTGAGAAGGAGGTATGAAGAACCCAGTAGTGGCTTGATTTATTTATTCTTCTAAACAGTCCGGAGATTTTATATGAATATTCACTTTTTCACCGCCAGCCTTGATACTTGGCCTGCTCATGATGACATGTCGGTAAATATCAACCTTCTCCCTGTTATCAACCTTCAAGAAGATCTTCACGACAACGCGGCATAGGTAGTAGCTGTACGAGGTCAAGCACACAAGCGCGCGGGGAGGATGATCGATCCAATCACATCTTTTATGATTACCCCATTGGTACGTTTCTTTGTGATTCGAGTCCCGAAAGGTACTTACTAGACTCCACAATCTTTCCAAGAATGTAGAAAACTGGGGAATTTGATGTGACGATCCACTGTCTAGCATCACGGAGAATTCAACAAGAAGCGAAAAGGCGGAGAGTGGTGTCGGAGTGATCTCGATGACAATCGGAGGCATGGCCATTGGGTACAGCGAAGCTTGATTCCCACATATCCTACAAAGACATGACGATGTCTGGATATGCTGTTTCTGTCCCTGCGGAAGGGACATGAGTCAGTCTAGATACTTTATCGATCGCGACTCTTTAGGCCTCCCGAGAATACGAGGCCAGCAGCCTCATGCAATGCAATTTTGAAGGGCAACCGTACGGATTTTGGCTACGCTACATACAAGATAAATAGCAAAAGAATCTTTTAATCTCAGCCAAAGTCTCAAATGCCCACTTTGTGTCACCAGTGCAACGCGATCAAGTTGCATCACTATTCCTCGCAGTATAGTACCGCGCATGATCGGCAGACGGGAGAAAATCTCAGCCCCACCGCTCCCCCTTGGACAACTTACCTTGTTAAAGTCCTGTTCCTTGCATGTCACTAACTGGTTTCAGGGGAACGGGGGCGGGGAGAGGGAGAGGGGGCGGCGGCGGTATCTACATCAAACACGCCGCACGCGATTACCGATGACCTACGTAATTCATTTCCAGATTTGCGCTTCGCAAATACGCAACCGCGCAGTCGGCAACAGCAAGCCCTGACATCTTTATCACAATCAGCCTCGCTCAGCCTCGCGCCCAACCACCCCCTCCCCAAAACTTACCCCAGTCCACAAAAAAAAACGGAACACCTTACTGAAATAGGATAACAGTCAATGAATGACTCAACCTCACCACAACCCACAGTTATCCGAAAGCAAAAATCCTGTAGCTGCAAAAATTCCAAGTATCGTGGTCTGTTACTTTGTCCCCCTCCCCCCAACAAATTTCCCTGGCAACCGCACCCTCTGTGCCTCTGAGTCGTTCAAGCCCCCCCCCCCCCCCAAGAAAACGCCACTCCAGCCACATCACGCTTTTGCAACGATTCCCTGCTGCGAAAGCTGAGATCAGCGGAAATGCGATCCTTGCATCGCACGCCCAAGTGTACGCAATTCTTCCATGCGTTGCCCTTTTTTTTTCGAGACAGGAGGCCGCATGACATGCCATTTAAATCAGGGTAGTAGAAACATGAGTGTATCTTTTTAGTGTTAGATACCCAAGCATATTAGTAGTAGTAGTAGTAGTAGTAGTGGTGGTGGTGGTGGTGGTGGTGGTGTGTATAGATGTCTTAAGGGAAAGAGAGACGCAGGCGGGCTGTGCTCACACTCAGATGCCCAGTGCAGCAATGGAAGACTGAAAAGAAAACGTCATTTAAGCGGAAGTTTTTCTTGACGGCCGTGGGAATAAAGGAATGGGGGTTGATGGGAGTTAGGAGTGGGTCTCTGTTGGTTGGGGATTAGCGGCGAACTTTAATTCTGAGAGCGAGTGCCGACGTGGCAGAGGGAGCGGTTGCTAGAGGGAGAGAAAGAGGGCTGTGTGGTCTTTGCCGGTGAGGGTGAGGATGCGGTATGGCGTGGGTCCGCCTCTGCTTCATGGATCTACGCGTGCGTTATATGGAGGCGCGCCGCTATGTGCGGTCGGTGCCGTGTGTGGGTGGCTAAGGGGGAGGGTTGAGATGCACGTCACCAATTGGAAAGTTGACTTTTTGGTTGGGGAAAGTTTGTTGATTAGAGCTGGGTCGTGTTGCTGACTGCAGCGGTCAGAGATGCGCTGGCTTGCTTGCGGTGGAGTGCGACGTCGAATTAAGCTCTTGTTTGATGTCAGGGCGTAGGGAAGCTGTGGGAAAATTTTCATGTGCTGAAATGCTATAGCTTGAGTGTATACAACATGAGTGATAGGCTTGTAGTGCATTAGGGAAATGGTCACTGGAAGAATGGTTTCTACTCCGGACACTATAGCAGAGATGGAATTGGTTCGTTACCTTTCGTGTTTTCTTCTCCTCTCGGTAGCCAATTTGGAGACGCGCGTTTTAGTGAACTCCATCATTTCACAAATGGTAGATGGAGTGCTAATGTTTCTGATATCACATGTCATACTTTAGTACTTACAAACGCGCAAGCAGCCCCATAATCTAGTCCTGTCTGTGTCTTGGAAAAGAAGCAGATGTGATGTTGTTGGTGATCAGCACAATCACTGATGAGAAGACTCATCAGTCTTCGTATGTACTACCGAAAGCGGTAAGGGTTGCGCAGAATTGATTTGTAGCAAGAGTCTTTTCTTATCCGACATACAGTAGGCAACTATGCCACACTTAAAAAAATTAAAGAGTTGCATCGCTGGGACGGGATACATCAACTAACAGGGTAACACGCTGCTAGTTTACTTAGCCCGAGTTAAGTAGTCCGGCTAGTATAGTGATCGCCGACAGGCCTAGTGCCTCATGATACGATTTATCATCAACACAGTAATACGAGCATGTCGGCATTCTCTACGATGCACGCCGAATGTGGCGGTGGCACAGTAAGTGTGGCACAGCTACACTCGTATCTCGCAAAAACTTCTACTTTGTTGTAAAGGGTAGTAAGAATGCACAGGCGCCCGTTGGGGCGTAAGGGTTCGCATGGAGGCACAGCAACATGGCTCGGAACGCAACGCCCTACCGTTGCGGACGGTCCCGCGATGACATGAGTGCGGCACTTTGAAATCAAGCAAAATCTAGAAGTGCGGCGG